GTTGTCGAGAGGCTGTAGGTAGATACTCCAGTTTAATTCAAAGGTTATTTTCGATTTCCTTCTACCATGTGTCTGTTGCGCATCGTGTAACATAGAGATAAAATACTACTGTGGTAAGTGTTTTCTTGGATTTTTAGAACAATCAACTAGACAAGTCTGAAACATGGCAATTGTCGTTATGATTCCAACGAGGAAATGAAAAAAGTATCTTTGGTCAACCCTAAACTAAATAGATTGTAAGCTCCCCGACAGGGTCGACTGAACTTCCCTCATGGCCTGCTTGCCCCGTCGTCCGTCGCCTGGCAACATCTCCTCAGAAACCACTCAACCAATGAAGCTGAAACCTCCTATCCTTGTTCCCACCAATGATGTCACCTGCATTTGTTCAGGAGGTTCTAATCACTTTGTGATATACATTTGTTGTTACTGGAACTCAATACATTTGCTCGTTTTTCGCGATGTCTTGAAGTTTGAACTGTTTTGACCTTTGTGTTTCAACTATGGTCTGCAATTCTCTAAAAATCCTTATTATAAAATTCGACAACGAAAACATGTGTTATCTGCTATAGTTTAACTACCAATAGTTTTATATATCAAAGCAGACAAAAAAGACTAGATTGATAAACATTCCAGGTGTAGGAATACATACTGTGTACTGACATGAATCAGGTGATTGTTTAATTTATGCACATAACTTGACCCGCTCATAAAGTCAGTAGCCAATCAACGGAGAGTAGGATCAAAACAAAGTCCATATGACCTGTCAATCAAGGCAAGAGGCGAGAAGAACCGCAACAGTCAGACTGTAACGAACCGGAACAAATATGTCCGGGAGAAGGCGGTTGTTTTAAATGTCATGGTCAGTTACCGACAGATTCAAACATTATTTCCCCGAGAACAGGAAGACACAGATGAAAAAATGCGGGTTAGAAATGAAACCCCTAAGGACATGAAATTTTTGGAACCCAGGCGAGCGGACAAAAAACAGGAGAGCGAGCCTTAACGCTTGCTGTTTCATTCCTTCTCGGCCTTCGGTCTCAAACTGTAGTTTGGACAATGAATATGCATGAATTTCGCTAAATGTCATGTGCAGGACGATACAAAATGTTATGCAATGTGGTATATTTGTAGTTTGTTGTGGACTCGGGGCATATTTTCCGCCACGTTTTACAGTCTAACCTCGTTTATGTTTTGAACATGCCCTTAAATTTTCTCAAAATGGATTTTGGCTCTGAAAACATCTGCTCTGCAATTGCCAGACTGAGAAAGCTTTGGCATGTATGTTTCTTTTCGAGAGACTTCATATGTTGTTCACATCAATACAATTTAGTAAAAGTGTAAGTCGTCAATGGTTCAATCAGAAAATATTGGAATAGCAATGCTGACAGTAACTTACACGTGGATGTCTCTGTTGGTACTTTAAACATGTAACCCTCTTTATTTACCCTCTTGCATAGCATGACTCCACTGTAGTGGCGATACTGAGCGCGTTGAAGCTCTACAATAACTTAATCCCGCCCTACACGTCCACCGTCTTCATGGAGCTGCACGAGACAGGGGCCGGTGTCTTCCACGTGGAGCTGTACTACAGGAATGTGTCATCCACAGACCCTAACGATGACACACAGCCTCATCAACTCACCATCCCAGGTGCGACTCACCATGTCTCTGAACCAATAATTCATATCATCTTCGTACCAATAACGCATCTTGTTTCTGTAGCAGTAACACACCAAGTCACATCTTGTTTCTGTACCAGTAACACACCAAGTCACATCTTGTTTCTGTAGCAGTAACACACCAAGTCACATCTTGTTTCTGTACCAGTAACACACCAAGTCACATCTTGTTTCTGTAGCAGTAACACACCAAGTCACATCTTGTTTCTGTAGCAGTACCACACCAAGTCACATCTTGTTTCTGTACCAGTAACACACCAAGTCACATCTTATTTCTGTAGCAGTAACACACCAAGTCACATCTTGTTTCTGTAGCAGTTACACACCAAGTCACATCTTGTTTCTGTAGCAGTAACACATCAAGTCACATCTTGTTTCTGTAGCAGTAACACACCAAGTCACATCTTGTTTCTGTAGCAGTAACACACCAAGTCACATCTTGTTTCTGTAGCAGTAACACACCAAGTCACATCTTGTTTCTGTAGCAGTAACACACCAAGTCACATCTTGTTTCTGTACCAGTAACACACCAAGTCACATCTTGTTTCTGTAGCAGTAACACACCAAGTCACATCTTGTTTCTGTGGCAGTAACACACCAAGTCACATCTTGTTTCTGTAGCAGTAACACACCAAGTCACATCTTGTTTCTGTACCAGTAACACACCAAGTCACATCTTGTTTCTGTGGCAGTAACACACCAAGTCACATATTGTTTCTGTAGCAGTAACACACCAAGTCACATCTTGTTTCTGTACCAGTAACACACCAAGTCACATCTTGTTTCTGTACCAGTAACACACCAAGGCACATCTTGTTTCTGTACCAGTAACACACCAAGTCACATCTTGTTTCTGTAGCAGTAACACACCAAGTCACATCTTGTTTCTGTACCAGTAACACACCAAGTCACATCTTGTTTCTGTGGCAGTAACACACCAAGTCACATCTTGTTTCTGTGGCAGTAGCACACCAAGTCACATCTTGTTTCTGTAGCAGTAACACACCAAGTCACATCTTGTTTCTGTAGCAGTAACACACCAAGTCACATCTTGTTTCTGTAGCAGTAACACACCAAGTCACATCTTGTTTCTGTACCAGTAACACACCAAGCCACGTCTTGTTTCTGCAGCAGTAACACACCAAGCCACGTCTTGTTTCTGTACCAGTAACACACCAAGCCACGTCTTGTTTCTGTAATAATAACAAATGTTGTTTCTGCACCAATAACATATCATGTTTCTGTAGCAGTAACACCCCTCGCCTCTGTACCAATGACACATGTAGTCTTTGAACCAATAACACATTTTGTTTGTGTTCCAATAAATCATATCGCCTCTCTACCGATAACACCCCTCCTCGGTGTACCAATAACACATATCATCCCAGAGCCTTATAACACACCTCTGGTGTGCAATGTACCAATAACAAAAAACAAACACGGCAATGACCTGATCTCTTCGTTTTGATATACTCACATTATACCAGCAATACAATGGGTGTGGCTTTTTAAAGCACGGTGTTAACTGGATGCATGATTTAATTGAATACAGCTTTAGGGCGGCCTCTGTGTTGTTTGTATGACCAAAACGAATACCACTTATACCTTGACGTATTCACATCTGTTAGTGAAGGTACCTCGTCACTGTAAAATGGCAATAAGGTATCTCTTCACGGACTATATTATCTTAGACCAGAGACTATATGGTCTCTGCTTAGACTCACCAGAGGGGACGTTATGACATCATCTATAATCAGTAATGTGTTAAACATTGTGTGTGCAGGTTGTACGTCCCAGTGCCCGCTGGCCAAGTTTGTGTCTCTCACCAAAGACATGGTTCCCACAGACTGGGACGCCGAGTGCGCCGCCTCCGGCACAGGTAAACAGTCCTCCTACCTGAGTACATTATGTTCCATGGTGCCTACTGCTTGCAGGAATACCATGAGATGTTTTCGCCAATCTACAGCTGAAATTAACTAGGATTATTAACCTGTATATATTATCTTACAACATAATCCCCTCCGAGAAGCACACACTTCTGGCAACGATGCTGAAGTGCTTGGACCCCACTTGTGTAGAAAGCTACCTCCTGGTGGTGTCACCCGTCCTCCTTAGCAGAAATGACGTCATCATTATTAGCACAATACTTGCCAGACAGTTCTCAACACTCCCATGGCTGCGTGACGTGTGGTTAGTCCTCGATCATGTATCATATAAACATGTTCCTTAGCGGTGGCAGTAGCGTTTCATCTTCGAGACCCTCTCTTCCCCTCTTCAAATCCACTCTCTTTCAGTAGCAGATATTTGATGATCACGCGGTAGCATCACCAGAGAAGACCTTATCACTTTGATGCCTGCATACATACATACACTGCCTGGGAGTGTTTGGTTCAAATGCAGCCTGTAAGTATGGAAAGTCTTGTACATGCAAAGAGTTACTATACGTACTATAGGGCGTATACGTACGTATAGGGCGTACTATACATCCTTCGTAGTCAGGCTCATAACACTTCAGCCCCCCCCCCCCCCCCCCCCCCTCACATATGGGTACCACAGAGAGTTTAGCACGGGGACATGAGACATGAACGTGAACCGAGGCTTTGTGTTCCAGGCACCATCATCGGACGACGTGAAGACCAGGACGCCGACAGCCCTGACGCCCTAGATCCCCACTCCGATGACTCTGACAGTGTATAAACCTGGATAATAAATACTACTCCCTGATTGTGTACCATGTCTGTTCTGTGTGGTAGCGTCGGACATGGCATGCTTTATTTGTTGAACTCATATACAGGTCTATAGCTCGGTGTCACCGCCCAAAATATTTATTAGGTACCTCTGGATAGATACACAGTATCTTTGACTAGATACACAGTATTTCTGACTAGATAGGCAGTATCGCTGGCTAGATACTCGGTACCTCTGATACGACTTGAAATGACGCTGTCGTCGGAGTACGAGATCAGGGTTAGAAAATGTTCAAATTGTAAGCCATCAGACGACCTTCACCGTATGAGCACGCGATCTGAGAAAGTATGCGACTATAAGACAAGAAGTGTAACTTGTGGAGAGGTGTGCGAAACGTAGGTTCCAGTTGGCATTGGAGTGCCCTGGGGTCAAACAGTGGGCACAATACCCGGTGGTCCAATAAATACTGATGTGTTTTACTGGGTAAATCGTGTGAACTGGACAGAAGAGTAAGTTGAGCAGAGTGCTGTAGAGAGGCGCCGTGTTATCTTCACACAGGTTCACCAGATAGCCGCAGGCAGATACCATGTTCTACAGTTAGCCAATAGCGCCAGGCAACGTGTAAAGATAAGAGATTGTATCTCCCAGCCGGCCAGCACGGAATTGGTATCTCTGTGACTGAAGGCAGTCAAGGCTTTCGTGGATATGTGGACAACACTTACTGCTGTACTTGTCTGTAGCTGGGCAGTCTGTCACGCAGCTCCCCCCACACTCAGGCTCGTCAGTCTGGTGAGAAAACCTTTCTTTTCCCACTGATACTGGTTGAAGCCCATGGCCATCTTTGATTGTCTTTTGGTTTCAAAATAGCTGCATCATCCGTTACTTAGTTAAATAAAATTGTGGCTTGATCGATCTTGATTTCAGAGTTCAAAGTGTTAACTGCAGTAATGGTATAACTAGACCGTGTACAGCGTGTTGACTACAGTAATGGTATCACTAGACCGGGAGTGTTGACTACAGCAATGGTATCACTAGACCGGGAGCGTTGACTACAGCAATGGTATCACTAGACCGGGAGTGTTGACTACAGCAATGGTATCACTAGACCGGGAGTGTTGACTACAGCAATGGTATCACTAGACCGGGAGTGTTGACTACAGTAATGGTATCACTAGACCGGGAGTGTTGACTACAGCAATGGTATCACTAGACCGGGAGCGTTGACTACAGCAATGGTATCACCAGACTGTGTACTGAGTGTTGACTACAGCAATGGTATCACTAGACCGGGAGTGTTGACTACAGCAATGGTATCACTAGACCGGGAGTGTTGACTACAGCAATGGTATCACTAGACCGGGAGTGTTGACTACAGCAATGGTATCACTAGACCGGGAGTGTTGACTACAGTAATGGTATCACTAGACCGGGAGTGTTGACTACAGCAATGGTATCACTAGACCGGGAGCGTTGACTACAGCAATGGTATCACCAGACTGTGTACTGAGTGTTGACTACAGCAATGGTATCACTAGACAGGGAGCGTTGACTACAGCAATGGTATCACCAGACTGTGTACAGAGTGTTGACTATAGTAATGGTATCACTAGACCGTGTACAGAGTGTTGACTGCAGTAATGGTATCACCAGACCGTGTACAGAGTGTTGACTGCAGTAATGGTATCACTAGACCGTGTACAGAGTGTTGACTATAGTAATGGTATCACTAGACCGTGTACAGAGTGTTGACTGCAGTAATGGTATCACCAGACCGTGTACAGAGTGTTGACTGCAGTAATGGTATCACTAGACCGTGTACAGAGTGTTGACTGCAGTAATGGTATCACCAGACCGTGTACAGATTGTTGACTATAGTAATGGTATCGCTAGACCGTGTACAGAGTGTTGACTGCAGTAATGGCATCACCAGACCGTGTACAGAGTGTTGACTATAGTAATGGCATCACTAGACCGTGTACAGAGTGTTGACTGCAGTAATGGTATCACTAGACCGTGTACAGAGTGTTGACTGCAGTATTGGTATCACTAGACCGTGTACAGAGTGTTGACTGCAGTAATGGTATCACTAGACCGTGTACAGAGTGTTGACTACAGTAATGGTATCACTAGACCGTGTACAGAGTGTTGACTGCAGTTATGGTATCACTAGACCGTGTACAGAGTGTTGACTGTAGTAATGGTATCACCAGACCGTGTACAGAGTGTTGACTACAGTAATGGCATCACTAGACCGTGTAGAGAGTGTTGACTGCAGTAATGGTATCACTAGACCGTGTACAGAGTGTTGACAATAGTAATGGTATCACTAGACCGTGTACAGAGTGTTGACTGCAGTAATGGTATCACCAGACCGTGTACAGAGTGTTGACTATAGTAATGGTATCGCTAGACCGTGTACAGAGTGTTGACTGCAGTAATGATATCGCTAGACCGTGTACTGAGTGTTGACTATAGTAATGGTATCGCTAGACCGTGTACTGAGTGTTGACTGCAGTAATGGTATCACCAGACCGTGTTGAGTTGGTAAAGCCTACCGATAGAACATGCGTTCTACTACGTCATTGAGTTTTGTAACACGTTCTACTGAATTACATGCAAATATCAACTTACAATGTTTTCACACAAAGCCTGAAGTTATATGGCATTCTGTTCCGAGTTATTAAGTTTATCATGCAGAAACATCCACCCACAGCAGCTAACAACTGGTCAACCCCATTGTACAGACGATTCACTCTCATAAATTGGAAGAACCTCTTTCAGTTTGCCAGTGTGTACTATTTCTAGACATCTCTTTGAACACAGGTATACCGACACGGTGACCGCAGTCCCTTCAGGACGTACCCGAACAACCCCAACGCCATCGAGAAGTACTGGCCCCAGGGACTAGGATGGCTCACCATGGTACGTCACGACGCTGCTCTAAAATACCCTACCCTCTTAAAATAAAGATACATTTACAAATGATATAATGTTGAAAACTGGCTTTCAGGAAGGAATGAAACAACACTACTCGCTTGGTCGTTTCATCCGTCGGCGCTACTCTGGGTTTCTCAGTGACAAGTATCTGCACACAGAGGTGGGTGACACAGGACAAGTAGCTGCACACAGAGGTGGGTGACACATGACACGGACCTGCACCCAGAGGTGGGTGAAATATGACAAGTACCTGCACACAGAGGTGGGTGACACATGGGAAGTGCCTGCACACAGAGGTGGGTGACACATGACAAGTAGCTGCACACAGATGTGGGTGACACATGACAAGTACCTGCACACACAGGTGGGTGACACATGGGAAGTGCCTGCACACAGAGGTGGGTGACACATGGGAAGTGCCTGCACACAGAGGTGGGTGACACATGACAAGTACCTGTCACACACAGGTGGGTGACACATGGGAAGTGCCTGCACACAGAGGGTGGTGACACATGACGAGTACCTGCACACAGAGGTGGGTGACACATGGGAAGTGCCTGCACACAGAGGTGGGTGACACATGACAAGTACCTGCACACACAGGTGGGTGACACATGGGAAGTTCCTGCACACAGAGGTGGGTGACACATGGGAAGTACCTGCACACACAGGTGGGTGACACATGACACGGACCTGCACCCAGAGGTGGGTGAAATATGACAAGTACCTGCACACAGAGGTGGGTGACACATGGGAAGTGCCTGCACACAGAGGTGGGTGACACATGGGAAGTACCTGCACACACAGGTGGGTGACACATGACAAGTACCTGCACACAGAGGTGGGTGAAACATGGGAAGTGCCTGCACACAGAGGTGGGTGACATATGGGAAGTGCCTCCACACAGAGGTGGGTGACACATGACAAGTTCCTGCTCACAGAGGTGGGTGACACATGACAAGTACCTGCACACAGAGGTGGGTGACACATGACACGGACCTGCACCCAGAGATGGGTGAAATATGACAAGTACCTGCACACAGAGGTGGGTGACACATGGGAAGTGCCTGCACACAGAGGTGGGTGACACATGGGAAGTACCTGCACACACAGGTGGGTGACACATGACAAGTACCTGCACACAGAGGTGGGTGACACATGACACGGACCTGCACCCAGAGGTGGGTTAAATATGACAAGTACCTGCACACAGAGGTGGGTGACACATGGGAAGTGCCTGCACACAGAGGTGGGTGACACATGGGAAGTACCTGCACACACAGGTGGGTGACACATGACAAGTACCTGCACACAGAGGTGGGTGACACATGGGAAGTACCTGCACACACAGGTGGGTGACACATGACAAGTACCTGCACACAGAGGTGGGTGACACATGGGAAGTGCCTCCACACAGAGGTGGGTGACACATGACAAGTACCTGCACACAGAGGTGGGTGACACATGACAAGTACCTGCTCACAGAGGTGGGTGACACATGACAAGTACCTGCACACAGAGGTGGGTGACACATGGGAAGTGCCTCCACACAGAGGTAGGTGACACATGACGAGTACCTGCTCACAGAGGTGGGTGACACATGACAAGTACCTGCACACAGAGGTGTGTGACACATGACAAGTACCTGCACTCAGAGGTGTGTGACACATGACGAGTACCTGCACACAAAGGTGGGTGACATATGACAAGTACCTGCACACATAGGTGGGTGACACATGACAAGTACCTGCACACAGAGGTGGGTAACACATGACAAGTACCTGCACACAGAGGTGGGTGACACGTGACAAGTACCTGCACACAGAGGTGGGTGACACGTGACAAGTACCTGCACACAGAGGTGGGTGACACATGATGAGTAGCTGCACACAGAGGGTGGTGCCACATGACGAGTACCTGTACACAGAGGTGGGTGACACGTGACAAGTACCTGCACACAGAGGTGGGTGACACGTGACAAGTACCTGCACACAGAGGTGGGTGACAGATGACAAGTAGCTGCACACATAGATGCTTGACACATGACAAGTACCTGCACACAGAGGTGGGTGACACATGACAAGTAGCTGCACACAGAGGTGGGTGACACATGACAAGTAGCTGCACTCAGAGGTGTGTGACACATGACGAGTACCTGCACACAGAGGTGGGTGACACATGACAAGTACCTGCACACAGAGGTGGGTGACACATGACAAGTACCTGCACACAGAGGTGGATGACACATGACAAGTACCTGCACACAGAGGTGGGTGACACATGACAAGTAGCTGCACACAGAGGTGGGTGACACATGACAAGTAGCTGCACTCAGAGGTGTGTGACACATGACGAGTACCTGCACACAGAGGTGGGTGACACATGACAAGTACCTGCACACAGAGGTGGGTGACACATGACAAGTACCTGCACACAGAGGTGGATGACACATGACAAGTACCTGCACACAGAGGTGGGTGACACATGACAAGTACCTGCACACAGAGGTGGGTGAAATATGACAAGTACCTGCACACAGAGGTGGGTGACACATGCCAAGTAGCTGCACACAGAGGTGGGTGACACATGACAAGTAGCTGCACACAGAGATGGGTGACACATGACAAGTAGCTGCACACAGAGGTGGGTGACACATGACAAGTACCTGCACACAGAGGTGGGTGACACATGACAAGTAGCTGCACACAGAGGTGGGTGACACATGACAAGTAGCTGCACTCAGAGGTGTGTGACACATGACGAGTACCTGCACACAGAGGTGGGTGACACATGACAAGTACCTGCACACAGAGGTGGGTGACACATGACAAGTACCTGCACACAGAGGTGGATGACACATGACAAGTACCTGCACACAGAGGTGGGTGAAATATGACAAGTACCTGCACACAGAGGTGGGTGACACATGCCAAGTAGCTGCACACAGAGGTGGGTGACACATGACAAGTAGCTGCACACAGAGATGGGTGACACATGACAAGTAGCTGCACACAGAGGTGGGTGACACATGACAAGTACCTGCACACAGAGGTGGGTGAAACATGACAAGTATTTATTTAGGGCAGTCCGGTAGCCTAGAGGTTAAAGCGTGCGCTCATCCCGCCGAAGACCCGGGTTCGATTACCGACATGGGTACAATGTGTGAAGCCCATTTCTGGTGTCCCTCGCCGTGATATTGCTGGAATATTGCTAAAAGCGGCGTAAAAATATGCTCACTCATTTATTTTTATGTTTTGCATATCTGTATCAGGAGCGCGAAAAGCCTCCTTTCTGATCCTCCCCTATGTTTGTTTTATTTTTGAAAACTCTGTAAACTTTCAGTGTAAGGTTGGGAATCTGATTCACTGATGTCACTCCAGGTCACCGTGGAGAGCTCAGACGTGGACAGGTGTCTGATGTCTGCCTACTCCAACCTGGCCGGTCTGTACCCTCCAAGTGGGGACCAAGTGTGGAACAGCAACATCCCCTGGCAGCCCATCCCCGTCCACACCAGGCCAGAGCCCGAGGATAACGTAAATAACACAATCACTTACACCATGTATACTCGTGCTCACTCAATCGAAGGACCCAATGAAACAAACTTACTCATAACGGATGTCCCTGTCACACAGGTAGTGACTGAATTATTTGTACGCCGCACTAACACCAGCCGCCTTTATGTTCGTTTTACAGATGCTGGCTCTGCGGAAGCCCTGTAAAAAATACGACCAAATCGAGACTGCCAACTTTGCGTCTAACCGTCTTAAGAAGCTAGTGGCTGCAGATATGGTAATGTACACTTCTTTCAATACGAATCCAACTACTTCTATGTTTGAGATGACGTATCTTCGCTCCTAAACAGACAGTAAACATGTATCATACTATCACCAGACAAAATAATTATTTCATTTTTCAGGACTTCATCCAGTTCATTAGCAGAGAATCAGGTTTCAAACCTTTCAGAGTGCGTGACGTTGGGCCTGTGGCGGACACACTTTTTTGCGAGGTAGGTCACCCTGCATGACGTACAACATATAGGTGACACACTTCAGTGTGAGGTAGGTCACATTGCATTACATACCACATATAGGTGACACACTTCAATGTGAGTAAGGTCACATTGCATGACGTACCACATATAGAAGACACGCTTCAATGTGAGGTAGGTCACATTGCATGACGTACCACATATAGGTGACACACTTCAATGTGAGGTAGGTCACATTGCATGACGTACCACATATAAGTGACACACTTCAATGTTAGGTAGGTCACATTGCATGACGTACCACATATAAGTGACACACTTCAATGTGAGGTAGGTCACATTACATGACGTACCACATATAGATGAAACACTTCAAAGTGAGGTAGGTCACATTGCATGACATACAACATATAGGTGACACACTTCAGTGTGAGGTAGGTCACATGCATTACGTACTGCACATAGGTGACACACTTCAATGTGAGTGATTTCCTTCAATTAGCAGACACACTTCCTATGAAAGAGAAATCCTTCAAGATTTATGTACAATTGTTATTTTTGCATCATCCATTTCTTAATATCATATAATGATGACAAATTTGTAACATTATATTGTCATGATTTGTCAACATGAACATACTAACGATATTACATTTCAGAAAACCCATAATATAACTTGGCCGACCTGGGTGAATGAAACCATCTACGCTAAACTCAGAGAGTTCGAACAAATTGGCTTCGATCTTCTGTTCAGTGACAACGTCGGACGTTTGAAAGGAGGTGATGATTAGACCATGAGACGTCAGTATATCACCCAGTACAATAGCTATTTGCTCTTGAAATGGAATGTTTGGCTATGCTGCACGATTACGGTTGACATGTCTGTATGTCCCCAATGCAATAGCTATTAGCTCTTACCATGGAATGTCTGGCTATGCTGCACGATTACTGATGCCACGTCTGTATGTCACCCAATACAATAGCTATTTGCCCTGACCATGGATTGTCTGGCTATGCTGCACGATTACTGATGAGACGTCTGTATGTCACTCAATACAATAGCTATTAGCCCTTACCATCGAATGTCTGGCTATGCTGCACGATTACTGATGAGACGTCTGTATGTCACTCAATACAGTGACTATTAGCTCTTACCATGGAATGTCTGGCTATGCTGCACGATTACTGATGAGACGTCTGTATGTCACCCAATACAGTGACTATTAGCTCTTACCATGGAATGTCTGGCTATGCTGCACGATTACTGATGAGACGTCTGTATGTCACCCAATACAGTGACTATTAGCTCTTACCATGGAATGTCTGGCTATGCTGCACGATTACTGATGAGACGTCTGTATGTCACCCAATACAGTGACTATTAGCTCTTACCATGGAATGTCTGGCTATGCTGCACGATTACTGATGAGACGTCTGTATGTCACCCAATACAGTGACTATTAGCTCTTACCATGGAATGTCTGGCTATGCTGCACGATTACTGATGAGACGTCTGTATGTCACCCAATACAGTGACTATTAGCTCTTACCATGGAATGTCTGGCTATGCTGCACGATTACTGATGAGACGTCTGTATGTCACCCAATACAGTGACTATTAGCTCTTACCATGGAATGTTTGGCTATGCTGCACGATTACGGTTGACATGTCTGTATGTCCCCAATGCAATAGCTATTAGCTCTTACCATGGAATGTCTGGCTATGCTGCACGATTACTGATGCCACGTCTGTATGTCACCCAATACAATAGCTATTTGCCCTGACCATGGATTGTCTGGCTATGCTGCACGATTACTGATGAGACGTCTGTATGTCACTCAATACAATAGCTATTTGCCCTTACCATGGAATGTCTGGCTATGCTGCACGATTACTGATGACACGTCTACACGACACCCAATACAATGGCTATTTGCTCTTGACATGGAATGTCTGGCTATGCTGCACGATTACTGATGCGACGTCGGTATGTCATCCAATACAATAGCTATTAGCTCTTACCATGGAGTGTCTGGCTATGCTTCACGATTACTGATGCCACATAGAGAAGTATTCATTCATGTTCACTCACGTACTCATCAACCATGAACCATGTGTTGTCACTAATCACACAAAATGCTGTATTGTTGTGTTATCTGGATACCGACATTATCCTCACTGTAGTGCCCATTTGTTTTGGCAGTTTATCAATATCCAGAAACATACTTATAAACTCAAGTGCAAAACAAAAGTATTTCTTTCTTCAAATTGATATGAAGTAACTGAATTAGAAACATGAAGAACATGTTCGCTCAAACAAAACTCTTGTGTTATGGCAATGATAAGCAGGACATTATCGAAATGTTTACTTTAATCCACAGCCACAAGGCATTCGTGCGTGAGTGCGTGCGTGCGTGCGTGCGTGTGAGCGTGTTGGGCTTGCGGGCGTGTTGGGTATGAAATTGTTAACTTCCTGGTGCAATCTCGCTCTTACCATTTCCCGGAGATATGCCACTTGAAGTCATGTGCAGTCATCAATCCAGTCCTAGATCTGACAGGATGGATGTGTGTCTTTTAGGTCCTCTACTAGAGAAGTGGATAGACCTGGCACATAAGAAGGTCGCGTCCAAGAGCTACACTACCAAGATGAATATGTTCTCGGCTGTAGGTAGACTTTACTATGCTGTAAACTGTGTTCTCTTCTCGCTAATATGTGCACGGTATTATTTTGTGGAAGTTTCATGAACAGTTGCCTATTCCATCACATATTAGCTACAACTTCACATGTACTTCACATCTGTCACCTGAGTATGTCTTGTCCCCCAACTTGTACTTCACATCTGTCACCTGAGTATGTCTTGTCCCCTAACTTGTACTTCACATCTGTTACCTGAGTATGTCTTGTCCCCCAACTTGTACTTCACATCTGTCACCTGAGTATGTCTTGTTCCCTAACTTGTACTTCACATCTGTCACCTGAGTATGTCTTGTCCCCCAACTTGTACTTCACATCTGTCACCTGAGTATGTCTTGTCCCCCAACTTGTACTATACATCTGTCACCTGAATATGTCTTGTCAACCCAACTTGTACTTCACATCTGTCACCTGAGTATGTCTTGTCCCCCAACTTGTAGTTCACATCTGTCACCTTAGTATGTCTTGTCCCCCAACTTGTACTTCACATCTATCACCTGAGTATGTCTTGTTCCCCAACTTGTACTTCACATCTGTCACCTGAGTATGTCTTGTCCCCCAACTTGTACTTCACATCTGTCACCTGAGTATGTCTTGTCCCCCAACTTGTACTTCACATCTGTCACCTGAGTATGTCTTGTCCCCCAACTTGTACTTCACACCTGTCACCTGAGTATGTCTTGTCCCCCAACTTGTACTTCACATCTGTCACCTGAGTATGTCTTGTTCCCCAACTTGTACTTCACATCTGTCACCTGAGCATGTCTTGTCCCCAACTTTTACTTTTACATCTATACTGAACTGTAAAAGAAACGTCACCATGGATAGATATATGAGAAACCTTATTTGTCCAAACACTGTAAACATACTTTGAAACATATTAAAAAAATGAAACTTGGCAAAACTTATCTTCAAGGTTGAAATTATAGTGTCAAATGTTCTTAAAGTGAAACACAACAATAGTCTCTGAGAAAATGGCATCACAAGTCAGTATCTCGTGTGTCCGCCATGTGCATTGATGACTGCCGTGCAACGTCGATACATGGAATGGATGAGGCGGTTGATGAAGGCCATAGGCACTTGAGTCCACACTCTGAGGAACTCTTGACACAGTTCAGCTGCAGTTGTCGGCCTTGGTGCTCAATGGGATTTAAATCGAGACTGAGGGCAGGCCACTGCATGGTTCTCTTGTTGCTCTTGCAGTGTGGGCACGGTGTCATCATGCTGAAACTCTTGGTTGCGGCAACGTGCCAAATGAGGTATGGCGTGTGGTCTCAAGACTTGATCAATGTACCGAGCTGCTGTTACACCATTGCCTCTCCCTGGACCGATGTCCTGGAAGACCACTGGGCCGACCCTCTGTGCAAGACAAATTCTACCCCACACCATGATGCTCGGATCACCCCACGAGTCTCTCTCTTAACAACACAAGCATCCGAATAATGATTCCCACGGCATCACCAGACTCTTTCTCTCTGACATCTGCTTTTGAGATATAGTAAAGGCTCTGGCCTGAGAAGAGGACGTCAATGCTGGTGCCGTGTTGCCCACTGAAGACGGTCCCGGCGATGACGTGGTGTCAGAATGGGTCTTCAGTGTGGCCTGTGACAGTGGAGGTGTCTGCTCGTCAATCGTCGATGCACAGTGTCCGCACTAATGTGTCGCTGGTGTGTCCCAATGGTCTTTCGAGCAGTTTCCACAGCAGTAACAAAGCGATCTTGAAGATGCTGTCACACAATCTGACGATCCTGACGTTGGGTGGTGACCCTTGGTCTTCCACTACATGGTTGGTCATGTGTAGTGTTGGTGGTCTGGTACCGTTGCTGGAAATGCATTGGCTACATGCTGGGCAGTTTGTCCAGCTTGCAATCGTCCAAGGACTTGGTGTCGCTGATTTCTTGTCAATCTTGGCATGTGGTAGTAATTCATTAACGAATGAATGATATCCGATCTGGGTGGATTTTTATAGGGCAAGAAATATTGGAACGCATGTGCTTTTCAATTTGCCGGGAACTCACGTGCATTGGGTTACCATGGCATTGCCGTGATGCGTTTGGGCGATCGGTTTTATTGTCATCTGCTTTGATTTTTTATCATCAAATTTCATTTTTCCGGACAAGGTAGTGTTACATTTTAGAAACTTTGACAAAAAATACCCACATATTTAAATGACAACTTTTCATGCAATGTTACTCTGGGTTATGTTTCTTTTGCGGTTCAGTATAAAAGCTGAGTATGTCTTGTCCCACTCGTATTTTAAGATGTTTTTTTAGCCGTAAACTATTCAAGTTTTAAATACAATTGTCTTTATGATGTATAAAGATTGGACAAGGGCAAGATTCATTTTATCGTTAAATGGTTGTCAATACTAAAACTAAACACTATTTTATAGTTTTCTTGCTTTTCCTTTTCAAACCTTCTGAGAAACCACTTTGAAAATTATTTAAGTTATCCTGTGGTGACAGCTTGATGTTGGAACAAAACCAAAGTGGTGCATGTCTTACCACGAATTGGCATCTTACCGATAAAACTCTGAGACATAATCATAAACCTTTGACGACTGAGCTTATGACGATCAACACTGCAATGAATTCAAATGACAATGTCTGTAAAAAACGAGGTCGCTATACCTCTTATCACACCCTACTACAACAACGTATCCTTTTAGTTCTATGGCAATATGATATGTCATCAAAACAATTTAGTGAATGTCTCTGTTGGTGCTTTAAACATGTTACCCTCTTGTTTTTGCATAGCATGACTCCACTGTAGTGGCGGTACTGAGCGCGTTGAAGCTCTACAATAACTTAATCCCGCCCTACACGTCCACCGTCTTCATGGAGCTGCACGAGACAGGGGCCGGTGTCTTCCACGTGGAGCTGTACTACAGGAATGTGTCATCCACAGACCCTAACGATGACACACAGCCTCATCAACTCACCATCCCAGGTGCGACACACTATGTAGCAACAACACATCTCTTCTCTGTACCAGTAACACATCTTGTCTCTGTACCACAATCACATTTTGTCTCAGAACTGTCTTGTCTGTTATCAATACTGTATTAAACATTCATGGGTTTCTGTGCAGGTTGTACGTCCCAGTGCCCATTGGTCAACTTTGTGTCCCTCACCAAAGACATGGTTCCCACAGACTGGGACGCCGAGTGCGCCGCCTCCAACACAGGTAAACAGGGACATGCCACCAACTAGTACTGTGCCTTAGCCGTCACCTAGTCCTGTGCCTTAGCCGTCACCTAGTCCCGTGCCTTAGCCGTCACCTAGTCCCGTGCCTTAGCCGTCACCTAGTCCCGTGCCTTAGCCGTCACCTAGTATTGTGCCATAGCCGTCACCTAGTCCCGTGCCTTAGCCGTCACCTAGTATTGTGCCTTAGCCGTCACCTAGTATTGTGCCTTAGCCGTCACCTAGTATTGTGCCTTAGCCGTCACCTAGTCCCGTGCCTTAGCCGTCACCTAGTCCCGTGCCTTAGCCGTCACCTAGTATTGTGCCTTAGCCGTCACCTAGTCCCGTGCCTTAGCCGTCACCTAGTCCCGTGCCTTAGCTGTCACCTAGTATTGTGCCTTAGCCACCAATGTAATCTCAGACAACAGTGAGTGAGTGAGTGAGTGAGTGAGTATGGTTTTACGCCGCTTTTAGCAATATTCCAGGAATATCTCGGCGGGGGACACCAGAAATGGGCTCCACACATAGTACCCATGTCGGGAATAGAACCCGGGTCTTCGGCGTGACGAGCGAACGCTTTAACCACTAGGCTACCCGACTGCCCCTCAGACAACAGTCATAATGTGATGGATCACTGTTGTCACAATGCTTATCCTCAAAATGGAGCAAAACTATATAATCAGGAACTTGGGTTCCAATTCCTACATTAGTTGCCGTTAGTTGCCTCTTGGTTTCAATCCCTACATTAGTGAGTTATTCGCTTGCCACATGAGTTCTTATCCATACATAGGGGAGTTGTTTTCTTGCCTCCACGTAGTCCAGATCCTAAGCCATACAATACCAATACCAACACTGTTGTGTCGTTCATTTGCCTTAATGTGTGTGGCAGTACCTACAATCGTGCGTCATTGGCTCGCATTAATGTGCGTGCCAATGTGTGTCCACATAAGTGTGTCGATCACTCAACATTTGTGCCAGTCCTAAAATTGGTGAGCCATTCAGTCACCTATAGAGGAGTCCAGCCAAAACATGAGTCCTGTCTACTCCACTCTGTAAGGATATAATGAAACAAATATGTGTCCCCTCCTTCTCCTAAAGTCAAGGCTTTACATGTTGTTGCATGTTGTAGGTACAATCATCGGGAAGCGAGGACAACATGCCAGTCCAGTCATCAAAGTTCTTCATCCACACTTAAAATAAAGATTTGCTTCAAGAACACACCAACTGACCTGAAATGTACATTACCATACATATATCCATCATTAAGGTGCTCCTCGGTGATTAAGGTGATTAATAAAATCATGACAAAAAAACGATAGTGAGTGTGTCTGAAAACAACCTGTCTTTTTCTTTATAAAATTCATTCACACCTGTCCCAAGAATCATCTGTAAACTCAAATTAATGGTATGACGTAACTGACATGTCTGTTGTACAAGCTCTACTTGTCTGTGACAGCTGGAACTGGTGGTAGGTTGTTACTGATATGTCTGTTGTACAAGCTCTACTTGTCTGTGACAGCTGGAAATGGTGGTAGGTTGTTACTGACATGTCTGTTGTACAAGCTCTACTTGTCTGTGACAACTGAAACTGGTGGGAGGATGTTACTGATATGTCTGTTGTACAAGCTCTACTTGTCTGTGACAGCTGGAACTGGTGGTAGGTTGTTACTGACATGTCTGTTGTACAAGCTCTACTTGTCTGTGACAACTGAAACTGGTGGTAGGATGTTACTGATATGTCTGTTGTACAAGCTCTACTTGTCTGTGACAGCTGGAAATGGTGGTAGGTTGTTACTGACATGTCTGTTGTACAAGCTCTACTTGTCTGTGACAGCTGGAACTGGTGGTAGGTTGTTACTGATATGTCTGTTGTACAAGCTCTACTTGTCTGTGACAGCTGGAAATGGTGGTAGGTTGTTACTGACATGTCTGTTGTACAAGCTCTACTTGTCTGTGACAACTGAAACTGGTGGTAGGATGTTACTGACATGTCTGTTGTACAAGCTCTACTTGTCTGTGACAACTGGAACTGGTGGTAGGTTGTTACTGACATGTCTGTTGTACAAGCTCTACTAGTCTGTGACAGCTGGAACTGGTGGTAGGAAGTTACTGACATGTCTGTTGTACAAGCTCTACTAGTCTGTGACAACTGGAGCTGTTACAAACAAAAAGCAGTTTGGGAGGGCTAATTTTATATATATTTTGTTTTTGCATAGAAGCTTTCTACATTTTTACTTTTCATTCATAACATTTTGTGGTATGTACAAACAAAACTGATAGGACATGTATAAGGGTATCAATCTGTTACATTTAAAACAAAAATCTTCACAACGCAAGATGAAGTTTCATACCTCATTTGTTGTCAACATGATAAAACAGTTGTCATGTCACACTGTGGGTAGTGAACCATGGACAAGGATAATATACAGTATATATACACCATGCATAAACATATAGATTAACAGGAATATAAAGACATTTCCAAACAACCATGTAATATTATAAAGGTTTTGCACAACACCCAAAAAATATATCTGAGAAATCTTCATAATATTTGAACAAGAATTTAATCATTGTAACAACTTGGCACGTCTGAAAGTATGTACTGCTCAAAGCATTAACATGTACGGCCATGCAGCAGAACATTAACTTCTCAGCCCTGGGTTTTCATTAGAATGCAGTAAAATAAAGCTTTAAAAGAATCTGGCTCTCACTTGAAGACACAATGTTTAATTCCTGACATAGGTTGTGGTTTTTAGGTGAAGCTAGATGGGCAATAGCGTACAAATACTCTGAAACTAGATGGGGACAGGGCTATAGGGTACAAATACTCTAAACCTAGATGGGGACTGGGTTATAGGGTACTAATACTCTGAAACTAGATGGGGACTGGGTTATATGGTACAAATACTCTGAAGTTAGATGGGGACAGGGCAATAGTGTACAAATACTCTGAAACTAGATGGGGACTGGGTTATAGGGTACAAATACTCTGAAACTAGATGGGGACTGGGTTATAGGGTACTAATACTCTGAAACTAGTTTGGGACTGGGTTATAGGGTACTAATACTCTGAAACTAGATGGGGACTGGGCAATAGCGTACAAATACTCTAAAACTAGATGGGGACAGGGCAATAGCGTACAAATACTCTGAAACTAGATGGGAACAGGGCAATAGCGTACAAATACTCTGAAACTAGATGGGGACAGGGCTATAGTGTACAAATACTCTGAAACTAGATGGGGACTGGGTTATAGGGTACAAATACTCTGAAGCTAGATGGGGACAGGGCTATAGGGTACAAATACTCTGAAACTAGAGGGGGTCAGGGCTATAGGGTACAAATACTCTGAAACTAGATGGGGACTGGGTTATAGGGTACAAATACTCTGAAGTTAGATGGGGACAGGGCTATAGGGTACAAATACTCTGAAGTTAGATGGGGTCAGGGCTATAGAAACTAGATGGGGACAAGGCTATAGGGTACAAATACTCTGAAGTTAGATGTGAACGGGCAATAGCATACAAATACTCTGAAGTTAGATGGGGACAGGGTTATAGGGTACAAATACTCTGAAGTTAGATGGGGACTGGGCTATAGCGTACAAATAATAATAATAATAATAATAATAATAATAATAACAAGCATGAAATACTCACATCCCCCGCCAATATGACATGCCGGGTGTGTGCAATGCATTAGCTCCTGTGAACTATGTTCACTGGGCCTTTTTGTAAAGAAATATAGTACATTTTTCAAGATCTGCTCCGGAAACGAGGACTACCGCCATTTTCAGTCTAAATCAAAGTCGTTGCCATGGAAACTTAAAAAACAATTTTTTTAAAAATCCTAAACTATCAAAAGGCACCAGTTCACCACTAGATCTATCTATGTGCCAAGTTTGGTGAAGAAATATGGTACGGTTTTCAAGATCTGCTCCGGAAACGAAATGTGACGGACGGACGGACGGAAGGACGGCCGGCACCCATTGCTATATCCCCCTTCCACTTCATGGCGGGGGATAATAATAATAATGTGCACTTTTAATGTGCTAGCCTCCATGCAGCAGTTCATGCTCAAAGCGCTACACCATTATTACCCCGGTCAATGGATCAGTGAGCACTCGATTTTTATTAATACTCTGAAGCTAAACACGTATACTGGAAGTGGGGATGGCTGGGTGGGCGCTATAGTGTATGATTCAGGATAAGTATAAATGATATTTTTACCCTTAAAGTGTACATATTTTACCTTATCCTAACTTCTTAAATATCAATCTGCAGTGGGGCACCACCTCTGTGAGAGTAGCAAAAATAAAGAGATTTCGTGGATTTTGTAAGTGTGCATAGAATTATATTCCAGCTTACTTAGAACAGTTCTCGTGTGAAGAGAAGGTCATAATCTTGACAATCGTTGTCACTCATGTTCCGAATTACTTTGTAAACCAGGGAGGCATGGGCTTCCCATCTTCCCGAGGCAAGGGAGTTAACTGACTATAAAAGTCCAGTTTCCACCCTTGCCAAACTAGGCTGGTATCATGGAGTTACATTTTGGCTGGACTAATGAGTCTATGCAAAGTCCAATCAAAATCTCGCAACAAAATCAAAATCTGGTCAGTAAACTGTCGTTCAGATTTCGGTCGATTGCCGGATTTGCAAAACATGTGCACCACCAACTCATTGTCAACAGATATTTTCTAAACCTTTTCATGTTTTTAATCAATGTGCTCGCGTGATTTGATGCTCTTCGCGATGTAAGACCCGTTTTATCACACTATAGATCTTGATTATCGATCAGATCGTCTTAAGTGGGCGCCGCCATTTTGTTTGAAACAAATGCAAGTGATGGAATTGGATTGGTCCACAGGAGACTCAGAAGGGACACAACTCATAATAACCACAGGTGGCACCGATGAGCCCAGGAATTCCAGTCTTGTTTGGGTGGAAACTGGACTTTTAAAGTCAGTTAACTCTCTTGCTTCGGGAAGATGGATCTCTCAGTTGGTGGTTATGAATCAGTAACCTGACATCTACATGTTCTACCGTGATTTTGGTTATCTTTGATTATGTACTTTTAGTTGTTGAGCAACCAGTAGGGGTCCGAACTGGTTAATCGAACCAATATCTTCTGTTGCAAAGACCCAATGGCAGTGTTTGGCAAAGACTGTGTCTAATTTCCAGAAACATACTGCCATTATCATTGGAAAAAATCAGTTGCCATTAAGCGCGAATGTGGAAGTGAGAGATCTGACCTTACGGGGATTGGAAGTGCTCCATACATGAAGCTCGAAAATGTTTCAGTTTGTATGAAGTTGTCTTGAGTGAGGATGAAGAAATATGTTTGACCAATTTGGAAGCTTTAGTACTGGATTCCCTGCTAGGGTGATGAGGTCTGGAAACTAGGTTCTTGCTGACCAGTAAGGTGCGAGCAAAAGCAGTAAAAGGCACTATTTGTGCCTGATCTACTGTAGGACTGAGGGTAATGGTGCTTGTGGGGGGAATTCAAAGGCTTGAAGTCTTCCCCACGATATCCCCCGTATGTGTCTTGCCTTTATATTTATATTTAGCCTGTCTGTAAGACTAAATAGATGAAAAGTTAATCTCAGATCCCTTTGAGATTTATGTAGAAGGCCACTGTCAAGCTGTCCGTTCTGATCATAAGAAAGAGGTTTATCAATCGAGGAGCCTGGATCACTGCCACAAACTCCAGTTGATTTACCGGTATATGGAGGAGCTTCTTTTCTGCTGACCATAGCTCTGTAGGGACATGTCCACATAAAGCTGAGGGTTGAAAAGCAGCTCGTTCAAAAAGGTTCCTCCACAGACATTCGACTTGATTGTCCATCAATAAAGGTATTTAAGGAAACATTGTGGATAGCGAAGTTTGATATCTTTACAGTCTAGGAAAGAGGTTAGGACCCTCTGGATAGGAAGCCTACCCCTTGGGCTGTTGTGAGAAGGCCTAGCAGAACTTGCCATTGATTGACCGACATCTGTTAGTGCATAGCTGCTGGCAAACAATTTTGCATTTTATCTGGCAATCTTCTGGGACTTGGAGGGGTTAGTAAACCCTGAGTCCTAGTAGCCTTGGACAAGGATGTGTCATGACTTGTAAGGTAGATCAGTAGAAGGTAGATCCTTGGAGGGGAACGAGATGGGAAGACCATCAGCGATCCATATCAGAAACTCCTGGTCCCAGGTAGAAGGTATTTCCTCCTGACATGAGGATGTATCAGCAAAAGAAGGCTCAAACACATCCTCTTCCTGTAAAAGGAAGAAGGAGTGAGGGTTTGGGGCTATAGCAGAGCGGTGATAAGTGTGAGACACGTCGTCTGAGACGGGAGTAGATGCGGTAGACTGCGTGGGTGGTTTGTTGAGTGTGTGTTGTAACTGCATCAAGGATCACTAGCATTAGCTACGAAGTCATAGGACGAAGGAAGCATGGTACTTTGCAGGTTGCATGAACGTAGGCAGGTATGTGCAGGCCTGTATGCATGTGTGAAACCTGTGAAAGGTTCATTAACGACGGGAGCTGCATGCAGGTCAGTGGACGTGTACAGGAAGCATGCTTCTGCGTCTTCGTGGCTGCCTTCACGGACGTCTTCATAAAACCCACAAGGGGTAACGATGTGGGCTTCGTGAAGGTGGGGACCTTCATGCAGGCACCTTCTGACAATGACTGTTTCTCCTCCTTCACATGCTTCTCATCACCTGATATTAGGGACACAGAAAAGGACTTCTCTGACATTGGTGCGTTTGGGTGAGATGTTTTTCTCTGTTCTTGGAAACACAGCACAGGAGTTTCGATTATGTTTCAGGAATGAGATAACTTAAGCAATTAGAATGAGTCAGGATAAGGTAAAATTAGTATTTTTTTACATGAAGTTCCTTTGGAATATCAGATAATATCTTAGCAAGGTATGTTGATTGTATGAAAGCATGATTCTCTGCTCCTTGTCAGGGCAGCACATGACACATAGACTTCTGGGTTTGACCTGACTGAAGTGTAACAGATGGAAGAAACCAGCTGTCAGCCTAATGAGGATGGGGTAGCTACAATGTGTGTGTGACTTGGCTGTGGATAATACTCTGCCGCATGGATGGTAGTTGATCATGCTATCAGTCACAAGGGAATTACTTAGAGACTGCTGTGAACAGCTGGAATAGTGCTGAGAGTGGCACAAAACACTTGTCCCCAAAATTTGGCTACAGAGATACCAACCTTATATTAAGGCAATTAAGAACATCTGGGGTAATTGGCAGAAGTAGTTGTTTTCAAAACATCAGCACTAGTTATGTGACTATTCTTACTCCTCAAACCATGTCAATGCTCCAATTACACTGATGATCAATCAATTGTTATTTGGCTGTACATGCGACAATGACATATTAGTGGAATTAGGTTACGAATTTCATAAAGATTCTGCCAAAATCATTATGATTGGCATCTCTGCTTGCTATCTGAATTAAACAACTATGTTATTAAAAGCTAAGAGTCAAAAGGCTCAGGAGCTCACCATTTGGGTTGGGGGAAAGTTTACAACATTAGGTTAAAAGGTCATTACACAAATAACAAAAATTGCATTACAACAAAACATAATGAATATTATTCTTCATACTACATACTTCATACAAATTTCATAATGAATCATGTAAAAAAGGATGGCAAAAGATATTCGGCAAAAACAACATTATACTTGACATTATAGAAATTCAAGGCTTTAGAGCTATTTTGGTGAATTTGAAATCCACAAAATAGCTCTAAAGCCTTGCATTTTAAAGGTTGATACTAATAATCAAGGCTTTTCAAGAGGGACCTTAAAACTCAAGGCCTTTTCAAGACTGTACGAACCTTGGTGTTGTCTGCTTAACCCTGCACTTAGCAATATTCCAGCTATATGAGGGTGGCATTCAAACAATTGAATCTGGACCAGACCATCAAGTGATTTATATTGTAACTAACAATCCATGCCATTGAGTCTGATCACCCGATAACTTAAGTCAGCACTTAGGACCAGCATAGGTTGCTAGGGACCAATTCTAACATTCTGACAAATGGACAAATAATTAGATGGTTTTAATGAGGTGATGTCTTCTATAGTCAGAATATATTCTTGATACTGTGATACATGCCTTCCTAAACAAAGGTACTTACAGACACAAGTGCATACTTATAATTGGTTTCAAAATGATTTTATATGCGATCAAAAGTAGGTAGGTCTATTCACAAAGCATATTAAAGCTTATTCAATAACATAAGTGTAAGACATTTCCTCACACAATTCTCAACACCAACTTTCGAACTTACAAATTGATGATGACTACAATGAGTTAAAGTCAATGTGATTTGTAAGATTTTTTCATCAGTTTAAACAATATTTATTTCTTCTTTGCATGTATAAAACAACATTTTCAATTTTTCTATTCGATTACAATTTATTACCCGTATTATCTACACCGGTATAGATTTTGGGAACTCCCAGATGATACCCCCTGGGGGTAGATTCTGGGAAAGGGGGGTACATTCTGGGATATGAATGTTTTAAAACTAATTAGATGTGTACTGAATAGGTATTTATGTAAACCTAATCAGATGACAATGTTTTTACAGCAATTGACCAGAAGAGACCAAGACTGAGTTAGATACATCCACAAAAGAAAACTTCAAGTACATTCATGAAATAAAAATGTTTAAATCAAACAGGGCTGCAGTAGATTCTGGGAGGAGCTCCCAGATTACACACCGGGGTAGATTCTGGGAACTCCTAGATTATTACCCCCAGGTAATATGTGAGGCCAGCTCCTTGTTGTACAAAACTGTCGCAGGGCTAAAACGATTATTGCAAATCTGTGTTAAGGTACAAGAGCTGTGAGGCAACAGATCAGACAGCCTTGTACAACAGGGTTTGGTCCAGAGTAATAAAACAGTGTGAGCAGTCACAGTAGTACATCTTGGATCATAGTTTGTACTTGAACTTGTCCTTCCTCTCACGAATCTCCCCTAGAGCCTGGGCCCTCACTTGATCTGTTGGAGGTGAAAAGTCCTCCATGTTTACAAGTCCCAGCTGGGAGAGCACTGACTTTTCACCGGTTCTCAGGAATGGGTTATACTTCTTCTCATCTCCAACTGTAGAGGGGCACTGAAACACACAGGCATTGACTAATCTCATCTGATAAGAATCCCTTGAACAAATAGAGGTGTTAACAAAGCAGTGGTTTCAAAGAAGAGGTTTACATTAGATGCCAGACACCAGAAAGGCCAACATAAACTCATACTGACTCAGAAAGGTCAGGGAAAAAGACACTTTCTCCACCAGTGTATGTATACATCCTGGCTAGTCAGCAGGGGCAGAATACCCTGGTGGTCAGGCTCGCTGACTTGGTTGATGCATGTCATTGTATCCCAATTGCGTAGCTTGATGCTAATGATATCAATCACTTGATTGTCTGGTCCAGATTCGATAATTTACAGAACCCCATCACATAGCTGGAATATTGTTGAGTGCAGCATTAAACAACAAACAAACAAATAAACAAACAAACAAAAAAGCAGGGGCAGAAACTCCAGGAAAGCAAACTTAAGTGCCAGAAAAAGCTCTTCAGATGTAGATCGTTTTTTTAACATTTTTTATCCAATAACCACCATCACTTTGACCTATTTATGACCAAGATCACCAGCCTTGTAAACTATGAGGAATAATGTTTTAAAAAATGCGATTTTACACGTTTCCGCGGAATTTCACATCCCTCATAATTCTGTATCACTGCATATAATTTCATAAATTGTTTAATTATCTGCACATGTGACAGTTTTCACAATTTACATAAATCGCAACTATGATAATTCACAACTATGTTTTCTGCTATATTATGTGACCTACAAAGTCTTCAAATACTTCCGATAGATCTACATACCGTAGGACGTTTCTGCTCTCGTTTGGCTTTAGCCCACTTCAGCTTCTCCTGTACAAAGATAAAGAACATAGTGACAACTTATTCTTACAACTTTTACAGACTAAGTCTCAAAATGATTTGATTCATTAAATTTGTTAACATGTTTATTATGAACAAAGTGTGGTATTACCTCAGCATCTGAGTTTTCATTATCAACATGGCAGGCAAACTCCAGGTTGTCTGTTGCATATTCATGCCCTGAAACAAACAGTGGGGTAGCAGCAGGGTCTCCACATATATACTCAGGGAGACTGATACTAATACCAGTTCTCTGTCTCTAACAATGGGAAATAATCCCTCATACTAGATTATAGGGCTGGAACGATACACCAACTTTGCGATCCGATACATATCATGATACTTTGTTCATGATGTTATACGTATCACAATATTTGCTTTCATCTATGGTGCTAAAGCCATCTTTTTTATAGACAAGATGGCCAAATACCTGGCATACTGACGATTTACAGCTGGCAGTGTCAAGTATGGTGTAACCGATGAAAATATTTACGTTTTCACTACTAATTAGTGTTTGGTTTTACAGTAACTAAAGCAAACAAGTGTATGACTGTGATTGATACTTGTATCGATAATTAATAAATAGCAATCCACCGATGCATCAGTGTATCGTTCCACTACTACAACACTTTCCTAACCAAGCGTAATGAAACCTCCCCTGCCTCTGCAACGGACAGATTTGTGAGAGGGATGCATGAAGGGAGAATCTGTGAGTTGTGTAAATGAAGGGACAGAGGCGTACAGAAGTGCAGACACAGTGTAGAGAAGAGCACAATGTGATACATACCACAAACCAAACAGAACTGGGAGCACTAGTCAGTACTAGTTCCTGCAAAACATTTCTTCATTTAAATGTTTCAATAACTAGAATGTGCATGATGCTACTTCATACTTTGATCCAGGGTATATGATCCAGACTGTCTTACCTGGCCAGATGAGGGTAGAGTCGTGCAGCTCACACATTTTGTCCAGCGAGGTGAGCATAGTGACTGGTGTACCCTCAAACATTCGACCTGAACACAATTCCTCATATCACAGTGAACGGCAAGACAAGACATATTGAACATAACTTCAACAATCAACCAGTAGGTAAGACTAGTTACATTAACAAGTATATATGACTTAAAAACATGAAAAATAATTCCAAGCAAAAATATAATATTTCTTTTTTCTTGAAAAACAGTAAAAAGCCAACTTTGATGAGACATGATGATGTCATTTCCACTCCCCCTGTCCAGTATCCTCCTGTACATTCAATGATCCATGTGTTGTAAACTGCTTAGCAAGGTTTATATTTGGGGCTCCCCATAACAAGGATCCACACTGACTGATTGACTGGCACAAACGTTACACTTACCACATCCGCTGAGGAAGACGTGATCCCCAGAAAACAGGCAGTCAGGAGCTTCAAAGTTGTGACCTTCTAGATGATAGACTACATGGCCTACCGTGTGACCAGGCGTGAACATGACTGTGAACTTCAGACCACCAAATGTCAGCTTCTCCCCATCCACTACACCACTGAAGATATATTGAGTCAGTAAAGCAATCTGCCACCCTTTTTTGAAACTACTTCTTTAAGAAAATGTCTGATTGAAGTGACTGACATGATTAAAATACATGATGAAGGACAGTGAAGTTGAAAATCATAACTCATCAATGCAGGTTTACAATAACTGCATTGAAAAGAACCTGGCTAACACTGGAAATAAAAATGTAATCAAATATAGATTACAGTAGAACACGGATATAACCAACTACAAGGGACCAGAGAAATCAGTTCCTTATATCCATTGTTCGTTATACACGTTTTCGCTCGGAAACGTCCGCCATCTTGGATAAGACAAAACACAATACACGTAATTGCAGTGTTACACGTGAAATCTAGATGGCCTAATTTCACTGCAAGTTCGTCAGCTTTGGTCTTTCTTGGTTTTTATGCCAGCATCAACAGCAATAACAATTCTCAATTTCGTGTCTAAACTGATGTTGGACAAAGGCTAGTAACTTGGTGATGTTGGACAAAGGTTTCAAACTTGGTAATGTTGGACAAAGGCTACTAACTTGGTGGTGTTGGGCAAAGGCAACAAACTTGGTGATGTTGGACAAAGGCTACTAACTTGCTGGTGTTGGACAAAGGCTAGTTACTTGGTGATTTTGGACAAAGGCAACAAACTTGGTGATGATGGACAAAGGCTACTTACTTGGTGGTGTTGGACAAACGCTACTTACTTGGTGGTGTTGGACAAACGCTACTAACTTGGTGATGTTGGACAAAGGTTACTAAACTGGTGATGTTGGACAAAGGCTACCAACTTGGTGATGTTGGACAAAGGTTACTAACTTGGTGATGTTGGACAAAGGTTACTAAACTGGTGGTGTTGGACAAAGGTTACTAACTTGGTGATTTTGGACAAAGGTTACTAACTCGGTGATGTTGGACAAAGGTTACTAACTTGGTGATGTTGGACAAAGCCTACTAACTTGGTGGTGTTGGGCAAAGGCTAATAACTTGGTGATGGTGGCAAAAGGCTAATAACTTGGTGGTGTTGGACAAAGGCTACAAACTTGGTGATGGTGGACAAAGGCTACTAACTTGGTGATGATGGACAAAGGCTACTAAGTTGGTGATGGTGGACAAAGGCTACCAACTTGGTGATGGTGGACAAAGGCTACTAACTTGGTGATGGTGGACAAAGGCTACTAACTTGGTGATGGTGGACAAAGGCTACTAACTTGGTGATGGTGGACAAAGGCTACTAACTTGGTGATGGTGGACAAAGGCTACTAACTTGGTGATGTTGGGCACATGGTCCTCCGCTCCTCCAAAGATCCGGACATTTGGGTAGGCAGACTTCATAGCCTCATTCCCTCCACTGTGATCCCTAGAGACAAAGAGCAGACTTCAATTGTTGAAATCCTTCATACACTATCCACTTCAACTCATCTCTGAAGGATTGTATTAATAACCGTATGAACATCCTTTTGGTATGTTTTTGTCAAGTATATGCTTGATAGAACTGAACAGACAAAGCTAATCAATGAAGGTATGTCTGCTAATGTGTGCCTTATTTACCAATGTTTATGGGTGATGAGTATTGCTTCAGGGGTAATGTTCAAATCAGTCAGCACTTTCTGAAATAGACAAATGAAAGAGTCAGCAAATGATGTGGGCTAGCAACAACCCCTGTAAAATGCAACCCTGTCTATCCAACATGTGTTATAAAGCTCCCACTAAATATACTTATCAGGTAATATTGAAACATAGCACAGATTTTTGAAATACATTCATATTGATAAATGTAGATCCAATAACAAAATACCGTAAATGATATACAACACCCTCCAGTGATATCTATGACACAATGTCAAGGATGGGCATGATATCCATTACACAATGCTAAGGATGGGCATGATATTCATAACACAATGCTAAGGATGGGCATGATATCCATGACGCAATGTTAAGGATGGGCATGACATCCATGACACAATGTCAAGGATGGGCATGATATTCATGACACAATGTCAAGGATGGGCATGATATTCATGACACAATGTTAAGGATGGGCATGGTATTCATGACACAATGTCAAGGATGAGCATGATATTCATGACTCAATGTCAAGGATGTGCATGACATCCATGACACAATGTCAAGGATGGGCATGGCATCCATGACACAATGCTAAGGATGGGCATGATATCGAGAACAATGCTAAAGATGGGCATTCATATTGATAAATGTAGATCAAATAACAAAATACCGTAAATGATATACAACACCCTCCAGTGATATCTATGACACAATGTCAAGGATGGGCATGATATCCATGACACAATGTCAAGGATGGGCATGACATCCATGACACAATGCTAAGGATGGGCATGATATCTATGACACAATGTTAAGGATGGGCATGGCATCCATGACACAATGTCAAGGATGGGCATGACATCCATGACACAATGCTAAGGATGGGCATGATATCTATGACACAATGTTAAGGATGGGCATGGCATCCATGACACAATGTCAAGAATGGGCATGACATCCATGACACAATGTCAAGGATGGGCATGATATTCATGACACAATGTCAAGGATGGGCATGACATCCATGACACAATGTCAAGGATGGGCATGACATCCATGACACAATGTCAAGGATGGGCATGGCATCCATGACACAATGCTAAGGATGGGCATGATATCGAGAACAATGCTAAAGATGGGCATGATATCCATGACAGAATGCTAAGGATGGGCATGATATCGAGAACAATGCTAAAGATGGGCAAGATATCCATGACACAATGCTAAGGATGGGCATGATATCGAGAACAATGCTAAAGATGGGCATGATATCCATAACACAATGCTAAGGATGGGCATGATATCCAAAACACAATGTTAAGGATGGGCATGATATCCATGACACAATGCTAAGTATGGGCATGATATTGAGAACAATGCTAAGGATGGGCATGATATCCATAACACAATGCTAAGGATGGGCATGATATCTATGACACAATGCTAAGGATGGGCATGATATCCATGACACAATATTAAGGATGGGCATGATATCCATAACACAATGCTAAGGATGTGCATGATATCCAAAACACAATGCTAAGGATGGGCATGATATCCATGACACAATGCTAAGGATGGGCATGATATCGAGAACAATGCTAAGGATGGGCATGATATCCGTAACACAATGCTAAGGATGGGCATGATATCTATGACACAATGCTAAGGATGGGCATGATATCTATGACACAATGTTAAGGATGTGCATGACATCCATGACACAATGTCAAGGATGGGCATGGCATCCATGACACAATGCTAAGGATGGGCATGATATCGAGAACAATGCTAAAGATGGGCATTCATATTGATAAATGTAGATCAAATAACAAAATACCGTAAATGATATACAACACCCTCCAGTGATATCTATGACACAATGTCAAGGATGGGCATGATATCCATGACACAATGTCAAGGATGGGCATGACATCCATGACACAATGCTAAGGATGGGCATGATATCTATGACACAATGTTAAGGATGGGCATGGCATCCATGACACAATGTCAAGGATGGGCATGACATCCATGACACAATGTCAAGGATGGGCATGATATTCATGACACAATGTCAAGGATGGGCATGACATCCATGACACAATGTCAAGGATGGGCATGACATCCATGACACAATGTCAAGGATGGGCATGACATCCATGACACAATGTCAAGGATGGGCATGGCATCCATGACACAATGCTAAGGATGGGCATGATATCGAGAACAATGCTAAAGATGGGCATGATATCCATGACAGAATGCTAAGGATGGGCATGATATCGAGAACAATGCTAAATATGGGCAAGATATCCATGACACAATGCTAAGGATGGGCATGATATCGAGAACAATGCTAAAGATGGGCATGATATCCATAACACAATGCTAAGGATGGGCATGATATCCAAAACACAATGTTAAGGATGGGCATGATATCCATGACACAATGCTAAGTATGGGCATGATATCGAGAACAATGCTAAGGATGGGCATGATATCCATAACACAATGCTAAGGATGGGCATGATATCCAAAACACAATGCTAAGGATGGGCATGATATCCATGACACAATGCTAAGGATGGGCATGATATCGAGAACAATGCTAAGGATGGGCATGATATCCATAACACAATGCTAAGGATGGGCATGATTTCTATGTCACAATGCTAAGGATGGGCATGATATCTATGACACAATATTAAGGATGGGCATGATATCCATAACACAATGCTAAGGATGGGCATGATATCCATAACACAATGCTAAGGATGGGCATGATATCCATAACACAATACTAAGGATGGGCATGATATCCATAACATAATGCTAAGGATGGGCATGATATCTATGACACGATATTGAGGGTGGGTATGATCATCTTCCCAGGGTACGGGAGTTAACTGTCTAACAGTCCAGTTTCCACCCTTGCCGAAGTAGGCTGGAATTTTGTGTCTAAATCGTAGCTCTACCAGTGGTGATTACAAGTTATGTCCATCCTATTGACCAATCAGATTCCACATCTTATATCATTTGCATTTCCTTCAAACAAAGTTCAGCGCCCAGTCAAAACCATCCGATGGATAACATCTTTATTGCAATAAAATTGGTCTACCCTCACGAAGAGCATCAAATCACCTGAGCACTTGATTAAAAACATGAAGAGAAGCTCAGGTGAATGAATGTACACAAACTTTGCAAATCCTGCAATCAACCGAAACTGTCATGTTGTTTTCAAACCATGTGTCGATTACGTAACGCAATTTTGATTGGACTATGCATAGACTCGTTTGATCAGCCAAAATAAAACTCCATAATTCCAGCCTAGTTCAGCAAGGGTGGAAACTGGATTTTTACAGTCAGTTTACTCCCTTGCCTCGGGAAGATGGGGCATGATATCTATGACACAATGTGAAGGTCAAACCATTTTTCATTACTTAGTTTGCACATACTTTTGGAAAATAATTAAAAATCTACATTGATTATATTATTCATAATTCTAGCATTTTTATGACAAAACACATTGAAAATTCCCTTCTGGACTTCAATCCAATAACACAGAACCCAAAACGTGCCTCTTCCTCCTGTGGGGCGCCCCCAGCCCTCGGTTACCAACCTGAGTTATCTGTCCCTGATCGCTTCACTGTCTTCTCATCAGCACTTCACTTTAAAATCAGACAGGAGAATGAAGGGAGTCTTGTTGTGTCAGGATAAGTGTACTAATATCATGAATAATCAAATTCATGTAGATTATTTCTTATCCTGACACAGCACATTGCAATGCCTATCCCACAGATGGCGACGGGATCTGCAACTTGCGGTATTGGTAACCATCCGGATTACGTCTGTATGAGGCTATTCTCAGAAGGGCACCTTCTTCACTAATCCCGGAGGATTGGAACTGTAGGATGTAACGCACAACAATCCAAGCCCAACAACCCCAAAGAATATTTTTTGCGCCACCTGTGACACAAGGAAAACAGCTGGCAACGCAAGACAACGCTCCATGTCCGATTACCTGTGAGGTTTCCGATATGTGACGCCTGGATCAGAGCTAAAGGATGTAGCATATAACAACCCAAGCCCAACAATCCCTCAGAATATTTATTGAACCACATGTGACACAAGGGAAATATCCGGCAATGCAGTGTACAGTGATGATTTGTCTATGATGCACAGCAGGATCCGACATCGTTCCTGAGGTGAACAGAAACGTCCATAAGATATTGTCAAACAATATTTATTCATGATTGGTACACTGGATAGATACAGCATCAAAATCAATGACACAAACATAGGATAGTTAACTGCTGTACCTGGACAATAGGTACTGAGTAGGACCTGGGTACCCACAGGACTACCCAGATCAATGGTTAGTCATATCATATATTGTTTATTGACATAAAATATCTCGAACTCCATGGTTACACTACAAGTCACAAATGTTCACATTCCTTTCTGACCATGCACACATTCCTTCTGACTTTTATATGTCTGAATAAAGATAAAACATCTGTCTACTTCAGTGTATGCATGACCAGATTGTTTAATTTATACATGTACATTTAAATATATTTTTCCAGGAATGCGGTCAAACTATTCCCAATCGAACAGTTTGTACCCATCTCTTAGACCTACAGCAGGTACCCTGGGAGGACCCCTCTACGTCTTCAACAGAGAGGTCCCTCAGATAGTAGTTGGCAAATGTAGTGTCAGTGCGCCAAAACACCTCTTGATGACATCCGTCACCGAACAGTTAGTATGCCCCACCATCATGGATGCCAGGGCCCTGATTTCATGGGTGAGTGGGTCCAACACTGCATGCTGGTGGGCCTGCAGAATTGTAGCACAAACAGTACTCTGCAATAAATGGAGTAGTGACCTTCATCGAATCGCTTCATTCTGCAGTAAGCCACAAAGAATGCCTCTTGGCGTCGTAAAGCTGCCTAGTAGGATTCCTGTGAGCCCGCACAATGGCCTGTGTGGCTCTCACAGAAACACCTCAATGCTCTTGGTAAATGCGCCACATGTGCAGATGAATCTGCTGTGTGAGAGGGTTGATGAGTTGCTTCTGCCACAGAGAGACTCCATGGCCAGGTTTCCTGCGACCTTTGTGAGCTCTGGGAACCGCAATCTCCTGGGCCAATAAGGCGCTAACAAAAGCAGAAGGAACTGCCTCACTTCCCTCAACTTCTGCAGGACTTTGGGTAGCACTGTCTGTGGTGGGAACGCGTACACATGAGGGTTTTCCCCGGAGATGGCAAGAACGTCATGATCCCAAGCCAGTAGATCGGGCACCATCAGTAAACTTCTGCTGATGTTGAACAGAGAGACCTGATGAATTGGAGAGACTGCGACGGAAGCAAAATCTGACTTTTCCAGGTTGATCAATCTTTCCTACTGGGACCATTGTTGAGGATGCAATTGTCTACATACGGATGAAAGCTGACACCCTTGCTGTGCAATAGGGCTACCACTTGGTTGGTTATTTGTGTAAATAACCATGGGCCTCCCCTGGAACATGAATCTGAGTAGTGGCTGGTACTCTGGATGAATGGGTATATGCAGTTGTCTGGCACCAACTCACTCGTGACCTCTGGTACCAAACCGAAAGCTCCCCAAACAGCCAATGCTGGCTTCTGTCCACTGCCTGCACGTGTAGACCCCGCTCTAAAGTTTGGTAAGGCCTTTAGGGCGATCTTTGAGCAAGCCCTTTCAGCCAATGTCTTTGCTGCATCGACCACCTTGCCGTTAAATTAGGTGAGGCCAGACCAAGGTTGTTGCAACAACGTTGTGCGCATGTTGCTGTCCCAAGACTATCTCTTCCAATATAGCCTATCGTCTCATGAAAGTCACTGATCCACACGCATGTAACAAAATGTTTGCTATGCTCTCTTCATTTGAGGCGACCTGAAAAGTTGCTGAATTCAACAAAGGTGTAGCCCAAGGATTAGACAGTCTCCTGGATCATCTTAATCATGGCCTCTGAAAAGGATGCTGCTAGTCAGAGTGGCATCAGAGCTAAGCGTAAGTCACTGTCAATTGCCGCAAGTGCCTTATCTTCCACTTTAATGCCCAAACTTCTACCCATCTTTATCCATGGAAGGACACACCATGCAACTTTAACTTTGATGTACAAAATCCTAGTTTGCCCAATAATCCTTTCCAGTCAATCATCGCAAAGGCCTTGTTTAAAAAAATCCGGGAGCTGAGAATTATGGACTGGTGGCAGTGTGAGAGTTGGAGTTGATTCTCTCTCTGCAATCTGGAAGGGCAACACCTTAGGTTTTTGGGGGTTGGGTGGCTCCAAACCGAGCATGTCCGCCACCCAGATAAGACGATCTGTTTCATCGAGAAGGATCACCTCCTCCTTACTCTATGCTTCAGAGTCCTCCTCTGAGATATAATGCATATGGAAGCTGGGTTATCAGGGATAGGAGGTGCTATCGGCGTTCAAGACGTCGTCGGTGCATGTACCACGATAGTCACAGATGTGTTCCCAAAGGCGCTTCATGGTAAAGTCTGTAATACTCTTGATTTGGAAAAAAAGGGTGGAGGTTGCTGCTATGATCCGTATGCCATGGCTCCCAACCTAAGGTGAAGCTGAATTTAGATAACCACCCATGGTGTTTAAAGGGTTGAATCGTGCATCAGTCGGTGGGTAATCACCTGACCCCAAGTCTGTGCTGCAGGCGGCGCCTCATTCTGCACAGTTGCTCAAGTCATGGCTAGGATTCCATCCCATATTCTGGCAGGTGCCGATGTTCCACACGGCGAACATGCGCTTTGACCATCCCTTCTATTGCCTTTGTCATCAGTGCCCCCGCCGACACTAGCACTCATGCTGTCACCGGCGCCTTTGCCTACGCTGGTGCCACGTCCAACATTCAAGCACCAAACAGCGCTGCCTCCTCCGACGCTTGCGTCCCAATCAACACAGTGGCACTCAAACACTGGACACTCAGACACTAGATGAAGGACCAGTGGTTGACGCCTGTGCATGCGTCCTTGTGGGTATGTCTGGACTGGATAGGTTATACTAGCTGTTAACGCCGAAGTCCATAGAGTCGTTGCTGTTCAAGCGACAAGTCACCATGGCAGATGTGGTGATCGGGGCAGTAGTCCAAATCTCTGCAGGCTTCGTGAAAATTTCTCTTCTTGACACGTTTGAGATAAACTTCTACCTGCTCTGTGGATAATGTGCTACAATCAGTACAACGAGAAAATTAGTCACACACAGATTCCCGACAGCCCGATTCCCGAATGGTCAAAGACATGTCTGCCCTGCTCTGCAACATATAAAACATATATATAAGCATGTACAAATCTCCCACAGAGCATAGAAACCAAACGTAAATGACAACAGCAACGTACAATAGCAAATGGAAATACCGAAATAATTTTACCAAGGAAAATGTATTTCCAACACAACACATGGCCTTAAATTTTTCAAAATTTGCATGCTAAATGAAACATTCCCACACAATATGAAGAAGTATCCTCTTAAAACAGGTACATAGAGAACGACAACTCCTACAACACAAGGATATAGAAGTCAATTCGCAAGTCTATCACCGTGCGAGATGAGAAGACAGTGAAGAGATCAGGGACAGATAACTCCTGTTGGTAACCTAGGGCTGGGGGCGCCCCAGGGGAGGATGAGGCACGTTTTGGGTTCTGTGTTATAGGATTGAGGTCCAGAAGGGAATTTGAGAGGTGTTGTGTCAGGATAAGAAATAATCAAAGACATTTGGGGTTATTTTGTTGTTTTTTCAAAAAGTTAATTTTCTGAATTACTGTGTTAGTTAAACTTGTGTAAGTTAAACCTGTTTTAAGCTATCACCTAGTGTTTAACCTACTGCATACATCAGTTATTTGTGCTGAATATATATGTTTACATTCATCAGATATAAATAAAATAATTCATCTTGTATTTGTTCTCATTCTCCTTTCCTTTTAGGGTCAGTGGAGTCCATACATCAACCAGACAAACTGTTGATCATATCATCACTGGTTGGTCTGGCCCAGACTTGATTACTTTACCTGATGTGATAAAGCTGGAATATTGCCGAGGGCAGTATGAATAACAAACGATAAATATCTAGGCTGTCTAGCATACACAATCAGTGGGTCCATAGTACAGTTCTAGTCCACTGGGGTCTTTACACGTGACTCATCTTGAGACATCTGTATCACCTTACTGTCACATGAATATACCAAACATTGTTCAGCTTTATAATTAACGAGATTAAACACTTTCATGTATGTTTAGCCATTGGTCCCAGATTCAAGAACCACAATACATGATAAATGAGATATTTTGAATTTGTGTTTTTGTTTCCCATGAACAGCATCTGAAGAAAGGGTGTGGATGAGGGGAGTGTGACTGTATATTCCACCCACGCCTGTACCTGCACTGGCTCTGGGTCCCCAGGGTCCACCACCACTGACAAGTTGGAAGCACGATCTGTGATCAGATAGGCGTAGTTGTCTAACAGCATGGGTATAGGAAGGATAGACAGATCTGGAAAACAGAAAATATGTTGTCTAGACCCAAAAGGGAATTACCTGAAAAAAATGGCACAGTAGCTTATGTTGATGTATCATCAATACTAAAACATGTACCAGTAAACAAAGACAGCAACTTGATATCTAAATATTTTCTACACAAATACTGAGGACTAATTGATACATATGAAACAAGTAACTACATTTTAACAAGGCTTCTTAACATGCTGAATCTGCAACAGAATTGTATTTCCATATCTATTTTATTTTATTTTTACTTATTTAGTTTGAAATATCATACCTATTAGCCTTAAAAAATAAAGACAAACATTTATGCTGAGTTTCAGCAAATTTGGTTCAACTAATTCTGAGTAAAAAGTAGTAAAGGTCAAAATGTGAATAACAACTACACAATAACCAAATTCATGACATTTTGATCTAAAATCTCAAGAGTAATGACCATAAATAGGTTTTTAATATGCAGTGTTCGCGTTTACTGGTAATAAGCTGTTTTTTACTGGTAAATTTAGGCTTGGACCGGTAATTTATGTGACTGCCAGTTCGGTGGACCGGCAAATAAAATACATGTACCTTATAAATTATTGTTGAACTAAACATTGGTGATATTCATACAAGTATATTTTTCAAACGAGACAGCTTGTCAGTTACCATCAAGGTTTCCCGTTGTCTATTTTAAGTGCAAGTAAATAACATTTCACTTTGCTTCAAAGTAGAGATTTTGTAGTGATTTAGTCTCGAAATATTAAAAATAAAGGGGAGAAAATAGTGACTGCACTTTGTGTGAATGATGTCTAGATCTAACTAAGTTACTTCAGAGATGAAGTCATTGCATTGAACATGATGTTGAAAAAATTAAAACAGGGTAATACGTTTGTTTATTTGTTGAAAGTTGGGGCTGACAAAAATTCGGGGGCAGTGGCAATTTTTCCAGTTTCTAGTCCAACAGGACTGGTAGTTTCAAAAGTCAGCGGGAACACTGATATGGTTGCCATGTTCTTGAAACAAGACTTGTGCTTTGTTTTGTTCGTTTCTTGATTTACGCAGCAATACTCCAGCCATATCATGCATGTGACGGCGGTCTGTAAATAATCGAGTCTGGACCAGTCAATTCATTGATGGACATTATGGGCATCGATCTACAAATATGGGATACAATCACATGCTTCAACCAAGTCTGACCATCCGATCACCTGTTTTTCTGAAACATTTAAATGAATGTTATTTCAAACATGAAACTATCAAAAAGACAATTTCATTTGCTTTCAAATATTGAAAGCTGCAGTGATCAATGTAAGTACAGCTGGCATGGTAGCTTCAGGTCCTTGAACACCATGCCTTGATTTATCAGGGGGACTATTGCTATATTCATCATATGAAAATATTCCTTGTCAATTGATTAGAATTTCCATTCAAATATTTTCTTATCAACTTTATCAGCACTCAAGATTCCAGTGTCCCCACACAAAGAAACGTAGACGCCGTTCAATTTCATATTTCTACTACATGTATTATGAACATGGGTTGACTGTTGATCCTTTGGCCTAACTATATGGCTATCCATTATCATTTGGTTACTGTTTAGCAGATATGAACTTACATGACTCTTGGTTTTACTATTTATTCCTTATTTTTAGACCCGTGAAGATATCCGGGTTAGAATAGGTCTTCAGCAACCCATGCTTGCCATAAAAGGCAACTATGCTTTTCATAAGAGGTGACTAACAGGATCAGGTGGACTTGGTTGATGCATGTCATCGTATCCAAATTGCATGGATGGATTAGCAGACTCGATTATTTACAGACCGCCGTCAAATAGCAGGAATATTGCTGAGTGCCAACAAATCAACCAACCAACCATATTTTATGACATCAATAATTCAATTATTTACACAAAATGAAATATTGATATCACAAATTTGATTTATGATATCCAAAAAATAAATATTGAAATAGTAAATTTGATTTTTAGATATCTATAAATACAGTTTAGATTTGTGAAATCTAATAAAGAAATTTTTGTGTAATTGATATCTAAATATCATATTTGTGATATAAATATATGTAATTATTGATGTCTTAAAATCAAATTAGAGATATCAATAAATGAATTACTGATATCATACAACAGTGAACAAAACTGTGCCTCACACACAGCCATCTTTGTTTACCATTGAACACAGTAGGTTCTGTGTTGGAATGGTCAGCTCCCTCCAACTTCTCTCTGGCTTTCTTGATCTCTTTCTGATGGTAGTAGTATCCCACCCGCGTCCGTGTGTATAGAAAATACCTGAAGCATATACAATTGGTATAGAAAGTACCTGTAGCATACACAATTGGTATAGAAAGTACCTGTAGCATACACAATTGGTATAGAAAGAACCTGTAGCATACACAATTGGTATAGAAAGTACCTGTAGCATACACAATTGGTATAGAAAGTACCTGTAGCATACACAATTGGCATAGAAAGAACCTGTAGCTAGACAATGGGTATAGAAAGTACTTGTAGCATACACAATTGGCATAGAAAGTACCTGTAGCATATACAATTGGTATAGAAAGAACCTGTAGCTAGACAATGGGTATAGAAAGTACCTGTAGCATACACAATTGGCATAGAAAGTAGCTGTAGCATACACAATTGGTATAGAAAGTACCTGTAGCATACACAATTGGTATATGGTATAGAAAGAACCTGTAGCTAGACAATGGGTATAGAAAGTACCTGTAGCATACACAATTGGCATAGAAAGTAGCTGTAGCATAGACAATTGGTATAGAAAGTACCTGTAGCATACACAATTGGTATAGAAAGTACCTGTAGCATACACAATTGGTATATGGTATAGAAAGAACCTGTAGCATACACAATTGGTATAGAAAGTAGCTGTAGCATACACAATTGGTATAGAAAGTACCTGTAGCATACACAATTGGTATATGGTATAGAAAGAACCTGTAGCTAGACAATGGGTATAGAAAGTACCTGTAGCATACACAATTGGCATAGAAAGTACCTGTAGCATAGACAATTGGTATAGAAAGTACCTGTAGCATACACAATTGGTATAGAAAGTACCTGTAGCATACACAATTGGTATATGGTATAGAAAGAACCTGTAGCATACACAATTGGTATAGAAAGTACCTGTAGCATACACAATTGGTATTGAAAGTACCCATAGCATACACAATTGGTATAGAAAGTACCTGTAGCATACACAATTGGTATAGAAAGTACCTGTAGCATATACAATTGGTATAGAAAGTACCCATAGCATACACAATTGGTATAGAAAGTACTTGTAGCATACACAATTGGTATAGAAAGTACCTGTAGCATACACAATTGGTATAGAAAGTACCTGTAGCATACACAATTGGCATAGAAAGTACCTGTAGCCTTCACAATTGGTATAGAAAGTACCCATAGCATACACAATTGGCATAGAAAGTACCTGCAGCATACACAATTGGTATAGAAAGTACCTTTAGCATAAACAATTATTATAGAAAGTACCTGTAGCATACACAATTGGTATAGAAAGTACCTGTAGCATACACAATTATTATAGAAAGTACCTGTAGCATACTCAATTGGTATAGAAAGTACCTGTAGCATACACAATTATTACAGAAAGTACCTGTAGCATACACAGTTGGTATAGAAAGTACCTGTAGCATATACAATTATTATAGAAAGTACCTGTAGCATACACCGTTGGTATAGAAAGTACCTGCAGGGGAAAGGGGTAGGTCCTGTCAGCAATAGAAACTAACATATTCAGTGCACTAGTCCTTATCATGATGACACATAGGAAACCCCTAAAATGGCAAATTTCTACTAGTCCTTACGCTACCTTAACTATTGGGCAGTTTGGCAAGGACTATAGGACTTGTGCCACTTCCTATAGCTGCCTGTAGTATACAAAGTCAGGGGGATAGAAAGTACCTGCAGAACACACAATCAGGAGGTTGTTGGTTTGTTGTTGAACGCCGCAATCATCATTATTCCAGCTATATGACGGCAGTCTGTAAATAATTGAGTCTGGACCAGACAATCCAGTGGTTGAAATCATGAGTATCGATCCACGCAATTGGGATCTGATAGGAAGCACCTGTAGTATAAACAATCTGGGGGCTTAAGGAAGCACCTGTAGTATACACATTTAGAGGGATAGGAAGTACCTGTTGTAGACACAATCTGGGGGCTTAGGAAGTACCTGTAGTATACACAATCAGGAGGATAGGAAGTACCTGCAGTATTCACAATCTGGGGGGATAGGAAGTACCTGTAGTATACACAATTTTGGAGGATAGGAAGTACCTGCAGTATACACAATCTGGGGGGATAGGAAGTACCTGCAGTATACACAATCTGGGGGGATAGGAAGTACCTGCAGTATACACAATCTGGGGGGATAGGAAGTACCTGCAGTATACACAATCTGGGGGGATAGGAAGTACCTGCAGTATTCACAATCTGGGGGCATAGGAAGTACCTGCAGTATACACAATCTGGGGGGATAGGAAGTACCTGCAGTATTCACAATCTGGGGGGATAGGAAGTACCTGCAGTATACACAATCTGGAGGGATAGGAAGTACCTGCAGTATACACAATCTGGGGGGATAGGAAGTACCTGCAGTATACACAATCTGGGGGGATAGGAAGTACCTGCAGTATACACAATCTGGGGGGATAGGAAGTACCTGCAGTATACACAATCTGGGGGGATAGGAAGTACCTGCAGTATACACAATCTGGAGGGATAGGAAGTACCTGCAGTATACACAATCTGGGGGGATAGGAAGTACCTGCAGTATACACAATCTGGAGGGATAGGAAGTACCTGCAGTATACACAATCTGGAGGGATAGGAAGTACCTGCAGTATACACAATCTGGGGGGATAGGAAGTACCTGCAGTATACACAATCAGGGTGATAGAAAATACCTGCAGTATACACAATCTGGAGGGATAGGAAGCATCTGTAGTATACACAATCTGGAGGGATAGGAAGTACACAATCTGGGGGCTTAGGAAGTACCTGCAGTATACACAATCTGGGGGGATAGGAAGTACCTGCAGTATACACAATCTGGGGGGATAGGAAGTACCTGCAGTATTCACAATCTGGGGGGATAGGAAGTACCTGCAGTATACACAATCTGGGGGGATAGGAAGTACCTGCAGTATACACAATCTGGGGGGATAGGAAGTACCTGCAGTATACACAATCTGGGGGGATAGGAAGTACCTGCAGTATTCACAATCTGGGGGCATAGGAAGTACCTGCAGTATACACAATCTGGGGGGATAGGAAGTACCTGCAGTATTCACAATCTGGGGGGATAGGAAGTACCTGCAGTATACACAATCTGGAGGGATAGGAAGTACCTGCAGTATACACAATCTGGGGGGATAGGAAGTACCTGCAGTATACACAATCAGGGTGATAGAAAATACCTGCAGTATACACAATCTGGAGGGATAGGAAGCATCTGTAGTATACACAATCTGGAGGGATAGGAAGTACACAATCTGGGGGCTTAGGAAGTACCTGCAGTATACACAATCTGGGGGGATAGGAAGTACCTGCAGTATACACAATCTGGGGGGATAGGAAGTACCTGCAGTATTCACAATCTGGGGGGATAGGAAGTACCTGCAGTATTCACAATCTGGGGGCATAGGAAGTACCTGCAGTATACACAATCTGGGGGGATAGGAAGTACCTGCAGTATTCACAATCTGGGGGGATAGGAAGTACCTGCAGTATTCACAATCTGGGGGCATAGGAAGAACCTGCAGTATTCACAATCTGGGGGGATAGGAAGTACCTGCAGTATACACAATCTGGGGATAGGAAGTACCGGTTTGGGGGGATAGGAAGTACCTGCAGTATACACATTCTGGGGGGATAGGAAGTACCTGCAGTATACACAATCTGGGGGGGATAGGAAGTACCTGCAGTATACACAATCTGGGGGGATAGGAAGTACCTGCAGTATACACAATCTGGGGGGATAGGAAGTACCTGTCAGAGGGGAAAGGAAGTACCTGTTAGGGGTATTCCACCATCTGAGGCATCTGTTTACAATTTTGGGGGGGTTAAATTTAACTTTCACTTTCATTTTCAAACTATGTAAAACTTACGTATTTATCAGTTGTCTTTATCAGAATCGGTACTTGATGCCACATACATTTCATTAAGTGCAAGTACCACCAAGTTACCTGGCTGGGAGTTTTGGAGTGTAACTAAACAACAATCCCCACTTAACAATCTACATTTAGATAGACATGGACCCTGGTCTAATAAGTAATATCATTTTATACAGTTATAAGCTTGGGATATACTAGCATGTGTGATGTGCGTCTGTTTTACCCTATCCTGAAGAAACAGCCTCCTGCTTTCGCCATTGCTGTCTTCCAACAACCAGCCAGAAATTCAGACAAAGAGGTAAACACAACGATGAAAACAGGCATAGATCTCACTCAAGCAGAACACAACAGTTGAAGCGGATGTGATTAGAGTTACTTCCCTTGTACATAAGCAGACGACACTGAACTGCAAAATGGTACGTTTAATTTGGTTTATGCATTAGCTAACGTATATAGTAATAAATACTAAGATCAGACACCATATAAAAGACACGTTGGGCGTGTTATAAGGTGATCTAAACATAGAAGTACAACATTCTCTGGGGATGGATAGTTTTACGGTATCACATGTTGTCTTTGATTGATATAGAGAATCTCACCCTCGTGTCTTTTGATATCAAATATATCAACACGAGTTGATAAACTTTTATCAACGAGTGTTTATATATTTGATATCAAAAGATACGGGGGTGATTTAATAATGTTACTAAATGAGTAAGTAATGCTACTTCATCGTCAAGACTCAACAGTTAGATCTATACAGTTAAATAAAGCAGCCTATGTGCGTTTCTAAGGGATGTATTCTGGTCACGACCCTCCTCACGTTTGAGTTGCGACACTCCACATCTATATTTCCTATATTATGCGTTCCTGTACGAGTGGGGTTGAGGTTACACAGGTTAGACAGGCTTCTAAGTGTGATATTCATATAAACAAGATCGCCTCCCCTTCCTTGTAGCTGCTTCGTGTTTCCCTTTTCACATATTGTTCGTTTTTCCGCATAAATAAATTGTATCATTATTTTTCATGAATCTGTTAAAAACTTGCATCTTGTACCACCTAAACGAACATCCCCTTTTCCAAATTAACATGCATATACCAGTGGATGGTCAAGATTTTCCATGGCAGTTGTTTCTAAATTGGGTGCAGGTTTTCCTGGAAGAGATGTGACTGCAGATGCCACGGTGCTCAGGTTAGGTACATTGTGACTGGAAGATTACTAGATGGTAATCGGATTCCACCCAAAACAAATATGATTTATCAGATGAATCGTGGGAGAATTATTAATGTGAATATAATGCATGTCAACTAAGAAATGAATCTAGACCGCACAATCTCGTCAGAAATGTACATTTACTATAACCGCACTTATGTGAAGAGGAAATCAGCCTAATGAGTAGTTCTAATGGGTGGTACTGAAAGACTGGGATTCTAGTTTTGAAATTAAAGAACTTTAGCACACACAAAAAAACTATAGAAATTAAACGGAGTTTTAACCCATAGCAATATAATGATACACATTTCACAATGAATGTTTTGGATTCCTAGTTACACAGACAGCTCTCAATGAGTGACACCTGCACCAAATGCTACATGAATACACAATTATATGAAACGAGCTGAATCAATCAATTGATCATGTTTTTCCCTATACAGGTGGAAATATAGTAATGCAAGCTATGTCTCATCAGAGGTGCTGAATTGTGCGTTCGATACTCGCATGAATGGGTTCAATGTACATATATAAAAATATGTCTGCTGGCGTATCATCAACACAATCACAGTAAGGTTAGGACAGGCAACATATGTTCAAAGGTGTAGCATCCTATAAAATAAGAGCCTAAAGTTATTCCATATTGGGAATCATACGCAACTCAGGTCATTGCATACATTTCCTACTGTATTTGTGTTTGTTTCACAGGTGTAAACTCCGGCTTTTCTTCCCGTGTACATATACAAAGCTGTCTGACACCATGGCGGTTGTCAATTTTGAACTGAACAGACAATGCACAAGGTACAAATCTAAAACTGTCGCTGTCTTGACATCGTATTCACAAACGAGTGCAATAGACCTGATGTTATTGCTCAAGTGTCTTGTTTTCACATTTTGGTCAACTTCATACCAATAACGCCATCTACAAATTCCATGTAGAACGATAGACATGAATATAATGATTTGTCGTGATGATTACAATGAAAAATCGACAGATGTGGGATACTGTTGATGATCATCACATTATAAGCAGATTCTGAGAATTGCATTCAAATTGATACCATCGAGGGTCTCCTTTCTCAAGAAAACTGAGTTTCCGAGTATAAATTTCAGCGCAACAGAAAGAAAAGCTTGACAAAATGTTGGCATCAATCTAATTACTTTCAGAGAGGACAGGGTAACTTTCTCCTTAATCAGCCGGTTAATTTCGACTTTTCTGGGGTTTTTTCAGTTCCTAAACCTCCGATGATTAGTACCAACTTCTGTGGATTACACAAAACACTATTGTGAACTGTCCTTTATAATAGCACATAGTGTATTGCATTAAAAATAAATGTGAGACTGTGAGCGTGAAGTTTGGTAATGTATGCAATGAAGAGATATTACATGAATCAGATGCGACCACGACCATGTATCTTAATCCTATGCATTATCTACCTATGTTGGAAGACACAATAAACACAGAGGTTGTCGAGCGGGTGAGGAATCAATGGATAATAAATGCTCAAATGAAGAATCGAACAAGGCTGAGATCGTTGTGGGCAGTCTGGCTGTCCCCAAGAAAAACATCATCCCTGCAGAAAATCTGGAAACACTGATCCTCCCCGAGAGAGATATAACACCAATTAAGGCGTGACAGAGTTTCCACACCTACATGTGCAGATGTTGTCCCGCCTGGATCTCCAAGGCGGCAAAGTGCTATAGTCTACACAGTCGAGGGCATGTTTCAGCTACTACCTCCTAAAGAGCAAAGCACCACGATGACACACATTGTAGACACAAATCAGCTGTCTATAGCAAGGAAACTAAAGTTCAAGATTTTCCGGACAGATCAGATTATTAATCCTCATAGACAAGAGAGAAGAATCGATTAAAGTTCCCGCTTGTTGGAAGAAGGAATAGAAAGCGGAACTTGCAAAATCTCAGCCTCTTGCTTCGTCAGTTTCACAGTCCCCGAACCTTATTTTTTCCCCTTCAGCCCAGCCCTTATTGTTTTGCTATAGCCCCAAATGAAGCAAATCTAGATTTTCCACAGTTTTTGAATCTCCCACCCCAATGGGTCCCCTTTTCATTTTACATGGAGTTATTTGTTTCTATCAAAATTATATATTAATATGTTAAGAGACTAAGCATTAGTCTTCCTGTGGCTGAGCCCCACCTTGTGTCCGATGCTCGTATAGACGTCGCAGAGCAGCTGAAGAGGTTAACACACCTCACAAAGAATATTAATTCCTCAGCACACGTGCTCAGTAATTATTATTACCTCTACACTAGCTGACCTGAGGGACCGGCCACATAACAAGATGGATGGGGGCATTGTGGCATCTTGTTAGGGACAAAGCTATTCTTAAATTAGGTTAGTGCTTAAATACATATTATTTTTTTTCTTTGAAAGAAGAAACCAAACAAACAAAAATCTTCACATCTAGCATGTCCAACAAACAATCGTTCTTTTCCTAAAACCTCAGGCAAAATTATTTTTTCAGTATTTTTTGTATTTTAAAATAAAATGAACCATACCTTTTCCGCAATGTGTAATAAAATGTTACGTCCACGGTACAGAGACATTATCAGTGTGCTGATGAATGTGTGTTATATTTCCTATATGGCGTGACACTTGTTCTGACAGGTCCACAATATTTCTAGATTTCCTCAATAATTATTATACATCTAATATCAACATATTTTATTTAATACAATACTTTATGTATTTATACATTAGGTATTATTTTTTTCATCATGTATCAGGAATAAACATTGTATTTTGCGAGCCTTGCATTTGGCGAGCTAAATACATAGTGTTTATTCCTAATACAGGATATTTACGATCCCAAGCACATAAGCTCGATAACCTTTATCATTTTAATGTCATTCTTAAATTCTTTAAGCACTGATACTGAATTACTTTTCTTTGCTTCACATAAGAAATCTTACCTCATAAACGACAAAGGGTGATAATAATTGCTAATAAACTAAAACACCTGTATATTAGTTTGTTTTTTCTTATCATACCATTCATAAACCCAGGTCTGTAAATAACTCTTCCTTATGGAGGTGAAGATACACTTGTACAAATACACACCCACTCTATTCGCAAATACAAACGTTCTGTTGGTGTGAAACTCATACAGATGTCTCCAACATAGAGAACATTGAAACGGATAATACATCGGAATGAGAATATAATAATTATATTCAACTTCACCTGTTATGTAAAAAACCCACTACAACCCCACAAAATAGCGGTTCCTTTATACACAGGTATCAAAATGTAGTATCACCGGCGCTGTCTGCACAGAGGGAAGGAACAGAATGCACAGGGCAGGCGCCCGCTTGGCAAGAATTGCAACTGTTCTAAAGAACAAGGACGGTAAGGAATGACAGTCATTGCTGAAATCAATTTGTCATTTTGCAATGGAAGCAATGAAACGAGACTGAGCGGGCTGTCGACAGTTGAGCAAAGCGGACCTGTCACGGAGTGTTTGTTCGCAAGAGTTATCTCCCTTCGTACAATACTCCTGGTTACTCAGCACATTTGTTTTTAGGTCTTCGAACACATCATCCTTCTTCGACAGCAAGGGTTATCAACAGCTTTATTATCATCTTTTTATATATGTATGTATATGGCATATGTTCCATTCTCTGTACTGTGAGTGTGTAAGAGTATAGATTCCAATACAATGGACATTATGTTATTACAGGGTGTTTATCATGTTTATAGTCTTAATCTTATATACACTGCTACTAGTCCTAGGTTATTATAGTGTCCAAGCCTAGTTAGTTGGTAGTGTTAAACTCCATCTTACATAAGTGTAGCAAAAACAATGCTCATTACTTTACTTTGGAGACATGTACAAGGCACAGTTATATCACTATCCTGCTTCAGGGGCCTGTGGTACAAGGGTGTGTCTTGCATATTAATGTGAACTGAGAAGGGTTAAACAGTCCACATTTGATTTGCTAGAGAGCTCCTTATACATCTCTGTAAAAAGAAAAAAACATTTAATTAGTCATCTGGAAACGATATTATATCATGATATAGATCAAGTATATTTAATAAGGCATTTATCTAGACCTGCTAGACCATTAGATATCACCAATAGATGTTTACAAATTTTTGATACTATCATATTGGCCAACTGATATGGCTGAGTCACTGACCTCAATTATACCACTAGTGTATGTATTATTGTGTAATGTGCCCATGTGGTTAGTGCCCCCTCTTCGAATGACATGGATTCAATGCTCTCGACTCATTCCTCTAGTGTTAACATCTATATCGCCCTTGAAAGTGGTCGCTGAGAATAATCGATAGTTGAATCAACCATTGCATTACTATTTGGGAAAGTTGATTTTTCATATTAGTTTCTAACACCATAAAACATTACTCTCATCTGACTTCAAGTTTTTCCTTATCTAAATAGATTGAAGACTTGGTTTAGTTTCTTTTTTGTTGTTGCAGTTAAGTCATTACCACAGAAAGTGCTGTGTAGAAATTGTCACTCCCGAGAGTTGTTGATATCCCACTCAGACATGAGAGTGAGGCTGATTCCGGCGCTGGAGGACAACTATATGTACCTCCTGATTGATGAAGAAACCAAGCAGTGTGCAGCAGTCGACCCAGTCGAACCCCACAAGGTCAGGCTGTAGCTGAAGATACTACATACTTGGTGTTTAATAATGCAATTGCAAGACATTCATATCGCATGACTGTTTTATATCCTGCGTAACTAGAATACCTTGATGACTGGACACTTGTTGAAACATGGTGAAAAAATTTAATTTAATTTAATTTATCATTAGTCAAGATATCGCTACCAGGATGTCAAGGTATTCTGCCTAACTATATTTTTGTCTTAAAACAGTCTGCTGGAAGAAATGTACTCAATTTCAACTATCTGCTAAATAAATTTAAACACATTGTCACTCCTAATTCTGGTAATTAAGCAGCAATTTAAAATTAAAACTTTCGTCTGTATTTGAGTGCGACTGAAACCATACAGCACTTGGACATCTCAGGGATATGACATCATGTACGTCACCTTTCTAGTTCTGGAAACTGTTTTGGACACACTAACCAGTTCTTTGAAGTGATAATTCAAGCACTTACTGTATGTCAATGAATCTTTGTACATGTCATACTTGGTGTGGGGCCACGATCTGAAAAGGTTATGAGTGCACTATATATAAGGTAAACGGCTCGATTTAGCTATATAATAGTTGCACTAGTGCAACCTGTGTTTAAAAGTGCAACCTAAAATTTATGTCTACATGCCCTGAGTGCATGTCAAAGTCTTTCAAATTTGTGACCAACCCTTGTCCACACATCAATCTTTGAACATGTTCAATACCCCTAAGCTTTATTTATTCACCATTCTACATCAATAATCCCAGTGTTATGTGCAATTTGCCATGCTTTTTGGGCTTGATGTCATCAAACTGTGTTTACATCAAGATTACTTTCAACTTTGATAAATGTATGGGACAAGGGTGCAACCTGGTCTTGTCTGCTGCCACTAGGTTTTCATGTCATCATGCACCTGGTGCAAGCTCCTAAGCCCTGGGTACATCTTATGCTTGTAGTGGGTATGTTACTTGAATACTTATGTGTGACAAGTGATGACAATCTTGTGGTATCACTAGTATGTCACAGTACTATATAGCAAATGTTACATAGTTTTTGAAAGAATGAGGTGCTTGGACATCTCAGGGATATTGTTTCCTGCATAGCCCTAGTAATATATGTTTTGACACATTGATATGCTATGTCACTGATCAAGGACGTCCTCAAGGATAAGCCTGAATGAAGCTGTTAACTCAAGAAGGATTTACTGTGGGTCAATAAAATTTGGAACATGTCATCTTTAGGGTGGGGCCAAGATCAGATTAGGTATGACAATATTCACTAAAATGCCTTTTTCTGAAGATATTGTTCAAGATTTATGCATGTAATGTTTATATTATTTGCACAACAATGGATGTGAGTCTTTGGTCACTGGTGATAGGTCATGCAGTGATCAGAAGAAATTATATCTGAACCTATTATCCAAATAGGCTCGCTAAATACAATGCTTATTCCTAATACAGGATATTTACCATCCCCAGACACACTCGCATGATAACGTCTATATATTTTTGTTATTTTAACAATGCCAGAGAAATGTATATGCTACAACATGCCTGAGTGGAAAGAGTGAGGTCTGTACTTCAGATAGCCTCAGCCCTGAAGGAAGAGGGAGTGTCGCTGAATGCTGTGCTGACAACTCATCACCACTGGTAGGTCCTAGCTAGCTTGTCCCATATGTACAATTATAGGCTACAAGTTGCAAAGTTGCAGTTACCACAATATTCAAAAGATGTGTGGCAATACATTTCATGCAGAAAACATGATAGAAATCGACAAAGAGAATGTATTTCAGGTTTTTAGGACTAAACAACAGAGAGGTTGCTATTCGGCGCTTTTCTATAATACAACTGTCACAATGAGCAATTATGACATCATATTACATTAAGTAATACGTTACCACTGTTATACCCAGGCTGTTGTCCCCCACAACTGCTCTTATAGCGAAATCTTCCACAGAGATCTCAACTACCTCATGCAGCACGTGCGTAGCCACCCAGCTGCCATGTGACACCTTTCACTCTTGTCTCTTCGCTTGCCATAGCAAGACGTGTAAATCGACTGCTCTACTGCGTTCTACGGTTTTCCGCCTCCTGCCTATCCTTGGTGATATTTATTACTGTTTCTTAGTCCTAAGTAAACTGTAATTTACGGGGCGTTCGTTATACGGCGCTTAGAAAATTTGCCTGCCTTTTTTCGCTACTAACGGGATGTGGCGTCGGCACTTTGTGTATTCCGTTCACCTTTAGCAGTATAATGTGGGGTTGTTTTGCATCACCTATTAATATATATATATATGTTTATCTTATATGTATTTTATGTACTCGCTATTATTGTTTGTTTTTCTTCGGAAAAATCTACGTTTGTGAATATGTTTGGTGTGTGTGTTATAACCATGTTTGTTTTTTGTTCAAAGAACAATGTCTGACATGGAGATGGATCTTTTGTCCAGTACCCCGGCTACTCCTGTTAACAGGCGCTGTGGCGCCTGTCAAAAGTTTTTGTCTTCCCGGGATCCTCACGACCGTTGCCCGCGGTGCAGGGTCCCTTGCGAGGACACCCGTTGCACCCAGTGCGAGGGTCTGGGGCCGGAGGATTTTGCGTGATACAGGCACATCGTGCGCTCTGCTATCACCCCTGAGGTGGCCGGTTCGTCCGGTCGGGCGCCCACTGCGGGCACTACCTCCTCGGCGGCGGATCCCTTGGCGGTCCTTGGGCTGTCCGGGGATTCCGTCGCGGCTTTGTTGTCTCAACTGGTGGACTCCAAACTGGCGGCCTTATCTCAGGATAAGGCCCTGGTTGTTCCGTCCCCGGCCCCTTCGGTGGCTGCAGGATCAGACGCGGGGTCCATGGGTACGGCGGCGGCTACCGTAGTCACCGGTCCTTCCCCTGAGCCGATACTCCCGTTATCGACTAAGGACCGTGTGGCCATGGTGTATGACCTCTTTGAGGAAATGCCACGGCCCCAGCCGGTACCCGGGGGAATCCACGGCTCTGTGGGTTCCTCCGAGGTTTTCGACGAGTCCGCCGACTTTACATTGACAGTTCTATCTTCATTTGTCACTGGTGTCATGATCATGCCAACCACCTCAAGTGGATGAAGTGTAACTTCTGAATTTCTTTTCTGACTTCGCTAAGTTTGAGTCCCATTACTGTGAATACTCTGTATGGAAGGACCGGTCTGCCCCTGTATCAAGTTGGATGTATCTATAGGCACTTGTGCTTGTAGAACTTCACAGTTTTTGCACACATCTTGTCACTTTCACTTAACAATTAAGCGTTCAGGTTTCGTGCACCACATGGTCGTCTCTTTTCGGCATTTACGTCTCAAAAATACATGCACATGTCATGAAAAGTCACACAATGATTCACAGATTATAGAATCCTGTTAGGGAATGAAAGATTTAAACAACTACTGTCTGAGGAGAGAATGAAAATGCTGTCATGGTTACAGGAAGTATGAAGGTGTTATGGTTGTAGGGATCATGCTGGAGGGAATGAGAAGCTTGTCGGTCTTCTGGGAAAGACAACAGTCTATGGTGGTGATGTTAGAATTGGAGAACTCACCAACAAGGTCAAACATGGGGATGAGTTCAAGGTCAGACACAGAGTATTTGCAGAGAACAAAAGAAAAGATGATGATTGTTAATTTTGCCTGTTTTACAAGAACATGTAAACTGTAATAGACTTCTATGAAACATGGCCAGATGATCAATGTTGGTTTCTGAAAGGCTGCAAGTCAAGTGAGGTTTGCATTTGGTATTCTTGAATTTGTTTTCCATAAACATTAAGAATTTATGATAAGATTTGCATTTGTTTTCAGTTGTTTGTGTGGTTTTGTTAATTGATATTGATAAGTATTGATTTTTACTGAAAAGTATGCTAAATACTTGTGATGTCACTGTTTTATCGAAATGCAAACTTCACTTAAATGTCTATGGTGATATTTGGGGGAACAATATTTTGGAATTTGTTGCCCTGTATATAGAACTAAAATGAAACTGTGAATTCTCATCTTGCATCTTGCTCTTGGGCTGTCAGGCCTTTATGATGAAAGTATAAAGATTGATTGATTGCAACCGTATTGCAGATAGGCAGCTTGACAGTGAGGTGCCTGTTTACGCCATGCCACACATCAGGCCACATTTGCTACTACGTGACGGGGAAGGAGGCAGAGGACCCTGCAGTCTTCACAGGTCAGTGTCAGGAATCCATCTTGTCCTCGATGGGTAGATGTCAAGCAAGTAAACTATTTCAACTTTTACTTAAACTGGTCAGCAACCAGTAGTGGTGATCAAGTAACATCTGTCCTTTGGCACCAGTGTCTGTAAACATGGCTAGTCAACAACATCCTTTGCTCATTTGGACAAGGCATCTGACCTCAGATCAGAAGGTCTGTGGTTTGAATCCTATCACAGGTCTCAGACATTTTTAGAAGAGTGAAGATTAGTTAAAGTTTGTGTCTTCTATTGTGGGACTTGATTGGTTCATTTGAGACCTGCAAGTGACAACCTGTCAACTCCTGTTCAAAACACTTATTTTCATTCTACATGTATTTTAACTAATCTCTTGACTTTGGTCTTTCACTCCTCCACATTTGCAGGACAAAGTCTCAATTTAAAATTTAGTTTTAGTATACGATTGTGTTATAAGACAAGACAATTGTAATGCTGTCTGATGTAGTTTATGGAAGGGGACACATTGTCCCAGGGTTGCTGTGGGGGGGGGGTGATGTTTGTGTAAGGGACACATTGTCCCAGGGAGGCTGTTGGGGGTGATGTTTGTGTAAGGGACACACTGTCCCAGGGTTGCTGTGGGGGGTGATGTTTGTGTAAGGGACACATTGTCCCAGGGAGGCTGTTGGGGGTGATGTTTGTGTAAGGGACACACTGTCCCAGGGTTGCTGTGGGGGGTGATGTTTGTGTAAGGGACACATTGTCCCAGGGTGGCTGTGGGGGTGATGTTTGTGTAAGGGACACATTGTCCCAGGGAGGCTGTTGGGGGTGATGTTTGTGTAAGGGACACACTGTCCCAGGGTTGCTGTGGGGGGTGATGTTTGTGTAAGGGACACATTGTACCAGGGAGGCTGTGGGGGTGATGTTTGTGCAGGGGACACATTGTCCCAGGGTGGCTGTGAAGGGTGATGTTTGTGTAAGTGACACATTGTCCCAGGGTGGCTGTGGGGGGTGATGTTTGTGTAAGTGACACATTGTCCCAGGGTGGCTGTGGGGGTGATGTTTGTGTAAGGGACACATTGTCCCAGGGTTGCTGTGGGGGTTGATGTTTGTGTAAGGGACACATTGTCCCAGGGTGGTTGTGGGGGTGATGTTTGTGTAAGGGACACACTGTCCCAGGGTTGCTGTGGGGGGTGATGGTTGTGTAAGGGACACATTGTCCCAGGGTGGCTGTGGGGGATGATGTTTGCTTAAGGGACACATTGTCCCAGGGTTCCTGTGGGGGGTGATATTTGTGCAGGGGACACATTGTCCCAGGGTGGCTGTGGGGGGTGATGTTTGTGTAAGTGACACATTGTCCCAGGGTGGCTGTGGGGGTGATGTTTGTGCAGGGGACACATTGTCCCAGGTTGGCTGTGAGGGGTGATGTTTGTGTAAGTGACACATTGTCCCAGGGTGGCTGTCGGGGGTGATGTTTGTGTAAGTGACACATTGTCCCAGGGTGGCTGTAGGGGTGATGTTTGTGTAAGGGACACACTGTCCCAGGGTTGCTGTGGGGGTGATGTTTGTATAAGGGACACATTGTCCCAGGGTGGTTGTGGGGGTGATGTTTTTGTAAGGGACACATTGTCCCAGGGTGGCTGTGGGGGATGATGTTTGTGTAAGGGACACATTGTCCCAGGGTGGCTGTGGGGGGTGATGTTTGTGTAAGTGACACATTGTCCCAGGGTGGCTGTGAGGGGTGATGTTTGTGTAAGTGACACATTGTCCCAGGGTGGCTGTGGGGGGTGATGTTTGTGTACGGGACACACTGTTCCAGGGAGGCTGATGTTTGTGTAGGGGACACATTGTTCCTTGGAGGCTGTCAGGGGTGATGTTTGTGTAAGGGACACATTGTCCCAGGGTGGTTGTGAGGGGTGATGTTTGTGTAAGGGACACATTGTCCCAGGGTGGCTGTGAGGGGTGATGTTTGTGCAAGGGACACATTGTCCCAGGGTGGCTGTGAGGGGTGATGTTTGTGTAGGGGACACACTGTTCCAGGGAGGCTGTCAGGGGTGATGTTTGTGTAAGGGACACATTGTCCCAGGGTGGCTGTGAGGGGTGATGTTTGTGTAAGGGACACATTGTCCCAGGGTGGCTGTGAGGGGTGATGTTTGTGTAAGGGACACATTGTCCCAGGGTGGCTGTGAGGGGTGATGTTTGTGTAAGGGACACATTGTCCCAGGGTGGCTGTGAGGGGTGATGTTTGTGTAAGGGACACATTGTCCCAGGGTGGCTGTGAGGGGTGATGTTTGTGTAGGGGACACAGTGTTCCAGGGAGGCGTTGAGGGGTGATGTTTGTGTAAGGGACACATTGTCCCAGGGTGGCTGTGAGGGGTGATGTTTGTGTAGGGGACACACTGTTTCAGGGAGGCTGTGGGGCTGGTGCTTGTGTAGGGGACACAGTGTTCCAGGGAGGCGTTGAGGGGTGATGTTTGTGTAAGGGACACACTGTTTCAGGGAGGCTGTGGGGCTGGTGCTTGTGTAGGGGACACAGTGTTCCAGGGAGGCGTTGAGGGGTGATGTTTGTGTAAGGGACACACTGTTTCAGGGAGGCTGTGGGGCTGGTGCTTGTGTAGGGGACACAGTGTTCCAGGGAGGCCTTGAGGGGTGATGTTTGTGTAGGGGACACACTGTTCCAGGGAGGCTGAGGGAGATGGTTTTAAGTGTGAAGTTATTGTTGTAGGGGACACGCTGTTTCAGGGAGGCTGTGGGAAGTTCTTTGAAGGGACGCCAGACCAGATGCACAAGGCCTTGATCGAGGTCCTTTCTGCACTGCCACAGCAAACAGTGAGTCACCTGTTTATTACAGATGTCATCCTGTTACAGTACTGAATCAGTACAGTAATCGCTTGGATTCTTTAATTATTAATGCCAGGAGAGGAACTTAAGTCCATGCACACAATGACACAGCATATACCACTTGTCTCTTACTGTGATTGCAGAAAGTGTACTGTGGCCATGAGTACACTGTGTCAAATCTGAAGTACGCTGCCCATGTGGAACCTAGCAGTGAGGCAGTGGCAAGCAGGCTGGAGTGGGCTCAAGTACGTAGTTGTAAGAGTATGGACTGGTATGTGACTGTAGTAGAAACATGTATGTGGTTGAAGTAGGGACTGGTATGAGGGTCTACAAGATCATACCTTTAAAAAGTCAGTGTTTGACTGCATGCCTGTGATCGACTCGCTTGGGGTACAAAATGAAGAAATGCACACCCAAGCTATCGACTCAAGCTCCAACGTTGATACCGTTTGTCCCTTACTCTATGAAGGTCCATACTCCAAAGAAGAAGTCACACAAAGTGAAAGTCAATTCTTAAATGTCCTGAGCACTCATTGTAAAAAGGGACTGGAAAATCTGTTCCCTATTGTAACCTGTCAGCGAGTGGTTCCCTATTGCAGGCTGTTAGCTCTTCCCTATGCAGCATACCAACACATCATATTGTAACCTGTCAGCTTTCCCTTGCAGAATCAGCGGACAAAGGGTGAGGCAACAGTGCCTTCCACTATAGGAGAAGAGATGCAGATAAATCCTTTCATGAGAGTCAGGTATGCTTCTGCTGCACAAACGGAAAAAGTCCCTGCTACTTCTTACGCAACAACCCCCTGCTGTAATTGACACAAGATCATGCAGCACTGAACACAAACCCCTTCTGTAATGAGCACAACCCCTGCTGCACTCAGCACAACAAACCCCTGCTGTAATTGACACAAGATCATGCAGCACTGAACACAAACCCCTTCTGTAATGAGCCCAACCCCTGCTGCACTCAACACAACAAACCCCTGGTGCACTCAACACAACAAACCCCTGCTGCACTCAGCACAACAAACCCCTGCTGCACTCAGCACAACAAACCCCTGCTGCACTCAGCACACCTGCTGCAATCAGCACAAAAAAACCCTGCTGCACTCAACACAACAAACCCCTGCTGCACTCAACACAACAAACCCCTGCAGCACTCAGCACAACAAACCCCTACTGTACTCAACACAACAAACCCCTGCTGCACTCAGCAAAACAAACCCCTGCTGCACTCAGCACAACCCCAGCTGCACTCAGCACAACAAACCCCTGCTGTACTCAACACAACAAACCCCTGCTGCACTCAACACAACAAACCCCTGCTGCACTCAACACAACAAACCCCTGCTGCACTCAACACAACAAACCCCTGCAGCACTCAACACAACAAACCCATGCTGCACTCAACAAAACAAACCCCTGCTGCACTCAACACAACAAACCCCTGCAGCACTCAACACAACAAACCCTGCAGCACTCAACACAACAAACCCCTGCTGCACTCAACACAACAAACCCCTGCTGCACTCAACACAACAAACCCCTGCTGCACTCAACACAACAAACCCCTGCATCACTGAACACAACAAACCCCTGCTGCACTCAGCACAACAAACCCCTGATGTACTCAGCACAACAAACCCCTGCTGCATTCAACACAACAAACCCCTGCATCACTGAACACAACAAACCCCTGCTGCACTCAGCACAACAAACCCCTGATGTACTCAGCACAACAAACCCCTGCTGCACTCAACACAACAAACCCCTGCATCACTGAACACAACAAACCCCTGCTGCACTCAGCACAACAAACCCCTGATGTACTCAGCACAACAAACCCCTGCTGCACTCAACACAACAAACCCCTGCTGCACTCAACACAACAAACCCCTGCTGTACTGAACATTCATGCGTAAACTCATTGTATATGTCAGAAGTCAGACCTGAAATCCACAACAATGATCTGCACACATTTCTCATGTTTGTCCAGGGAGGCCAGTGTACAGACACACTGTAATGAGACCGACTCTGTCAAAGTGATGGGCTTCCTCAGGAGTGAGAAGAACCAGTTCCGACCAGCAGCATAATGGCTCCATGGCTCGATCTCCATGCATTGTGGTGGACAACGCAACCCACAGGCTACCATGCACTCCTGTTCCTCAAAGTGCTGTAGCTGCAATTCAGCTCTGAATATGACAATCAAAATTGTGGCAGTATTTAGTGTTATTGTTCATGTGAACAACAAACTTTTATAACAAACTGACTTAGAGAATTGGGAATTAATTGTAGCTCTACAGAGGACAGGTGGATAAACAGCTTGGAATAATTACTGCAGTGATATTGTGATGTATGTATGAAATACTAAATAAGATGTTGCTTTAACTCTAGCTTGGCTGCTCCTAATACAGAGTTGCTCTCAACACTGGTAACAGCTGTGATCACACAGGTGTTGAGAGATGCAGATACCAGGTTGATGTTTGATTCATGGCACTTGAAATATCTTATCAATATGGGTTTTGATGATTTATTTTTCTTACACATAAAACTCAAAGAGTCTTAATAAAGACATTAAAAAAATGAACAAATTGTGCTTGAGTATCTAACTCATCTCCTCCACTGGGAGTCAGTGAAGGAGAGTCAGATGCTTGTGACCTGGAGTCATAACGGAGAGTCTTATTACAACAGTTATGGCTGACAGAGGCAGCCCTATAGTCAGGACATGTCTGTTGATAAAAAAACAGTTTATTAACAAACAAACAAACAAACAAACAAACAAACGTTGATATGAGAACAAATAATCCTGTATAATATTACAACAGATGGATGTATCAATATGTGTTCTGAACTGTACATGAAATGATAAATTCGACAAGAGGACTCCAGAGTGGGTGTGGTTTTATGCCGCTTTTAACAATATTCCAGCATTATCATGTCAGGAAACACCAGAAATGGGCTTCACACATTGTACCACCCATGTGGGGAATCGAACCCAGTTCTTTGGAGTGAGGAGTGAAGTTTACCCCCAGGCTGCTCAATCCCCCCTAGAACCCTAACCACATGAAGAGCTTCATGTTTAATGATAATATATTCATTCAAAAAACAGCTAAGTGCTTGAAGATCCCAGGATCGTTATGTTTTGGTGAAGGTTATTAAAGATGTGGGGTGAGGACATTTTAATATGATACTGGTGAAGCAGGTGTTGTAGTCTGTACACTCGCTCTCTCATTCTTCACTACTACAGGCTGTGACTGATCACTGAAAGATGTGGACAGCTCCTCCCAAATACCTGCGATTTTACAACAACCATTGCCATGTGATGCAAGGAGCCTAACCTGTAGAATATATACATGTACTGTACAAGTGATTTGGTTTGGCCCAATGCTTCCTACTACGAAAGACTTAAGTGTGGTCATTGACGTACGGAACAACATATACAACATATATATATTTGCATCCCCAATCATTTATCAGTTTCCACAAAACCCTCATTGCCCCCATATTTCTAATGATTTAATACTCTATAGCAATCTACAGATGCAGACCTGCCAACACCCTAGCATACAGCTTGAGTCTCCAGACATTCAATCTAATATCCAGCTCTCTAGTCAAGATTAATTATTCTCAAGCCATATCTAAACTTTAATGCTAAAAACAAATTTGAAGGAAACTCATCTTTTTCCACATTGGATTGCACTGTGACACTAATTAACTTTTGTTAATATGTATGTCACATTTTCCTTTCTGCATGTCCAGAAATAGCCTTATCTAAGGCCTTGCTCTCCTGAACTTAAGTGGAGTTGGAAACTCTGCAGATGAAACATATACTGTGGCAGTACATGGTAAGCACTAGTTTCAGGCCCATGTTTGGGGTATAGCCAGGAATGTAGTTACTGTCATTAGAAAAGGATATGAGTTTGTCAGTATTGTGCTGGCATACTGGAACACGTGCCCGATGTCTGGCTTGACCTCATAGCGTTGATGGCTTCCGACAACCCTGACAGTCTAAAGAAGTCGGCCTCGACAAGTATCTCTTGGAGTAATGCAGTCTGATTCCTGAGACTATCTATTGACCTCATACCATCACGCATATAATTCAAAATATGTCGAAAGTTGGTCCCATCACGGTCAATAAAGTAGGAACCATCAGCATCTTTTTGGACATGATGTCGCCCGCTGAACATCAGTGCTAATAATGAATCTGGTTCTTTGGTTAGCGTAACTGTTGATGTAGTATACTTGGAGCCTCCAACATTCAACTCCACTTTGGTGTCTGTGAATTTATTCTGTTCTTCAATTCTTTTCAACTCTTCTTCCAGCTTCTTCCTCTGCATAAGGTAATCTGTCAGGCCTCGCTTGAACTTGTCCACTTTCACATTAAGGTCATGTTCGCGCTCATCTAAGTCTTTTTCATGTTCTCTAAACCTCTTCTCTTGCACACCAAGCTCTGCTTTTGCTTTCCCTACATCTTGCTCAAGTTTCTCTGCAGCTGTAATCTTGTCCTTGATGAGTTTCTCAACATCTTGGCACACCTCATCTCGTTTCGTCTTCACCAGAAACTGTACCTCCTTCTCAAATGTATTCAAGGCTTCATCCAGTACTCTTGACCAGTCATGTTGTTGTTGGGCAACCACAAGATTAGGACTGATGCCAGACAGACATGAGACCCTCTGATGCAGAGGGTAAGGCTGTTTCCTCCCCGTCTCCTCCAGACACAACATGATGCTGATCCCCAGTCTTTGCAGAACCTCAGCCAAGTGTCCTTTGGCAGAAGAGAAAGAGTCCAAAGATGCTTGACTAGCAGTAGGAGGAGGAAGTCCATGTCTCTTTTTCAGTTTCTCACGCAAACCTGGTAGCTTCAAGCTTAGGAATCCACCAAAACTCCCAGCTGTACATATTTCTGGTGAATCCAAAGTCCCCAAAAATACTTCATTTTCATCTTTCTTGATAGATGCCCATATCCGATGACCTTGGTCTATTGAAACTCCAATAGATCTGCACAGCAGCAGTTCCAGAAAATTGACATCCTCCCAGAAGAAGACTTGAATGAAATGCTGCTTGTCTACGCAGTCAATGTGGTCCAGGAGACAGACGGATATATGGATGAAGTCGAGGTGTTTGTCTGCCAAGATGTACGAGTCTCCCTGACCTGGAACCTGCATGTACTTGGAGGAACACAGTCGTCTGTGGAGGTTGTAATCCTCCCCGAGGCCATACCATGACACCAGCACCTTCCAGATTGATTCCCCTAGAAATATGTTGTCCGTGTCATTGAATGAGCTTGTCATGGGAGGGACAGGCCCCCCTGTTGTCTGATGATCATTTAGCAGATCCTTCAGCTGTCCAATCCACACATCAGACACAGCATACTCCCACTCATCAGCTACACATGGAGGGCCCTTCATCAGTGTGCCCAGAACACGCATTTGGGTCGTACGGGAAAGTGGGGCTCTTGGTAGTGACATTCTTACCTAACAAAGAAAAAGGATGAGCTGTGACAGGCCAATGAATACCAACACAAATTACAGTTAGCAGACATAATTTAAGTGATGCACTTTTAGTTGGCATACAACTATATCTTGAGAACTTATCACAATACCACAAATCTTTAACAAGTACCAAAATGTGCAACTGAAAAGAAATAAAAAGTGAGAGTGGTCAGCTCATGAATAGATGGTATATTTATCAAGCGCTCTGGAGTCCCCCCCACAACATCAGTCGATGTTCATTATGTATTACATCTCGTAATGTATGACAGCTTACTATGCTTATGTATAACAAGGCTCCAGACAACTTTCTGAGCCATTGAGTATGTACTCATGTTATCATTCACAGTGGGTATGGAGAGCATGAGGAGAAGAAGAAACGTTACACGCCAGTGTACCCCTCTTGCAGCCCATCAGAGGAGATGATTGCTTTATTGTTTTGGTAACATAAACATTTCCACACTCTCATTTCTCATCTCATCTACTGAAAATGATGCTCTATATCCATGCCAGCAATAACTGTAACCTAAGTATGAATCCCAGCAACAATGCCAGATACAAAGCTTGGCCAGCACCATCGGATGCCATCCAAACGGCAATCATTTCACTCTTGTGATTGGGGGATTTTACGAGCACATCATTTTTGTATGAATATTGACACATTGTCAGGTAACAATGACTGCTGTAGTGTATATGTCACTTATCATCACGTTGCCCCACGTTGGCGTAACCGCATCAAACAATTCGAAGAGTGATGAGTCACGATGATCACGTGCCTGATTGGACATGCACTACGCCAAGAATGATTTGGTGACTGTCGCTGGTATACAAGTGCCACCGGTCCTGATTGAAGATAAGCATGACATAGCAACACGAAAATATGTTCCAGTTTACCTATATATGATGATTGAGGCACACCGAGGCTGTTAAACTGCCATGTTGACAACACGGTTATAATGACACAGTATATAAAACAAAATGAGACCGCAACTTGCGTGAACACTCCCCTCAAGATCTTAGACGCAGTTACTTCCCTTTGTTATCGCAAGGGAGACAAGTCCAAAGGCTATAATTATTTTTGTGTTTTTCGTTCCATCTCTCCACCAGTTATCCTGCATCTTTGCTAATACACAGTGGTGGTTTCTGCAAACAAGTGTTTACAAGTGTGTGTGTTATTTTCTAGGGTATGAAAGTTGAATGTACATCAGGCAGAAACTGCGAATTCATTTAAATTTAATTTAATTAATTATTTCATGTCCATCCACATAGACATAGACAGGAATTAATGTACAAAGATAACAATATGATGAATAATCCAATGGAATAGGATTATTGTACATTGTACAAAGATTACAATATAATGACGAATCCAATGGGATAGGATTAAGAAAACAATATAATGACGAAGCCGATGGGATAGGATTATTGTACATTGTACAAAGCTCACAATATAATGACGAAGTCAGTGGGATAGGATTAAGATAACAATATAATGATATATAATGACTGCCTGGTGTGACAGTTGTGACTGCCTGGTGTGACAGTTGTGACTGCTTAGAGTGATAGTTGTGACTGCTTAGAGTGATAGTTGTGACTGTCTGGTGTGACAGTTGTGACTGCCTGGTGTGACAGTTGTGACTGCTTAGAGTGATAGTTGTGACTGCGTGGTGTGACAGTTGTGACTGCCTGGTGTGACAGTTGTGACTGCTTAGAGTGATAGTTGTGACTGCCTGGTGTGACAGTTGTGACTGCCTGGTGTGACAGTTGTGACTGCCTGGTGTGACAGTTGTGACTGCTTAGAGTGATAGTTGTGACTGCCTGGTGTGATAGTTGTGACTGCCTGGTGTGACAGTTGTGACTGCCTGGTGTGACAGTTGTGACTGCTTAGAGTGATAGTTGTGACTGCCTGGTGTGACAGTTGTGACTGCCTGGTGTGACAGTTGTGACTGCCTGGTGTGACAGTTGTGACTGCTTAGAGTGATAGTTGTGACTGCTTAGAGTGATAGTTGTGACTGCCTGGTGTGATAGTTGTGACTGCCTGGTGTGATAGTTGTGACTGCCTGGTGTGATAGTTGTGACTCCCTGGTGTGACAGTTGTGACTGCCTGGCGTGACAGTTGTGACTGCCTGGTGTGACAGTTGTGACTGCCTGGTGTGACAGTTGTGACTGTCTGATGTGACAGTTGTGACTGCCTGGTGTGATAGTTGTGACTGCCTGGTGTGATAGTTGTGACTGCCTGGTATGACAGTTGTGACTGCCTGGTGTGACAGTTGTGACTGCTTAGAGTGATAGTTGTGACTGCCTGGTGTGATAGTTGTGACTGCCTGGTGTGACAGTTGTGACTGCCTGGTGTGACAGTTGTGACTGCTTAGAGTGATAGTTGTGACTGCCTGGTGTGATAGTTGTGACTGCTTAGAGTGATAGTTGTGACTGCCTGGTGTGATAGTTGTGACTGCCTGGTGTGATAGTTGTGACTGCCTGGTGTGACAGTTGTGACTGCCTGGTGTGACAGTTGTGACTGCTTAGAGTGATAGTTGTGACTGCCTGGTGTGATAGTTGTGACTGCCTGGTGTGACAGTTGTGACTGCTTAGAGTGATAGTTGTGACTGCCTGGTGTGATAGTTGTGACTGCCTGGTGTGACAGTTGTGACTGCCTGGTGTGACAGTTGTGACTGCTTAGAGTGATAGTTGTGACTGCCTGGTGTGATAGTTGTGACTGCCTGGTGTGACAGTTGTGACTGCCTGGTGTGACAGTTGTGACTGCTTAGAGTGATAGTTGTGACTGCCTGGTATGACAGTTGTGACTGCCTGGTATGACAGTTGTGACTGCCTGGTGTGACAGTTGTGACTGCCTGGTGTGACAGTTGTGACTGCTTAGAGTGATAGTTGTGACTGCCTGGTGTGACAGTTGTGACTGCTTAGAGTGATAGTTGTGACTGCCTGGTATGACAGTTGTGACTGCCTGGTGTGACAGTTGTGACTGCTTAGAGTGATAGTTGTGACTGCCTGGTGTGATAGTTGTGACTGCCTGGTGTGACAGTTGTGACTGCCTGGTGTGACAGTTGTGACTGCTTAGAGTGATAGTTGTGACTGCCTGGTGTGATAGTTGTGACTGCTTAGAGTGATAGTTGTGACTGCCTGGTGTGATAGTTGTGACTGCCTGGTGTGATAGTTGTGACTGCCTGGTGTGACAGTTGTGACTGCTTAGAGTGACAGTTGTGACTGCCTGGTGTGATAGTTGTGACTGCCTGGTGTGACAGTTGTGACTGCTTAGAGTGATAGTTGTGACTGCCTGGTGTGACAGTTGTGACTGCTTAGAGTGATAGTTGTGACTGCCTGGTGTGATAGTTGTGACTGCCTGGTGTGACAGTTGTGACTGCTTAGAGTGATAGTTGTGACTGCTTAGAGTGATAGTTGTGACTGCCTGGTGTGACAGTTGTGACTGCCTGGTGTGACAGTTGTGACTGCTTAGAGTGATAGTTGTGACTGCCTGGTGTGATAGTTGTGACTGCGTGGTGTGACAGTTGTGACTGCTTAGAGTGATAGTTGTGACTGCCTGGTGTGACAGTTGTGACTGCCTGGTGTGACAGTTGTGACTGCTTAGAGTGATAGTTGTGACTGCCTGGTGTGACAGTTGTGACTGCTTAGAGTGATAGTTGTGACTGCCTGGTGTGATAGTTGTGACTGCGTGGTGTGACAGTTGTGACTGCCTGGTGTGACAGTTGTGACTGCTTAGAGTGATAGTTGTGACTGCGTGGTGTGACAGTTGTGACTGCTTAGAGTGATAGTTGTGACTGCCTGGTGTGATAGTTGTGACTGCCTGGTATGACAGTTGTGACTGCCTGGTGTGACAGTTGTGACTGCTTAGAGTGATAGTTGTGACTGCCTGGTGTGACAGTTGTGACTGCTTAGAGTGACAGTTGTGACTGCTTAGAGTGATAGTTGTGACTGCTTAGAGTGACAGTTGTGACTGCTTAGAGTGATAGTTGTGACTGCCTGGCGTGATAGTTGTGACTGCTTAGAGTGACAGTTGTGACTGCTTAGAGTGATAGTTGTGACTGCCTGGTGTGACAGTTGTGACTGCGTGGTGTGACAGTTGTGACTGCTTAGAGTGACAGTTGTGACTGCTTAGAGTGATAGTTGTGACTGCCTGGTGTAATAGTTGTGACTGCGTGGTGTGACAGTTGTGACTGCCTGGTGTGACAGTTGTGACTGCTTAGAGTGACAGTTGTGACTGCTTAGAGTGATAGTTGTGACTGCCTGGTGTGATAGTTGTGACTGCCTGGTGTGACAGTTGTGACTGCCTGGTGTGACAGTTGTGACTGCTTAGAGTGATAGTTGTGACTGCTTAGAGTGATAGTTGTGACTGCCTGGTGTGACAGTTGTGACTGCCTGGTGTGACAGTTGTGACTGCTTAGAGTGATAGTTGTGACTGCCTGGTGTGATAGTTGTGACTGCGTGGTGTGACAGTTGTGACTGCCTGGTGTGACAGTTGTGACTGCTTAGAGTGATAGTTGTGACTGCCTGGTGTGATAGTTGTGACTGCCTGGTGTGACAGTTGTGACTGCTTAGAGTGACAGTTGTGACTGCTTAGAGTGATAGTTGTGACTGCCTGGTGTGATAGTTGTGACTGCCTGGCGTGACAGTTGTGACTGCCTGGTGTGACAGTTGTGACTGCCTGGTGTGACAGTTGTGACTGCTTAGAGTGATAGTTGTGACTGCCTGGTGTGATAGTTGTGACTGCCTGGTGTGATAGTTGTGACTGCCTGGTGTGATAGTTGTGACTCCCTGGTGTGACAGTTGTGACTGCCTGGTGTGATAGTTGTGACTGCCTGGTGTGATAGTTGTGACTGCCTGGTGTGACTGCCTGGTATGACAGTTGTGACTGCCTGGTGTGACAGTTGTGACTGCTTAGAGTGATAGTTGTGACTGCCTGGTGTGACAGTTGTGACTGTCTGGTGTGACAGTTGTGACTGCTTAGAGTGACAGTTGTGACTGCTTAGAGTGACAGTTGTGACTGCTTAGAGTGATAGTTGTGACTGCTTAGAGTGATAGTTGTGACTGCTTAGAGTGATAGTTGTGACTGCCTGGTGTGATAGTTGTGACTGCTTAGAGTGACAGTTGTGACTGCCTGGTGTGACAGTTGTGACTGCTTAGAGTGACAGTTGTGACTGCTTAGAGTGATAGTTGTGACTGCCTGGTGTGATAGTTGTGACTGCCTGGTGTGACAGTTGTGACTGCTTAGAGTGATAGTTGTGACTGCTTAGAGTGATAGTTGTGACTGCCTGGTGTGACAGTTGTGACTGCCTGGTGTGACAGTTGTGACTGCTTAGAGTGATAGTTGTGACTGCCTGGTGTGATAGTTGTGACTGCGTGGTGTGACAGTTGTGACTGCCTGGTGTGACAGTTGTGACTGCTTAGAGTGATAGTTGTGACTGCCTGGTGTGACAGTTGTGACTGCTTAGAGTGATAGTTGTGACTGCCTGGTGTGATAGTTGTGACTGCCTGGTATGACAGTTGTGACTGCCTGGTGTGACAGTTGTGACTGCTTAGAGTGACAGTTGTGACTGCTTAGAGTGATAGTTGTGACTGCCTGGTGTGACAGTTGTGACTGCTTAGAGTGACAGTTGTGACTGCTTAGAGTGATAGTTGTGACTGCTTAGAGTGACAGTTGTGACTGCTTAGAGTGATAGTTGTGACTGCCTGGTGTGATAGTTGTGACTGCTTAGAGTGACAGTTGTGACTGCTTAGAGTGATAGTTGTGACTGCCTGGTGTGACAGTTGTGACTGCTTAGAGTGACAGTTGTGACTGCTTAGAGTGATAGTTGTGACTGCCTGGTGTGATAGTTGTGACTGCCTGGTGTGACAGTTGTGACTGCCTGGTGTGACAGTTGTGACTGCTTAGAGTGATAGTTGTGACTGCTTAGAGTGATAGTTGTGACTGCCTGGTGTGACAGTTGTGACTGCCTGGTGTGACAGTTGTGACTGCTTAGAGTGATAGTTGTGACTGCCTGGTGTGATAGTTGTGACTGCGTGGTGTGACAGTTGTGACTGCCTGGTGTGACAGTTGTGACTGCTTAGAGTGATAGTTGTGACTGCCTGGTGTGATAGTTGTGACTGCCTGGTGTGACAGTTGTGACTGCTTAGAGTGACAGTTGTGACTGCTTAGAGTGATAGTTGTGACTGCCTGGTGTGATAGTTGTGACTGCCTGGCGTGACAGTTGTGACTGCCTGGTGTGACAGTTGTGACTGCCTGGTGTGACAGTTGTGACTGCCTGGTGTGACAGTTGTGACTGCTTAGAGTGATAGTTGTGACTGCCTGGTGTGATAGTTGTGACTGCCTGGTGTGATAGTTGTGACTGCCTGGTGTGATAGTTGTGACTCCCTGGTGTGACAGTTGTGACTGCCTGGTGTGATAGTTGTGACTGCCTGGTGTGATAGTTGTGACTGCCTGGTGTGACTGCCTGGTATGACAGTTGTGACTGCCTGGCGTGACAGTTGTGACTGCCTGGCGTGACAGTTGTGACTGCCTGGTGTGATATATGTGACTGCCTGGTGTGACAGATGTGACTGCCTGGTGTGATAGTTGTGACTTCCTGGTGTGACAGTTGTGACTGCCTTGTGTGATAGTTGTGACTGCCTGGCGTGATAGTTGTGACTGCTTAGAGTGACAGTTGTGACTGCTTAGAGTGATAGTTGTGACTGCTTAGAGTGACAGTTGTGACTGCTTAGAGTGATAGTTGTGACTGCCTGGTGTGATAGTTGTGACTGCTTAGAGTGACAGTTGTGACTGCTTAGAGTGATAGTTGTGACTGCCTGGTGTGACAGTTGTGACTGCTTAGAGTGACAGTTGTGACTGCTTAGAGTGATAGTTGTGACTGCCTGGTGTGATAGTTGTGACTGCCTGGTGTGACAGTTGTGACTGCCTGGTGTGACAGTTGTGACTGCTTAGAGTGATAGTTGTGACTGCTTAGAGTGATAGTTGTGACTGCCTGGTGTGACAGTTGTGACTGCCTGGTGTGACAGTTGTGACTGCTTAGAGTGATAGTTGTGACTGCCTGGTGTGATAGTTGTGACTGCGTGGTGTGACAGTTGTGACTGCCTGGTGTGACAGTTGTGACTGCTTAGAGTGATAGTTGTGACTGCCTGGTGTGATAGTTGTGACTGCCTGGTGTGACAGTTGTGACTGCTTAGAGTGACAGTTGTGACTGCTTAGAGTGATAGTTGTGACTGCCTGGTGTGATAGTTGTGACTGCCTGGCGTGACAGTTGTGACTGCCTGGTGTGACAGTTGTGACTGCCTGGTGTGACAGTTGTGACTGCCTGGTGTGACAGTTGTGACTGCTTAGAGTGATAGTTGTGACTGCCTGGTGTGATAGTTGTGACTGCCTGGTGTGATAGTTGTGACTGCCTGGTGTGATAGTTGTGACTCCCTGGTGTGACAGTTGTGACTGCCTGGTGTGATAGTTGTGACTGCCTGGTGTGATAGTTGTGACTGCCTGGTGTGACTGCCTGGTATGACAGTTGTGACTGCCTGGCGTGACAGTTGTGACTGCCTGGCGTGACAGTTGTGACTGCCTGGTGTGATATATGTGACTGCCTGGTGTGACAGATGTGACTGCCTGGTGTGATAGTTGTGACTTCCTGGTGTGACAGTTGTGACTGCCTTGTGTGATAGTTGTGACTGCCTGGCGTGATAGTTGTGACTGCCTGGTGTGACTGCCTGGTATGACAGTTGTGACTGCTTAGAGTGATAGTTGTGACTGCCTGGCGTGACAGTTGTGACTGCTTAGAGTGATAGTTGTGACTGCCTGGTATGACAGTTGTGACTGCTTAGAGTGATAGTTGTGACTGCCTGGTGTGACAGTTGTGACAGTTGTGACTGCCTTCTGTGATAGTTGTGACTGCTTGGTGTAACAGTTGTGACTGCCTGGCGTGACAGTTGTGACTGCCTGGTGAGACTGCCTGGTGTGACAGTTGTGACTGCCTGGTGTGACAGTTGTGACTGCCTGGTGTGACAGTTGTGACTGCCTGGTGTGACAGTTGTGACTGCCTGGTGTGACAGTTGTGACTGCCTGGTGTGACAGTTGTGACTGCCTGGTATGACAGTTGTGACTGGATGGTGTGACAGTTGTGACTGCATGGTGTGACAGTTGTGACTGTCTGATGTGACAGTTGTGACTGCCTGGTGTGATAGTTGTGACTGCCTGGTGTGACAGTTGTGACTGCTTGGTGTAACAGTTGTGACTGCCTGGCGTGACAGTTGTGACTGCCTGGTGAGACTGCCTGGTGTGACAGTTGTGACTGCCTGGTGTGACAGTTGTGACTGCCTTGTGTGATAGTTGTGACTGCCTGGCGTGATAGTTGTGACTGCCTGGTGTGACTGCCTGGTATGACAGTTGTGACTGCCTGGTGTGATAGTTGTGACTGCCTGGTATGACAGTTGTGACTGCCTGGTATGACAGTTGTGACTGCCTGGTGTGACAGTTGTGACTGCCTGGCGTGACAGTTGTGACTGCCTGGTGTGACAGTTGTGACAGTTGTGACTGCCTTCTGTGATAGTTGTGACTGCTTGGTGTAACAGTTGTGACTGCCTGGCGTGACAGTTGTGACTGCCTGGTGAGACTGCCTGGTGTGACAGTTGTGACTGCCTGGTGTGACAGTTGTGACTGCCTGGTGTGACAGTTGTGACTGCCTGGTGTGACAGTTGTGACTGCCTGGTGTGACAGTTGTGACTGCCTGGTATGACAGTTGTGACTGGATGGTGTGACAGTTGTGACTGCATGGTGTGACAGTTGTGACTGTCTGATGTGACAGTTGTGACTGCCTGGTGTGATAGTTGTGACTGCCTGGTGTGACAGTTGTGACTGCCTGGTGTGATAGTTGTGACTGCCTGGTGTGGCAGTTGTGACTGCCTGGTGTGATAGTTGTGACTCCCTCCTGGTGTGATAGTTGTGACTGCCTGGTGTGACTGCCTTATATGACAGTTGTGACTGCCTGGTGTGACAGTTGTGACTGCCTGGTGTGACTGCCTGGTGTGATTGTTGTGACTGCCTGGTATGACAGTTGTGACTGCCTGGTGTGATAGTTGTGACTGCCTGGTGTGACAGTTGTGACTGCCTGGTGTGATATTTGTGACTGCCTGGTGTGACAGATGTGACTGCCTCCTGGTGTGATAGTTGTGACTTCCTTGTATGACAGTTGTGACTGCCTGGTGTTACAGTTGTGACTGCCTCCTGGTGTGACAGTTGTGACTGCCTTGTGTGATAGTTGTGACTGCTTGGTGTGATATTTGTGACTGTCTGATGTGACAGTTGTGACTGCCTGGTGTGATAGTTGTGACTGCCTGGTGTGACAGTTGTGACTGCCTGGTGTGATATTTGTGACTGCCTGGTGTGACAGATGTGACTGCCTCCTGGTGTGATAGTTGTGACTTCCTTGTATGACAGTTGTGACTGCCTGGTGTTACAGTTGTGACTGCCTCCTGGTGTGACAGTTGTGACTGCCTTGTGTGATAGTTGTGACTGCTTGGTGTGATATTTGTGACTGCCTGGTGTGATAGTTGTGAGTTCCTGGTATTACAGTTGTGACTGCCTGGTGTGACAGTTGTGACTTCCTTGTGTGATAGTTGTGACTGCTTGGTGTGATAGTTGTGACTGCCTGGTATGAGAGTTGTGAGTGCCTGGCGTGACAGTTGTGACTGCCTGGTGTGACAGATGTGACCGCCTCTTGGTGTTTGACAGTTGTGACTGCCTGGTGTGATAGTTGTGACTGCCTGGTGTGACAATTGTCACTGCCTTATGTGATAGTTGTGACTGCTCAGTGTGATAGTTGTGACTCCCTGGTGTGATAGTTGTGAGTGCCTGGTATGACAGTTGTGACTGGCTGGCGTGACAGTTGTGGCTGCCTGGCGTGACAATTATGACTGCCTGGTGTGACAGTTGTGACTGCCTGGTGTGACAGTTGTGACTGCATGGTGTGACAGTTGTGACTGTATGGTGTGACAGTTGTAACTACCTGCATGGTGTAACAAATGTGACAATCTGATGTGGCTCCCCGGTGTGACAGTCGTGACAGTTGTGACAGTCTGGTGTGACATATGTGACTCTGGTGTCACAGCTATAGTTGGTGGAGCTGAACATTGCTGTTTATTCATGTAACAACTGAAAATTCGACTTTATAACTTCCAAGGAGCACGTCAGCATCGGGCGATTTATTCCTGAACGTATGTTTCCAATACAATATGTGCATGTGTTCCGTGATGCTGCCAATGCGAGTGTATTGCAGTGTTCAACAGTCCCACATGGCCAAGTGGTCAATATGGTCCATATGTCCTGGTGCGACTGGCCTTGCCCCGACGCCTTCCGATGATGGGATCTGAAACACCAGATATATCTATACGGCGTCACCAGGGACCTGTTAATCGACAGTTTCTGGTACATTTCGTGATACGATAATCTAATGTTATCATTAGTAGAATATGAAGCTGGAAGACAGTTCCAGCTGGTGGCCGCAACACAGTTCCAGGTAGTGGCTGAGGCACGACTGTCCCTGTTGTCAGGTTGGATGACTGTTTACCTGTGTTGGAGGCGGCGCACTCGGCGTCCCAGTCTGTGGGAACCATGTCTTTGGTGAGGGACACAAAGTTGGTCAGCGGGCACTGGGACGTACAACCTACACAGAAACCCATGAATGTTTAATACAGTATGGATAACAGACAAGACAGTTCTGAGACAAAATGTGATTGTGGTACAGAGACAAGATGTGTTACTGGTACAGAGAAGAGATGTGTTGTTACTACATAGTGTGTCTCACCTGGGATGGTGAGTTGATTAGGCTGTGTGTCATCATTAGGGTCTGTGGATGACACATTCCTGTAGTACAGCTCCACGTGGAAGACCCCGGCCCCTGTCTCGTGCAGCTCCATGAGGACGGCGGAGGAGTAGGGTGGGTTGAGGTGGTTGTGGACTCGGAGAGCGCAGAGGAGCGCCACGGTGGTTGAGTCATGCTGCAGTAACAGACGCAACATGTCAGCCCCTTGCCGTGGTGAGTATCGTGTAGCACACATTACCTTTGTTACTTTATCAGCAACCCTCGATAACAACAGAGGACATCCATGCAGTAACCCAATACCATCGTGGTCATGAGGCCACACAATCCCCTTGTCATTTCAATATTAAATGCCACACCCTGAACTATGTGTTCAAATAAATAACATATATTGTAGCGCAGAGTGGTGCTTCCATCTTCGCCTCAGTTATGTTTGTTTACATGTAAGCACCACATCTATACTCCTGGGTTTAAATAGATTGGTAAACGTCCAACACCCGCGTCACTTTGGTCTTTCTTACAATAACAACTGGACATATCGGGATATAACTACTCAAAGCTTGAAAGCAATCTCACACCCAACTCACTCGTTCTACACGAAAACAGGATATTGTAATAAGATCTTTTAAATGTGTAGTTATAACGATATGAATCTTAGTCTATGGACCACTGTTACACGTTACTAACGGCGGAGAACATGTTCATCTTGGTGGTGTAACTCTTGGAACTGAGTTTCCGTTGTGCCAGTTCGATCCATTTCTTTAAAAGAGGACCTTCAAGATAAAAAGCAATAATAGTGATGTACATGGTATTAATAATGATAACATTAATAATGATAATAACAATACAAAGCGCAAGACTTCACACCATCAGCTTTCTGTTAAGCACTAGAATGTTCTGCATTCACGTTAAACTACCGGATGCACACCTATTCAGTGATGGGTGGACATGGACAAACTTAAAGAAGGCCACTTGCCAAATTATCGAATCCCCTTTCATCTGATATGACACATGTGCCAGGGTCATATGCCACATACGTCACTAAGGTAAACAATTACAGAGACATTGTCAAGTACTGCTTTCCGTTAAACAAATGAAGTTGACAATGATATCAGCAGATACCGTACCTCCATTAAGACGGGCTTCGATAGTACCATTGTAGAGAAGATCATAGCCCACAGCCTCAAACTCCCGCAGCTTCTGGTAGATTGTGGAGTTTACCCAGCTAGGCAATGTGACGTTGTGGTTTTTCTGAAAAGCTAGGCTGCCACTTCATCGATCATACACCAACGTTTATAACAGGGCTAGATTGCAAAAGAACTATACTGCATCTATTAATGAATTTCTACCTAGCAGCGATGTAGGCGTCTAACAAATGCTTCCTTCATGTCATATTACCGAGCTGACCCTGTCGAAGGAGCCGTAGTTTTGTGTCGCTCGGGCGTCCCAGGAACCTATGATCTGGGTTCCAATCCCCGGTTTGCCGTGATTATGTTTCTACGTTTCAACACCATGCCCATGTTCGTGGGTTACATCAAAGTGGTAAACGTCTACCTCACTTTCTTATTAACTTTACTCCCACGTCAAGTTGTCACGCCGTGATTTACCGGAAATATTGTTCTGGCGGGGTTAAATCAAACTCACGCCTTCCCTTGTTATCAATTCCTATATCTAGCAGTTCCGTAATGGTGGGCACGGTGACATAAGAACGTCACAGTGGTTCCCAAGCGAATCCGGGACAGAAGATGTCCTGCTTCCCACTTTCACTAAACAACCTAGGCTAATGTCAGCCCTGGTCACGAATATTAGAATAAACATTACAACATACTGTAGGTCTGATTTGTGTATGCCCCTTCCCCCGCCCCTGGTCTCGTGTATCCACTGCCTTATTTAGCCAACCACAATGGGGATCGGGTGGTCACGGTTTGTGACCTGGCTAAATGCCTCCATACCAGAGCGGCAAGCGTCGTTGTTTGTGCTAACAGCCATTGGTTTCCACCCCTCCCATGCAGATCTTACCTGCCGGGATAACAACGATATCATCTATTCTCCGTATGTCGACTCACCTCACAAAACAGAGTGTCGGAGATCTCCCACAGATTCTTAAACGACACTGGAGTAAGACCTGACTTCTCCTCCAAAAAACGAAAGAAACCCTGAAAGATATTAAATATTCAGATAAACATTTCTTTTGTAATTTAAAGGATCCGACTTTTCTACATGATTGCGACATCACTGCACTTTCCTCAAGTTTGACTACCCATTTTCCAAAAGGCCCCTGCTTATTTTACCGACAAATTTCTCAATTGACTCTCGTTTTTGTGGATATCTCTACGTGATCACGCCATGTTCACAGCAAAAGATTTCACTATCATGCAATGTCTTCGTCCATCGTGAGAGAACACCATTATCTAGACGTAGACAACGTCGTTGTGTTGTTTCCGGGGCAAACTGCATCGTGACCTTGACCTTCACTCATGATGTGTGCTACCGGCAGGTAGATATACTCCCCTGTTTCACAGACACCTGGGGTCATCACTTACTTTTACAGTGATCCGTGAAATTGTGTCTTCAATTTTGATTGGAATCTATTCCTTTTCCAGTGACAGAATTACTGTGGGTGGTAAATGTTGGTCCAGGACATACCTTGTTCTCGCGTTCTACCCGGTGTACTTGTGGGGAGCTGAAGCGTAGATCATACAACATGTCATACTTGGGGCACGGCTTGTGTAGAGCCAACATCTGGAAATAAGGGACATTCTAACTGTGGGCGAATCCAGTTCCACTTGTTCCCTGAATCTTATTCCGATGATTCAGATATGTTTTGGTCATTCACAACTGATGTGAAAACACTGTGTATTAAATGCCTCTAACATTGATGGACTTAATGATTAAATGATAAACAACGATAACAACAACAACAATAGGAACGGTAGTTCTCCATACAGTAGAGACTCCCGACACAGTATTTCACATCTGGACCTAAATCACTGGTGAAAAATCAAGAAGACATAGCTATTCATATCCCCACCACACATCATCTAGTTGTGGACAAGGAAAGCTCGGGATCTGAAAAGATTAAGAAATGATGAAAGAGCCACCACCACCATGCCCACCATCCAATACACACAGTTGTTCTTCCTGTTCACCCTACACGGAATCATATTTCCCACTGCATCAAAAACAACAGACACAAGAGGATTGTGTTTCAAATATATTTCCAGTTGTACTTTATTTCAATCACCCTTATATCATCTAAGGACATGCACAGTTCCCATTTGTAATACCTTGCACTTTAACTAAAGAACAGGCGTCACAACTGTATGATATTTGATGGTTTTCAAACATAATTACATATTCAGCAATTATTGGTACATCAAGATGTTATTTACAGTGGAAAACTTGTCCACATTGACGGTAATGTGACGCATGTCCACAGGGTCAGAGGAGGAAATGAACTCGATTTATTCTCGATGCTGGTTTTCAAACTTGAATCACATAATTACCCCTTAATGATGTGTGCAAAATGTCATCCTTGTGTCTATAGTGGTTTTCAAGAAACACGTCACATATGGGTGTCCTGTGCGCCATGTCCAAAAGATCGGACTGATGGACGGAGCTTGTCTCCAGCATCACTTAGTGGCGGGTCTGATAGGCCCTGCTACATATACTAGAAATATGACCTCACATTGTGTAAGTAGTTCACAGTTTCACTAGACATGTAGAAGCACGATTACACACAATTGATCTCTGCTCTCGAGATCTACGTACATTATCTTCCACCTTGGGCCTGGTGTGGACGGGGATGGGCTGCCAGGGGATGTTGCTGTTCCACACTTGGTCCCCACTTGGAGGGTACAGACCGGCCAGGTTGGAGTAGGCAGACATCAGACACCTGTCCACGTCCGAGCTCTCCACGGTGATCTGGAGTGACATCATTGATACAGATTCCCAACCTTACACTGAAAGTTTACATCCGACACCGGTCAACGGTTGTGCTCTCCACGGTGATCTGCAGTGACATCAGTCGTGCAAATTCCCAATCTTACACTGAAACTTATCATCAGACACCGGTCTCCTGGGGGTCTGAAGTGGAGACCTCAAGCAACCCGCTGCACAAAGAGGGGCAATGCAATCTGACATATTGAATCACCCTAGAACCTGGCTCAATATACTTCAATACTGTACAGTTACTCATTGCATCTGTCCAGTGTCGACAGAGGCGTAAGCTGTCTACCTTGCCTCCACACCACCCACACACGCCCCACACACGCCCCACACCACCTCTGTGTGCATGTACTTGTTGCTAAGAAACCCGGAGTAGCGACGTCGGAGGCGTGTTTTACCCTATACCTCCGCACCACTCACCTCTGTGTGCATGTACTTGTTGCTAAGAAACCCGGAGTAGCGACGTCGGAGGAAGCGACCAAGAGAGTAGAGTTGTGCCATTCCATCCTGAAAGGTGTATAATGTATTACTAGTTTATACATAACACGCATCAAGTCTCTCTGGTTAACGGTACAGCCAGCGGACATGACATGAGATGCATTACCTAACAGTTGGGCATACTTAACTTCAGAGATTTCAACTTAACAATTGCTGCATGATATAATCAGGTTTCAGTCCTTGATTTGTCTGATTTGGGTTAAGTTATCATTTTTAATGCTTTTTGTCGTCATCTGTATCAGCCATTACCTGTGATCTACCTTGTGCAACTGAGGACACAATGGACAGTGTACAGCTTACTTACAGTTGTCAGCCACTGGAGTCCCTGGGGCCAGGTAGTATTCATGGAGTGGGGGTTGTTGGGGTAAGTGGTGTATGGAGTGCGGTCGCCATGGCGATACATCTGAATCATAGTAATGTGCCATTATCTCCAATCCAGATGCATGGTAATTAGTTATTGACTTATTGAAGAAAGTAAGTGACAGTAAGTTTGGTTTGTTTTTTAGCAGGATTTCAGTGACACAGTTGTATATATCACGGCGTGTCAGCTTGATGTGGGAGGAGGGCCCGAAGTGATGCAGGTCTTAGACGCTTGCACTTTGGTGGAAGCCAGGAACACGAGCATGGTGCTGACCAACAGGGAATCTGGGATTCGAACCCACGACCACTGGTATGTGGGACACGTATGCTGCATCCCTGTACAGCGAACAGAGGACCCTCAGACTAGTGTGGTGACGGGTTATAGCAGGAGGTCTCAATTAATGACACTTTCAGAAATATTCAAATACAGAACTCTCCCCTTCAAGGAATCGATTTGGTTCAAACGATCTGATTTAATGAGTGAGTGAGGTGGGTTTAACGCCGCTTTTAACAGTATTTCAGTTATATCGCGGCGTGTCAGCTTAATGTGGGAGGAAAGCCCGAAGTAATGCAGGTCCAAGACGTTTACCACCTCGGTGAAACCAACGAGCATGGGTATGGTGCTGATCACTGCTGATAAACCTAGAAACATAATCGGGGCGAACCGGGATTCGAACCCACATTCATAGGTTTCTGGCGTGCCCAGGGGACGCAAATCTGCACAGCGAATCGCGGCGCCTTAGACAACTGTGCCACCCGTGCCCCCTCTGATTTAATGAAGAGGGGTGTGAGTGTTAACCAAAACTAAACTAAACGGCATCAATTATCTTGGCAAGGTATTTGTTGGTTAACATGGATAAAAAACTCAGACATGTAGTCCATTTCATAATTTCTATTAATTTTTAGCCCTTGTGTATATAAATATAAATAAAACATGCGTGGTTAAAGTATTCTTGACTAAATATTACTTTTCTTTTCTCAGTATGATGAATGACTTCTAGTTTGTCCGTACTTTGAAATAAACATAAAATTAACACTAAATCACCGAAGGCTTACTTCCCAATAGTCAACTTTCCCTTCATGTCGAGCAATATTCCTGCAGCGCCAGCCTTAGGTGTTCACATTTCACAACTCCTGAAGTTGAACCGATCGTGCTCTTTCTACCAAGATTTTAAATAGCGTCAGATGACTCTTGCTCAGAAGTTGTTTGACCAAGGTTACAACATTCAAGGCCTCAATAAAGCTTTAAAAAGCTATATGGCAGACATGTGGATGACTTTTTCGAATTTGACGCATCAGTGATGAAAATGATGTCCGATGCAATTCCCAATATTGACTTGTGTCATATGTCCTCGTGTCTTTTCATGTGTACAATTGACTTGCCTTTGAATGTGTTTGTGACTGGTGCCACCGATGGGAGGGGATACGTTAGCCCAGCATGACCCTGGCGTCAATATGTCTCCAGACAGCCCCAAACTTCCAAATCACACACTGACCCCGAAAGACATTCAACAGGTTCCTCTTCTCTTTTGTTCCATGTTTTGGCATTGCATATGCTTTGAAAGCATCCATAATTAATTTAAAGTTGTGATTCCATTTGGTAGGAGGCAACTGACCATATCTCTTCCACACTGAATAACTGACGAAAGCTGTTATTGTCGTTTTTTCTGTCTTGTTTGTTGTTTAACGCCGCACTCAGCTATATTGCAGCCATATGACGGCGGTCTGTAAATAATCGAGTCTGGACCAGACAATTCCAGTGATTGAATTCATGAGCAAAGATCCACGCAGTTGGGATACGATGACATGCATCAACCAAGGCAGCGAGCCTGAAAACCCGATCTCGTTAGTCGCTTTTTACGGCAAGCACGTGTTGTTGAAGACCTATTCTACCCCGGATCTTCACTGTTATTGTCACCGTGATTATATGACCTGTGGTGAATCTTGTCAGCCACACAATGAGCTGCAAGGTCCACGGCCAGCAACATGTTCCTATAAATGAACCACCTGGGTGAAATGATGTTCGTATACGAAAATGACATTTTTGATGCTTCCTGAAATTTGAAAACTTGTGGGAAATTTGGGGAAAATGATTTTTATCTGAGAATGTTAATTAGATTTAAGGCAACAATTCCCTTTGTTTGCAAAATCAACTTCAAGAACATGCGGTCTTTTTCTGATTTGGCCAAATGTTGCAAAGCAATATCAAGAACAGTTACTACCCTCTCTAGTCGATACTGTGGGCTCTTCTGTTTGTAGACCCACCCATCAGAAATAGTTGCTGGAGCCGCTTAATTTCTTTCAATGACACAGACTACAGACTTGTTCTAACTTTGAGTAGTCCCAATGGTTCCTGGAGGCGAGGCAATAAATGGTATCATTTGGCCCTCGTCCATTCTTGTGACCATGGCTGCGTCGACGTCTAAGGGATGCCAGAAACATATTCTATACATTGAAGTTGGCAGTTCGTTGGTTAGAAAGACCACATGTCATGTTATTGCATCTGTCCAGCGTCGACACAGAAATAAGCTCTAATGACTACACAGTCCCCCTTGTTTCCTCACCAACTTCTGTGTGCCAGTCCTTGGGATAACGCCTACTAACCAGTCCACCTTGCTATATTGCCACCCACCCAAGTGAGCAGGTACCACCATGCCATCATCCACCTTACTTCATTGTCACCCACCTTGTGCAGAGACCGAAGGGTTGAACCATGATGTTGCCATCCACACAGTCCTCCTTGCTTATCTGCCACCCACCTCTGTGTGTCATTACCTGGGGTAGAGCCATGATGTTGCCATCCACACAGTCCTCCTTGCTTCAAAGCCACCCATCTGTGTGTCATTACCAGGGGTAAAGCCATGATGTTGCCATCTACACAGTCCTCCTTTCTAATCTGCCACCCATCTCTGTGTGTCATTACCTGGTGTAGAGCCATGATGTTGCCACCCACACAGTCCTCCTTGCTTCAATGCCACCCATCTCTGTGTGTCATTACCTGGGATAGAGCCATGATGTTGCCATCCACACAGTCCTCCATGCTTCAATGCCACCCATCTCTGTGTGTCATTACCTGGTGTAGAGCCATGATGTTGCCACCCACACAGTCCTCCTTGCTTCAATGCCACCCATCTCTGTGTGTCATTACCTGGTGTAGAGCTATGATGTTGCCACCCATACAGTCTTTTTTGTTTCAATGCCACCCATCTCTGTGTGTCATTACCTGGGGTAAAGCCGTGATGTTGCCATCCACACAGTCCTCCCTGCTTCAATGCCACCCATCTCTGTGTGTCACTACCTGGGGTAAAGCCGTGATGTTGCCATCCACAGTCCTCCTTGCTTCAATGCCACCCATCTCTGTGTGTCATTACCTGGGGTAAAGCCGTGATGTTGCAATCCACAGTCCTCCTTGCTTCAATGCCACCCATCTCTGTGTGTCATTACCTGGGGTAAAGCCGTGATGTTGCCATCCACAGTCCTCCTTGCTTCAATGCCACCCATCTCTGTGTGTCATTACCTGGAGTAGAGCCATGATGTTGCCATCTACACAGTCCTCCTTGCTTATCTGCCACCCATCTGTGTGTGTCATTACCTGGAGTAGAGCCATGATGTTGCCATCCACACAGTCCTCCTTGCTTATCTGCCACCCATCTCTGTGTGTCATTACCTGGGGTAGAGCCATGATGTTGCCATCCACACAGTCCTCCTTGCTTCAATGCCACCCATCTCTGTGTGTCATTACCTGGGGTAGAGCCATGATTTTGCCATCCACACAGTCCTCCATGCTTCAATGCCACCCATCTTTGTGTGTCATTACCTGGAGTAGAGCCATGATGTTGCCACCCACACAGTCCTCCTTGCTTCAATGCCACCCATCTCTGTGTGTCATTACCTGGTGTAGAGCTATGATGTTGCCACCCATACAGTCTTTTTTGTTTCAATGCCACCCATCTCTGTGTGTCATTACCTGAGGTAAAGCCGTGATGTTGCCATCCACACAGTCCTCCCTGCTTCAATGCCACCCATCTCTGTGTGTCACTACCTGGGGTAAAGCCGTGATGTTGCCATCCACAGTCCTCCTTGCTTCAATGCCACCCATCTCTGTGTGTCATTACCTGGGGTAAAGCCGTGATGTTGCAATCCACAGTCCTCCTTGCTTCAATGCCACCCATCTCTGTGTGTCATTACCTGGGGTAAAGCCGTGATGTTGCCATCCACACAGTCCTCCTTGCTTCAATGCCACCCATCTCTGTGTGTCATTACCTGGAGTAGAGCCATGATGTTGCCATCTACACAGTCCTCCTTGCTTATCTGCCACCCATCTGTGTGTGTCATTACCTGGAGTAGAGCCATGATGTTGCCATCCACACAGTCCTCCTTGCTTATCTGCCACCCATCTCTGTGTGTCATTACCTGGGGTAGAGCCATGATGTTGCCATCCACACAGTCCTCCTTGCTTCAATGCCACCCATCTCTGTGTGTCATTACCTGGGGTAGAGCCATGATTTTGCCATCCACACAGTCCTCCATGCTTCAATGCCACCCATCTTTGTGTGTCATTACCTGGAGTAGAGCCATGATGTTGCCATCCACACAGTCCGCCTTGCTTATCTACCACCCATCTGTGTGTGTCATTACCTGGGGTAGAGCCATGATGTTGCCATCCACACAGTCCTCCTTTCTTCATTGCCACCCATCTCTGTGTGTCATTACCTCGCGTAGAGCCATGATGTTGCCATCCATACAGTCCTCCTTGCTACAATGCCACCCATCTCTGTGTGTCATTACCTGGGGTAGAGCCATGATGTTGCCATCCACACAGTCCTCCTTGCTTCAATGCCTCCCATCTCTGTGTGTGTCATTACCTATGGATAGAGCCATGATGTTACCATCCACACAGTCCTCCTTGCTTATCTACCACCCATCTGTGTGTGTCATTACCTGGGATAGAGCCATGATGTTGCCATCCACACAGTCCTCCTTTCGTCAATGCCACCCATCTCTGTGTGTCATTACCTCGCGTAGAGCCATGATGTTGCCATCCATACAGTCCTCCTTGCTACAATGCCACCCATCTCTGTGTGTCATTACCTGGAGTAGAGCCATGATGTTGCCATCCACACAGTCCTCCTTGCTTCAATGCCTCCCATCTCTGTGTGTGTCATTACCTATGGATAGAGCCATGATGTTACCATCCACACAGTCCTCCTTGCTTATCTGCCACCCATCTCTGTGTGTCATTACCTGGGGTAGAGCCATGATGTTGCCACCCACACAGTCCTCCTTGCTTCAATGCCTCCCATCTCTGCGTGTCATTACCTGGAGTAGAGCCATGATGTTGCCATCCACACAGTCCTCCTTGCTTCAATGCCACCCATCTCTGTGTGTCATTACCTGAAGTAGAGCCATGATGTTGCAATCTACACAGTCCTCCTTGCTGATCTGCCACCCATCTGTGTTCAGGTTCCTTGTGTAGAGCCATGACGCCACTATCCCTACAGTCTAACTTGATTCATTATCACCTGACAACCTTTTTTCACGGATGCCATGCTTCAATGGCACCATGCCACCAAATGCAGGTATTCGGCGGTGGATAGCACTCATTCTTAGATGCTTCCCAAGGCGCCATAAGGTTTCATAACCAAATACATGTTCACCTGTTGCTCAGCATACACCATTTTACAATATACGCAGTGAAACAAACCGGCCGCTGCTGCTCTTCCTCCGCCATGTTCGTCTCACGTCGACGCAATATCACGCCCCAGCCCATCAATTCACGTCGGTTACGTTATCATGTAGGGCAACAGTCTCGGTAAGTACTCTTAAGTGCAGTGGCTGCTGTCTGCTAACATTATTGGTGGAAACAAAGCTGCAACTTGAACAACAGAAAACACCTCAACTCACGATAACCAGCGACACCGCACTTCGTCTGTTAACAGATATTAGCTCGGCCAGACAACGCATTTGTGGAATGTTTCGAGCCATGTGCTTAAACTGAAGCAAATTAACTTAAATTTGAAAATCCTTCTTATGCTGCATGGGTTTATTGATAACCACACACTGAACGGATAAGGAAATGTGACCTATTTAAATAATAAACTACATATTTTAGTGATGTGTTCTAAATAAAGTTTGCTCTACCCTCATTTGTAGTGAAATAAAGTACAGTTAGATACACGTTATTATACTACACATGGGGTAGAGCAAACTTGTTTTCTTAAATACAAGATCCCCTAAAACACGCCAATATGAAAGAATCTACCAGTTGCACAGTGACTGAACAGGCAATGCTTCTGATCATCACAATGCCAGTGGTGGTTTTCTAAATTGTCATATTTGTCCTGTGTTATGTACCATACTGTTGGTGGAATAAGTCATCTGTTCAAGTAGGAAAGGTATTGATATGAATGGGATTCTTACCAGATTGACAAGTCGCAGTGTTGTAGGAGCTGTGGTGTCGACGGAGAAGCACCCAACAACAAGGATCAGCGCAACAACTGCCACAGACTGTTCTTCCATGTTGGTAAAGTCTTCAAGTGCTTTCTGGTCACAGCTAATCAGCTTATCACCACGCACTATAAATAGAGCCAATACTGCTAATAATAACTCACCTTTACCTTACAGATCTCTTGTTGAGTTCTCTCACTCAAACCTTTCAGATCTCTTGTTGAGTTCTCTCACTCCACCTTACAGATCTCTTGTTGAGTTCTCTCACTCCACCTTACAGATCTCTTGTTGAGTTCTCTCACTCCACCTTACAGATCTCTTGTTGAGTTCTCTCACTCCATCTTACAGATCTCTTGTTGAGTTCTCTCACTCCACCTTTAGATCTCTTGTTGAGTTCTCTCATTCCACCTTAGGGATCTCTTGTTGGGTTCTCTCACTCCACCTTACAGATCTCTTGTTGAGTTCTCTCACTTCACCTTAAAGACCTCTTGTTGAGTTCTCTCACTTCACCTTACATATCTCTTGTTGAGTTCTCTCACTCCACCTTACAGATCTCTTGTTGATTTCTCTCACTCCACCATACAGATCTCTTGTTGAGTTCTCTCACTCCACCATACAGATCTCTTGTTGAGTTCTCTCACTCCACCTTACAGATGTCTTGTTGAGTTCTCTCACTCCACCTTACAGATCTCTTGTTGAGTTCTCTCACTCCACCTTACAGATCTCTTGTTGAGTTCTCTCACTTCATCATACAGATCTCTTGTAGAGTTCTCTCACTTCACCTTACAGATCTCTTGTTGAGTTCTCTCACTTCACCATACTGATCTCTTGTTGAGTTGAGTTCTCTCACTCCACCTTACATATCTCTTGTTGAGTTCTCTCACTCCACCATACAGATCTCTTGTTGAGTTCTCTCACTTCATCATACAGATCTCTTGTAGAGTTCTCTCACTTCACCTTACAGATCTCTTGTTGAGTTCTCTCACTTCACCATACTGATCTCTTGTTGAGTTGAGTTCTCTCACTCCACCATACAGATCTCTTGTTGAGTTCACTCACTCCACCTTACAGATGTCTTGTTGAGTTCTCTCACTCCACCTTACAGATCTCTTGTTGAGTTGAGTTCTCTCACTCCACCATACAGATCTCTTGTTGAGTTCACTCACTCCACCTTACAGATGTCTTGTTGAGTTCTCTCACTCCACCTTACAGATCTCTTGTTGAGTTGAGTTCTCTCACTCCACCATACAGATCTCTTGTTGAGTTCACTCACTCCACCTTACAGATGTCTTGTTGAGTTCTCTCACTCCACCTTACAGATCTCTTGTTGAGTTCTCTCACTCCACCATACAGATCTCTTGTTGAGTTCACTCACTCCACCTTACAGATGTCTTGTTGAGTTCTCTTACTCCACCTTACAGATCTCTTGTTGAGTTGAGTTCTCTCACTCCACCATACAGATCTCTTGTTGAGTTCTCTCACTTCACCTTACAGATGTCTTGTTGAGTTCTCTCACTCCACCTTACAGATCTCTTGTTGAGTTCTCTCACTCCACCTTACAGATCTCTTGTTGAGTTGACTTCTCTCACTCCACCATACAGATCTCTTGTTGAGTTCACTCACTCCACCTTACAGATGTCTTGTTGAGTTCTCTCACTCCACCTTACAGATCTCTTGTTGAGTTCTCTCACTCCACCTTACAGATGTCTTGTTGAGTTCTCTCACTTCACCTTACAGATGTCTTGTTGAGTTCTCTCACTCCACCATACAGATCTCTTGTTGAGTTCTCTCACTCCACCTTACAGATCTCTTGTTGAGTTCTCTCACTCCACCTTACAGATCTCTTGTTGAGTTCTCTCACTCCACCTTACAGATGTCTTGTTGAGTTCTCTCACTCCACCTTACAGATGTCTTGTTGATTTCTCTCACTCCACCTTACAGATCTCTTTTTGAGTTCTCTCACTCCTCCTTACAGATCTCTCGCCGAGTTCTCTCACTCCACCTTACATATCTCTTGTTGAGTTCTCTCACTTCACCTTACAGATCTCTTGTTGATTTCTCTCACTCCACCGTACATATCTCTTGTTGAGTTCTCTCACTCCTCCTTACAGATCTCTCGCCGAGTTCTCTCACTTTGTCCAGCTCAAGGAGTAAATTAATGAGTGAATATTTGTTTTATTTGTGCTAAGATGAACTTGTCTACAACCAGAAGCTCCTGTGACCTCAACTATTCTATTCTACCAGAGGTTACCCATATTCGCATTATGACCTCTGTTGATCTTTATTTCCTGGTTCAGCTACGGGCACTGCTGATTGTTCTTTCACAATCTTTATCACCTGTACTCCTACTGACATAGGTTATAAACCAGGGGTCCGGAAAAGTTAAAATCCCAATCGGACATTTGCATTTAGGCCACGCCCCCTTCAAATAGCGTATTTTAGTACGACTTTTCACACACATTACAAGTTGTTACGTATTCATAATATGATGAATTATGAATTGTTTCAATTTAAATTGTTTAATTCACTGGACAATTAATAACAAATAATATCATTTTAGATATACCGGTACAGGGAAAACATACGTTTGTTTCTGTTATAATAACGATCCAAAAGAAACTTTACCAACTGAAAATATAAATTTCAGACAAAGTATAATTTTTTTTTCGATGAAGTCTATCTAAAACACATAACCTAAATACAACAATAGTGTGTGCAGAAAATGTGAATCGTCTGTTACATGTTTGCGAGATAACACGCGAAAAAGTGAAAAACACATGCACCACGGACAACTGCAAATGCACGTGCGGGTAAGGGTATAAAACGATTGCAACGGCAAGTCAGACATCCACAGTGATAAAAAACCACAAAAGAAATGCCACGACTCGAACAACGTGAACGAGCCTTGGGTATGGTACAGATGGGAGCCACCCACGCCCATATTGCACGAACCTTCGGTTGCTCCCGTTTTGCCGTTACCAACTTGATGCAACGTTACAGACAGACAGGGCGGACCGCTGACAGGCCAAGAACAGGCAGACCCAGGGTGACCACGCCCCATGATGACCGGTACTTGCGTACCTTGCACCTACGAAATCGCTTCCTGACAGTGACGTCATCGGCGACAAATGCCTTAGGTCACAGGGTTAGTCGACAGACAGTGATCAGGAGACTCGGGGCTCATGGAATCAGGGCTTTTAGACCATACAGAGGACAGCTATTGACAGCGCAACATCGTCGTCTGCGATTGAGATGGGCCCGTACGACGTTGGCAACGACGTGACTGGCAGAGGGTTGTCTTCACTGACGAAAGTCGATTCTGTATGTTTAGGGCTGATGGAAGACAACGTGTTTACCGCCGAAGGGGTGAAGGAACGGCGGCGTGTTGAGAACTGATCTTGGCCCTCCAAGAATGGCATCAAATCCCACGGGACCTCATCAGAAGACTGACTTTTTCTGAGCGTCGAAGAGTTTTTGCGTGTATTGAGGCATTTGGTGGTCACACACGCTACTAATGACTTGTTATTGAATGTGAGCGATTGTTTATGTACTCTGCCTATTGTCCATGATTCTGAAAGCTTGAGTTTTGTACCACACCCAACTTTGGGGGGCTCTGACGTCATTCTCGGTCGCAGTATGATTGTCATTTTCAGTGTTGATTATGTTGATATATTGATCTTCTCAATACACTTTACTTCATGCATGTATGTTTTGTTGTTTTTGAGCAAGAGTGATTTCAAACTCTGGTAAAGTTTCTTTTGGATGTCAGTTTATAATTATATGTTTTATAATAATGTACCTCATCTGAAGTATATGTTTACAGACACTGTAATAACCTATTTCTACTCTTACTACAGTGTTTATTCTTGCCTGTACATCCCAGCATATTAACAATTAAAAATTCAACAATATACTTGGTTCAGATCTATATCATCATTATTCGTTCTAAAAATGGCAAAATTAAATGTAAGAGTAAATTTTACTAATGCTCTTTCAAGACATATTGAAGACTTACCCTAAAAAACATCAACTGTAGTTAGGTGCTCACACACATCTGGCAATGTGGGGTTCCAACATGGTATATAAACACGGAACAACAAAACAAGGGTTACAGTGTGGAATGTTATTTATATACATATATGAATTACACAAACTTGACAATCAGACAAGCTTTGTCTGGGCATGAAAGTAGGGCAATAGACTGTACTAGTATCCTACTTTACACAGAGAACACAGCTGTTCCAGTAATGATTACTAAACATTATAAGTCTTTTAATGGCATTTCGAGGTGATGCACAATGGAAGAGATCTTCTGAATGTCAACTTCTTTATTATGAGGAACACAACTGTTAGGTAATAGCAATGGCAATGGTAGGTAATAACATTTGTCTATATGTCCATTGCCATTTCCATTCCTTATAGCTGTCAGTGCTAATTACCCCCTGCCTCCCGTCATCACCTATCAGCGCCAATGAACGGGTGGCTCCCTTGTTAAGTTTTCACCTTTGTTATCTTATTACTTATGTTGTTCTTACAGGTACATATATATGTTCTCTGCCTCATAGCATTACTTCACCTGATGAAAGAGTAAGCATATACTCCGAAACATTGTGTTCCACATAATAAAGAAGTTGACATCCATAAATTCTCTTCCTAAAAACATTATAAACTGCAAAATACCTATCTATAGCCACTGCAAGTGACATGCACACATGATTTACACAAAACCCATTTAACATGGAGGGTGTCTTAGTTCCTTTTAATGAGTATTAGTAGGGCGAATCCCTCAGTCAGGTTACATCAGTTGAATAACAAAGACATCTATCACACTATGTCGTCCATATGGCTGAAGTAGTGACACCGCCTGTTCAATGAAATGTAAGGGTCATTGGTCATGGACACAATACTTGGACATGGTGTCACAGATTGCAGCTACAGTAGACAGCCAGGAGGAAACACGCCCTCATCCATACACTTCTGTGATCACTCAGTAAAGCAGAACTATCTTTCACTATTTCATGAAATGTTAATTACTGGTATATTTGGCCATGAGCTCCATTGTTCTTTGTGACAAGGTACACTGTTTTGAGACTAGTACTGCTGACTCACTATGGCACCTTATGGGAGCAAAGGCTGGGATATTTATATCAAATATTGTTTTTGCTATACATTTTTATGCCAGTTAATCTCACTGGAATTTTAACAGTAGGTAGTACCTTTCCTTCAAAGAAAGCAAAATTAGTTTGGAAATAATGTTTGGAAAACTGAATTAAAACAAACAAAATGTTTGGGAAATTACACGATGCTAACTGATGTGTGCCCAAACAGTAAACTTGTCCTGCAGTTGCGTTGCCTGCTGCGGAGGTTGAGCTACAGATGGGCTGTACCTTATTCCCAATGTTGGGAGTGTTTGGAGCTAATTTGGAAGTACTTGCTGCAACCCCACTGTATGGAGTACATGATGAGAGGAGCACAATGTATACAAGCCATACCACAACCATGACATTCTAAGCATTTATTAAAGGTGGTATGTACATGCTCCACGGTAGCTCGTGGAAAGGCAGACACTAACTTGTGATGGGTACATTGGATGAAACAATAGCCACACATTACATAATATTCACTGGTACGACAGACAATCGTCCAAAATGAGACATCTGTTTTCTCAAAAATCAACATGCACATTCACCTTCAACAAGATCAATTACTTATTGAAGTTTTTCATTTTCACCTACTGGGATATTATTCAGTCCCCAATATCACAGATTTGGTACCAATAGAAGCATGGTGCAACACCTCAATGGTTCACAGTAGAGAGATGACAAACAGGAACACAAATACATACTAAAACAGATGTACACTGCTGCATATTTATTTGCTTCTACCTACAGAGCACCCAAGAAACTGCATTCAAAGGCATTACGACCTGTGTTTGAACTGCCTGCTTTGATTACACACAGAAGCGGGAGGTGCCACTCTCAACATGAACATATGCTGATGTCACTTCATCATAATTATCTTCCAAACTCCAATGTTGAGCACTATGAAAACGTAGTGAGGTGGCACTGAAGCTCACTTGGATGTGTAATCAACAGTCTGAAATGTCAATAAAGACAGCCACTTAAGGATAGTGGCTGTCAGGATTGATACTTAAATATTTTCTACATAAATATTGAGGACTGATTTGAAAATATAATATCATAAGTAGGGGTGCAACGATACAGGAAGGTAAAGATACGTATCTCAATATTCAGGTCATGATACGATACGTATCTAGATACGCAACAAAACAGATAACAGTACTCATGTACTCAAGCATTTATTAAGTTTCAAGACTTCAAGCATGTTAAGATTGGACCTTTCGTGATTTTGGAAGTCAAAATTATTTGACAATATCAAGACTATTGAAGTTGTGAAGCTTCAAAGTGGGACTTTCTCAAACTTTCCTTCAAAACACTTCAAATTTCAAAACACCAGAAAATAATCAATGTACTTCACAGTCTGAATAGTTCATCTTCAAGTTCTTTTTCAGAAAAATTAAAATGTCAACAATGTAAAGTGACAGTGATGCCCTCTGAGTACTGACAGTGTCTCAGGCTGTTGAGTCTTAACTGAGGTTGATGACCAACACAAAAGTACATGCTCTGCCTACCTAACATAATCTACCATGTACACAGTTTTAAAAAAGATTAGAATTGTAGTTGTTTATGATTCATAGTGTAAAAAAATATTTATCAAGTGTAATGTGCTTTCAAAACACACATTGTCTCCCTTCCGTGAATTCAGGTGAACGAACATGTATAACAAACTTGGTCAATAAAAACATGAAATTTGACATTTTCCAATTGCCACAAACATGACTTAACGAATAAAAGTATGGCATTTATAATGTATGTATCCATTCTTTGGCAACTAAAGTTGGTTTCAAGGGGTCAAGATGGGGTAATATGAGTGTGGTTGCTGTAAATAACAGTGAGTTGTGGGATCTACCTATCACTTCATGCACAATTTCGCCGAGTTCGCGCTTTATTGAAAGGTGGAATAGCTAGGAACACTGCTCTTAAGATTTGCATTCAGTACCGTGGCGTATCAATAAATAGGCCCACGTGTATCGTATTGTGGGTCAAGTATTGTGATGCATTGGAATATCGATGTATCGTTTCACCCTTAGTCATCATAAGCTAGACCAGAGTTCACCTTCCTCTTGCTGTCAATCTGAGAACAGAAGTTCACAGAGTCAATATTGCTTTCAGGGAATGTAAGAGCATAGTCCAAACAACATGTGTCAAAAAAGACAGAACATTTGTTGAGACCCACTACAAATCACACTTTGAAACAAATGACTGAGTAATGGCCATACATTGCTTTTTTTCAAAATGATTGCCATGGTGACAATGTTGAAAATCAGAACTCCAACCTCTTGGACAATGTCATCATTGGTGGAAACAAACATGGCAACTTTCAGCTTCACTGGATCAGTGGTCTCTGAGGAGGTGATATTTACAATGTCAGAAAATTGCCCTTTGAGATAATTTAGGAGCATGGTCAAAAGTCTAAACATGAGAAAAAGGTAAAAATCAAAATACTGTGAAAAACGGAACATATGTGTTGAACCTCACTACTAACTACATATAAAACAAAATATAATACATTTCAAACACAAATAGCTGAGTAATTGCCATAGCTACCACAACACATATGATCCCATATACAATATTTAACATAACATGAGGGCTCGTCAAAAAGTTCTAAGCCTAACAAACGAAATTGTGAAAGGGTTTTAAAGGTGTTTTTTTCAAATAATCTCCCTGCTTTTCAATACACTTCTCACATCGATAGTGAAGCTTTTCAATTCCAGTTAGGAAGAAGTTTTCTGTCGCCACCCTGAAAAACCCATTCACGGCAGCTTTAAGGTCATCGTTGTCATCATAGCGCTTTCCATGAAGTTGCTCTTTCAGTTAAGGAAACAGATGGACATCACTTGGTGCCAGGTCTGGCGAGTATGGTGGATGAGGAAGCGCTTTGAACCAGCATTGTTGCACAGCATCCTTTGCAAGTTGGGAGGTGTGAAGAGGCATTTTCATGAAGTAGTAGAACTCCAGCACTCAGCTTTCCCTTGCCGCTTTACTTTAATAGAATCTCTCAGGCACTAAAACAAATCAGCATAGTAGGCACTGGTAAACGTCTTTTGACATTCTAAGTAATCAACAAGGATCACACCCTTTGCATTCCAGAATAAAGTGGCTGCAACTTCCTTTATGGATCTTGAAGACTTCTGAAGAATTTCTTTTTGTGCCAGAGAAGTGGAATGGAGCCATTCCATGGAATGTTGATTTGACTCGGCATCTTAATCCCATAAACTTGTGACATGCGGTCAAGAATTTCTTGGAGAGTATTTACTTGATAAACTGCTTGGTACTCGTTCTTTTCCATTTCTTTGACCATTTGGACCCCTATCCCCTTGAACTGGCTGTCACTAATATACAAACGGCCTCAATAGACTAAACACAATTGCAATGAACTACTAAAACAATGTACTACATTGACTAACAAGTTAGTCAGACTCAGAACTTTTTGACCAGCCCTTGCATACAAAGATTCTACATATGGTAGCTCTGTGATATCAGCGCTACACCATTTAACCTCATGTCTGTTTTCTCTTGTAACAGAGAGCGTATAAATAGAAACACAACCTGAAGATTCTTTTACACACAAAAATTTTTCATCAACTTCTGATATGAATGCTGGAAATGTGACAGTGCCCTGTATATTTAAGGGTTCATGAAGACTACATAAATAAAAATATGCCTGTATTCATGTTAAAGTGTCCTCATGGGTTTTATGCTCCACAACGGGCACATATAATAGATATACATGTATTCAGTAGGAGAAAACTAGAAACTTGAAGCTTCACTTCTGTCCCTGGTTCAAATGGTCCATAGAACCTACAGATACCCGTGATCAATTTTGCTATAAGCAAACATATGTCCTCTTGGGATTTGGTGGGAAAATGACATGGCCAGGTTCAGTACACATGTACAACACAGAATGGAGTACACACTCTCTCCCAAACATAGCCAAGTTCCTATTTATGAAGCCATTACTCAAATGTTTTGATTGCTGATGAAATATTGCTGTCTGAGCAAGGGGATTGCTCTAGATGTGTTGTGGAGCTCCGCCTGCTTCAGTGTGTGGCCTGAATGTAGTACATTAAAGTGGCTTCTCTTCATAGCTTAGTTTAGGGATCCACTACACAAAATTGTGGAAAATAAAATGTGCATTAGAATCAAAATTGTAACTGTTGACACTGCTTTTTTGTGTTTTTCAGACTAATTTCAGTAATGAAAAATATTTTATAGTAGGTAAATGTAGGAATCAAAGACTTGTTTTTCATATCTAAACAGCTTTTGTTTTAAGAGAAATTTTGTCTACAGACCTTACAGACCCAAACAGTGACTAACAAAAACAGCAAGAGGCCTAAGGCTGAATTTAACAGGTGACATTTTGCATAAGTTGTACCACCACAACAAAACTGTTCTTCTACTAATGAGGCTGAATGAAGATTTTAGTCATCAAAAAGTATCTTTTCTGTGATAAAGAACAAACACAGAAGTCTCTATTATTGGCAAAACAGTCCAACATATGATATGGTAGACATCACTAGCTAGGCGTTTACAGGAGATTACATCCTGAGACCCCTATATAGTCATCTTGTAGCCGAAGCCCCCAGTGGGCCGGTGTCTCTTGCAGCACATGACTATGATGACCACGAGCAGGATGAGGACCACACCTGAAGCCACGGAGATGGCGATAATGGTAGCTGCAACAGATTGTAAAACACTGTGCAGAATCATTCTGATGTCACATAAATATAAATCGTACCCAAACCAATTTAAACAGCACATGCATAATTATGTGTCACAATTGATAGAATGATATATATGATATGCAAACTCAAAAGCATAGTGTCACTGATAGTTATTTATGGTTAGATGTAAACATAGTTTATGTAGTCACAATACCACAAGAACATTTAAAAGTGAGAATTGTTTATTTCAAATTTTATTGAACGATTCATATTTTGTACGTCATATGTTAAATGTTTGGCATCATTTGTGTGCAGTGTTTCATAGAAAAGCTTGAAAATAATGAAAATTGAAAATCTCACACAATGCATTTCCCCCTTCCTCTTTCAATCCTATATGGTAAAATGCTTGAACAAACTTTCCAGCTTCTAAAAACAAAGCACCCAAACACATCCCAGCATCACCATGGTCACCATCCAAACAAATGGGTCTCTCACTGTTATCCCCTGCACACGACCCATACGACTGATCACTTGACTACCCCTGCCACATCATTCTCTTTCACAGAGCTAACAGGCTATAGGGGTTGAGGAGAGGGCATATAGCTTGTGAGATAGGATAAGTATATAGATATACAATTTGATGGAAAATTTACAAATTTTTAAACTTATCCTATCTCACACTATATATATTTATCCCACAGTTGGATGGTGGGGCGCAGATACCCTAGCCTGTTGTAGACTATAACCTTAACACATACACAAGGAAGCTGGTGCTAAACAGTGAGAAAAATAAATAATCTATAACACTGCCTGCAGCAGTTCAAGGAGGTCATGCTGGGCACGATCAAACTATGGATGTCGTCGCTCTCTCTTCTGCTGCTCCCTATAGGCGCTGTCTCTGACACCCGGAGATGGGTGTCACCTGTAACGTCCTGCATGATCTCCTGAATCTGGATTGCAGAGTGAGACCGAGTCGATCAAGGAAGCTGGTACAGGTATGCCTTAAAGGGATCCTCCCACTGACATTTTTGCTGTGACCGATCCAGCAGGAAGTGAGAGGACATCCAAGGTGGTCGTGATCTTATCCTGAGTCATCACAACAGATAACAGATCCTCTAATAAACACCTCTTCAGGAGACTTAGCATTTGACATTGAAGTAGTAGAGAGCTTCCGCCGAACAATGGTATCCAGATGAGCCAGATCACAGTCATGCACAGTAGAGGGACACAGTTTTGCCAATCAACCATCAATGTAGGGAGCGCTGGTAATCTTAGACAATCTATGTGTGCTGGAATCTTCCACATGAAAGTGAAGAGTCTGTAGCCAATCATGTAATTGTAGGATTTGTTTGGGTGGAGCAACATCCGGAGGAACAGGAATGGCTGAGAAACAATTTGTGCGGAAGTCAAACTGTCAAGAAGAGGTACCACTACAGTCAAGAGCAAATCTGGAAGGCAGAGTTCATATTCACAGATGACAACTAGGAGAGTGGTGATCTACACGAGCATCCATCGGAGATGAAAGTCTACTGGTAGGAGTTGGACGTCGACGGTGGTCATGGTGATGGTGATCAAAAGGCTTATCCCAATGAGGAGAGTGGTAGTAATCAGCAAGGGAGCAAAGTCAGGACAAGATGAAGCATAACATCAGGGTAACTACGCCAGTTAGGATACGTGTCCATGTGCGGGGGTAGCTCTCTCTGTGGTTGCTCTCCGCTGTACCGAGAATGGTCCAAAGCAAGAAAGTCCTGTCGATGAGGATCATAATCATAGGAGCAAGAACGATCCTGTTGACGACATTGATCTCTGTAACTTGATGACAGGGATCGACACCGAGTTGACGAATGCTCAGTTGAGTCTGTTAATAGTCTTCCCCTTTAATCACGCTGAACAGTAGAGTCCTTGCGAGAGCATCGATCCCCAGAGTGTTGATCCCCCAATCGTTGATCCTGAGAGGGTTGATCCTTCAACCGTCAATCACGAGAGTGTCGAGGCCGATTGCTATTCTTGAAATGTTGATCCTTGGTAGAAGCGCAAGATTGACCATTGCTTCGTCGATCCCGTTCGACCAATCCCAGGTGAAGCCTTATTCATCACTGTCGATGGAGAAGCGCAGTATCTTTGGATGAAGAGGAGACATCACCACCAACTCGAACATCATGCAAAGCAGTAAGAGACAAAAGACTGGTAGCTGACGATCAAGGAGTGCTAAGAGGCTTTGATGAATTGACAGAAGAGAGAACCTTGAAAACGTCCGATGTAGCTGGATGTCCGACAGAGGCGCGGACCCGGACGCATCACGAATGGACAGTTGAATCGGCATACAAGGGATGTTGTCGGTAAGGAAACAACCACCGAGAGAACAGGCAAGGTGGACTCCGGAGGTGGTTTGGCCGTTGTAACGGAGGAAGCAAGAGCCAGCCTGGTCGACTACTTAGTTATCTTAGCAGAAAACAGACCATGTTCCAAGTCTCTAGAATTCGAGCGCTGGGCAATTTCCTGTCTGTGGCACTTGCATAGATAGGACTCCTCTGGAAGATGGGCACACAGGAAACAATGCTTGTCGGTACGGCAACAGCCATGACAATCACAATATTGGTTGTCAGGGTCCGAAGTGGAAAAGGTAGTTCTACACTCAAGACTGGCTGTGCGATGTTTCTTTTCTGTACTCATCTTCCCTCAGACATTAACATACAGTCCATATGATGTTGGAGGAAATCCAGCAAAAAAAACTTAAATGTATTCTCTGAACTCTCACTGCACATCTCCACAGTGGGGCAGTGAGAAAGAGCATGATGTTGCAGGGGTAGTCACCTGACCAGGTCAGGTGGGGAACGATGCACAGGATTACAGTGAGAGACCCATTTGTTTGGATGATGACCATGGTAATGCTGGGATGTTTTGGGTGATTTGCTTTTAGAAGCTGGCAAGTTTGTTCAAGCATGTTTAAACATTGGATCAAAAGAAGGAGGAAGAAATGCAAAGGGTGAGATAGGGTTTAAAAATTTAGAGTACTGGTTAATAAAAAAGGGCAAATTCCACAATTTTTCTGCACTTATGCACTAAGTTACATTTCTGGAAATCTTTCTGTGAATGAAGAATCACAGAATTTGTCTAGAACTGATATATTACCCAGCCAACTAGACTGATAACCAAGATACATTGTCACTATCAGATAAAGCATCTGTCACCAGAATGAAGATGTCACACCATTCTACAAGGAGATCCTCACTAGGCAGGCATGTCACACCATTCAACAGGAAGCTACACACTAGACAGACATGTCACACCATTTAACAGGAAGCTACACACTAGACAGGCATGTCACACTATTCAATAAGAAGCAACTCCCTAGACAGACATGTCACACCATTCAACAGGAAGCTACACACTAGACAGACATGTCACACCATTTAACAGGAAGCTACACACTAGACAGGCACGTCACACTATTCAATAAGAAGCAACTCCCCAGACAGACATGTCACACCATTCAACAGGAAGCTACACACTAGACAGTCATGTCACATCCTTCAACATGAAGCTACCCACTAGACAGACATGTCACACCATTCAACAAGAAGCAACTCACTAGACAGACATGTCACACCATTCAACATGAAGCTACACACTAGACAGCAATGTAACACCATTCAACAAGAAGCAACTCACTAGACAGACATGTCACACCATTCACCAGGAAGCTACACACTAAACAGGCATGTCACACCATTCAACAGGAAGCTACACACTAGACAGACATGTCACACCATTTAACAGGAAGCTACACACTAGACAGGCATGTCACACTATTCAACAAGAAGCAACTCCCTAGACAGACATGTCACACCATTCAACAGGAAGCTACACACTAGACAGTCATGTCACATCCTTCAACATGAAGCTACCCACTAGACAGACATGTCACACCATTCAACAAGAAGCAACTCACTAGGCAGACATGTCACACCATTCAACATGAAGCTACACACTAGACAGCAATGTAACACCATTCAACAAGAAGCAACTCACTAGACAGACATGTCACACCATTCACCAGGAAGCTACACACTAAACAGGCATGTCACACCATTCAACAGGAAGCTACACACTAGACAGACATGCCACACCGTTCAACAGGAAGCTACACACTAGACAGAAATGTAACACCATTCAACAAGAAGCAACTCGCTAGACAGACATGTCACACCATTCAACAGGAAGCTACACACTAAACAGACATGTCACACCATTCAACAGGAAGCTGCACACTAGACAGACATGCCACACCATTCAACAGGAAGCTACACACTATACAGACATGTCACACCATTCAACAGGAAGCTACACACTAGACAGACATGTCACACCATTCAACAGGAAGCTGCACACTAGACAGACATGCCACACCATTCATCAGGAAGCTACACACTAGACAGCCATGTCACACCATTGAACAGGAAGCTACACACTAGACAGGCATGTCACACCATTCACCAGGAAGCTACACACTATACAGACATGCCACACCATTCAACCGGAAGCTACACACTAGACAGACATGTCACACCATTTAACAGGAAGCTACACACTAAACAGACATGCCACACCATTGAACAGGAAGCTACACACTAGACAGACATGTCACACCATTTAACAGGAAGCTACACACTAGACAGACATGCCACACCATTCAACAGGAAGCAACTCACGAGACAGAAATGTAACACCATTCAACAAGAAGCAACTCGCTAGACAGACATGTCACACCATTCAACAGGAAGCTACACACTATACAGACATGCCACACCATTCAACAGGAAGCAACTCACTAGACAGAAATGTAACACCATTCAACAAGAAGCAACTCGCTAGACAGACATGTCACACCATTCAACAGGAAGCTACACACTATACAGACATGCCACACCGTTCAACCGGAAGCTACACACTAGACAGAAATGTAACACCATTCAACAAGAAGCAACTCGCCAGACAGACATGTCACACCATCCAACAGGAAGCTACACACTAAACAGACATGTCACACCATTCACCAGGAAGCTACACACTAGACAGACATGTCACACCATTCAACAGGAAGCTACACACTAGACAGGCATGTCACACCATTCAACAGGAAGCTACACACTAGACAGGCATGTCACACCATTCAACAGGAAGCTACTCACTAGAAAGACATGTCACGACATTCAACAAGAAGCAACACACTAGACAGACATGTCACACCATTCAACAAGAAGCTACACACTAGACAGGCATGTCACACCATTCAACAGGAAGCTGTCTTACCAAGGTTAAACTTGAGATCAGACAATCCTCCAATGTGACACTCTGTCTTCCAGTCAGTAGGAACCATGTCACTGGTCAGTGATACAAACTGGTTGAATGGGCACGTGAATTCACAACCTACAAGAGAGAACAAAACAACAGTTCATATATGGCCTCAATAACCAAATATGGAATTGCGTTCCAATACAATCAATACACTGTTGTGCAGCAACTAGCCAGGCATAATGACACTGGGAACAGAAGCCCCAAAATGCTATCTTTGCAACATCATCTCAGATGGCAAAAGCTGTATGCCGATAATGATGGCTTTAACTTGTTCATGAGTAGATCTGTCAAACATTGCGTTTATGAGTAGATCTGTCAAAAGGGCGGTTCATGAATAGATCTGTCAAACATTGTGGTTCATGAATAGATCTGTCAAACATGGTTTATGAGTAGATCTGTCAAACATTGTGGTTCATGAGGAGATTTGTCAAACATTATGGTTCATGAGTAGATCTGTCAAACATTGCAGTTCATGAATAGATATGTCCAAATTTGTGGCTTATGAGTAGATCTGTCAAACATTGCGGTTCATGAGTAGATCTGTCAAACATTGTGGCTCATGAGTAGATCTGTCAAAAATTGCGGTTCATGAATAGATATGTCAAAATGTGTGGCTTATGAGTAGATTTGTCAAACATTGTGGTTCATGAGTAGATCTGTCAAACATGGTTTCATGAGTAGACCTGTCAAACATTGCGGTTCATAAACAGATCTGTTAAACATTGTGGTTCATGAATAGATATGTCAAACATTGTGGCTTATGAGCAGATCTGTCAAACATTGCGGTTCATGAATAGATATGTCAAAATTTGTGGCTTATGAGTAGATCTGTCAAACATTGCAGTTCATGATTAGATGTGTCAAACTTGTGTGTGTGTGTGTGTTGTTGGGTTTGTGGGTGTGTCCTAACCTTGTACTGTGAGTGTGTGTTGTTGGGTCTGTGGGTGTGTCCTAACCTTGTACTGTGAGTGTGTGTTGTTGGGTCTGTGGGTGTGTCCTAACCTTGTACTGTGAGTGTGTGTTGTTGGGTCTGTGGGTGTTTCCTAACCTTGTACTGTGAGTGTGTGTTGTTGGGTCTGTGGGTGTGTCCTAACCTTGTACTGTGAGTGTGTGTTGTTGGGTCTGTGGGTGTGTCCTAACCTTGTACTGTGAGTGTGTGTTGTTGGGTCTGTGGGTGTGTCCTAACCTTGTACTGTGAGTGTGTGTTGTTGGGTCTGTGGGTGTGTCGGAACCTTGTACTGTGAGTGTGTGTTGTTGGGTCTGTGGGTGTGTCCTAACCTTGTACTGTGAGTGTGCACCGTTGTAGGGACTGTGGAAGTGTCTGAACCTTGTACTATTAGTGTGCGCTGTTGTAGGGACTGTGGAAGTGTCTGAACCTTGTACTATTAGTGTGCACTGTTGTAGGGGTTACCTGGTATTGTAAGCTTGTGAGGTGGTGTGTCATCCTTGGGATCAGTGGAGGTGGTGTTCCTGAAATACAGCTCTACATGGAAGTCCCCTGAGGTGTTCTGATGCAGCTCCATGAACACAGTGGCTGTGTAGGGCGGACTCATTTTGTTGTACACACTGAGAGCACTCAGAACAGCTGCCACAGTCGTGTCGTGCTGCAACAACATACTGTATCACTAGTCACAACCTCAACAACGTATCTCTAGACACAACCTCAACAACGTATCTCTAGACACAACCTCAACAACGTATCTCTAGACGCAACCTCAACAACGTATCTCTAGACGCAACCTCAACAACGTATCTCTAGACGCAACCTCAACAACGTATCTCTAGACGCAACCTCAACAACGTATCTCTAGACACAACCTCAACAACGTATCTCTAGACACAACCTCAACAACGTATCTCTAGACACAACCTCAACAACGTATCTCTAGACACAACCTCAACAACGTATCTCTAGACACAACCTCAACAACGTATCTCTAGACGCAACCTCAACAACGTATCTCTAGACGCAACCTCAACAATGTATCTCTAGACGCAACCTCAACAACGTATCTCTAGTCACAACTTCAACAACATTTTTCTACCGGGTATCACAGAAGCAAACATTTCAATGACCTAAATAAGTAGAAGGAAAACTCTATATATTATTTTTCATATACATACATTATTACAAAGATTTTCATCCACTCCTCAACATGACGACATACAAAGCCAAAGTTAACTCACAGCAGAGAACATGTTCATCTTGACGATGTTGGCAGTCTGGTTCTTGATCTTCTCCTTGGCCAGGCTAATCCAGTCCCTCAGTAGCGGGCCTGCCACAACACAGTAACAGTGTCAGAACATTTGCATTTATGCATGTTTGTTTCCATTAACCTAACATCAATTAGTAATCGTCATTGCCAGACATTGTCCTGTCCTGACACCTGAATTTAACTTCAGGAGATGACAATTATTCCCCCTTCTGGTGCAATTTGGAAGTGATGTTTGGCTACTTATAGCCCACTTTTGGTTCATTGTCACTGGATACCTTCAGCTCAGTGAAGAAGAAAATAATGATCTTCAGTATTTTTCATTGCCCAAATCATCTAAATGCACAAGTTCTCCACGAGACTGATCTGTATAGCATGTTTCGCCAAGAAATATTTCACGGTTTTGGAGTTCTGCTCCAGAAACGAGTACTACCCTCAGTTTCAGTATATCCAGATTGTTGTCATGAAAACATAAAAAAAATATATAAATTCGAAATCATCAAAAGTCAGAAGTTCACCACAAGACTGATCTGTATAGCAAGGTTCAATATTTAGTTCAATATTTAACAGGGCGATGGACGGACGGACATGCTGATCGCTATAACCCCTCATTTTTCAAACTGGGGCGATAAGAAACATTTCTCAAGTGGACATAGCACCTCTTTATGACTGAATATTTTTTGTAATAAAACAGTTTGTGTGACTTTTAGTTCAATAGCCAACACTTCTTCACATTACCTCCTTTCAGACGACTCTCTTCCTTGCCGCGGAACATGAGGTCGAAGCCCCAGGCCTCAAGGTCGCGCAGCTTCTTGTATACTGTTGAGTTGACCCAGGTCGGCCATGTGACATTGTGCTGTTTCTGTAACACAGTAAAGTGGACAAATCAGCCTTAGTTGCTCAACCACATCAACCATTTGGACATACACTGGTGACTTAATGGTTTATGGATGTTTTCCTAAGCAATTTGATCATGTAGCTTGATACACATCACAATAGCACCACAGGTACAGAAGCTCACCTGTTTCAAGGGATATAAAACTTGTGTAGTAAGGACATGCTAAACCACCTAGCTCGTCCTAACAATTTGAATTCAATCTGTCCATGGTGCTAGACATCTTAACACTCACGCCTACAGCCAGTATGGAGAAGAATGTGACTGTTAATGGTTTACCAACACTGGGCCAGAAAACAATGCATTTGTGTGTACTTATAGAATAATCCTGAGGTATGAGTGATAACGGAAAATATGTCACGTGAAATTTTAGTTTTAAGTTCCGAGCTTTAGCGAGGATATAGCCTAGTAGATGACAGGAGTTGTTGATATTTTGACGTGATTCGTTGATGGTCGAAAAGGTGTTGATAGACAAACACAGAATCTGGAGACTTGGTGCCAAGCTGTTCGCATTCATGGAGTTCATTTAGTTCAATATCAGACACAGGATCAACTCGCTGGGGTAAGTTTCCTTTTCCTTGTTTTTTAAATGTGACTTTTGTTTTGTTTGATTTTAAAAACCTCCTGAGTAAAGCAAAGTGCATTGATTTCACGAGCAGATGTTGCAATCATGTCGCTAAGGTAACGCTCTATGCTAGCCTTGATCCCCTTCAAAGTAGACAGTCCGAATTATAAACCATCTGATTAACCGGCCGAAATGAAAAATTTGCAAAGAATAATGTTAAGTTCCACATTTCTTGTGTCATGTAAGCCTTCCTGTACAAATTTGAGAAATAAATTCATGTTAAGTTTAGACTTTTTCATTGTGTTTTCATTTTCACTGGCAGTTTAGATCTTATGAATGTCACCATCTTTCACAAAGGCAAACCTGCTTGTACTAAGCCTATGGATAGTGCATGGTCATATAATCTCTTGTGATCCCAGTCATGTGAAGGCAGTAGAAAAACTCGTGAAGCACTAAACATAACAGAAGCGTTTTGTTTGCTTTAAGTTTTTCTGTGCAACAGTCATCTATTATTGTGGGAGATACTGAAGCGTATATTATACACATACATTGCAGCATGGTGTATCTCCTAATGTAGGAGAAATGAGTGTGTTTATTATGTTTTCACTTACTTACCTCACAAAACAGACTGTCAGCTATCTGCCAGATATCTGCGATTGACTCGTGTGATACACCTGTCACTCTCGTGATGAACTCATAGAACTCCTGAAACAAAAGGTACACCTTCGAAGTGACATATTCAAAGTCAGTATTGATTGATGCTGTACAGACAGTGTTGGGGGATGCTGTACAGACAGTGTTGGGGGGATGCTGTACAGACAGTGTTGGGGGATGCTGTATAGACAGTCTTGGGGGATGCTGTACAGACAGTGTTGGGGGATGCTGTACAGACAGTGTTGGGGGATGCTGTACAGACAGTGTTGAGGGATGCTGTACAGACAGTGTTGGGGGATACTGTACAGACAGTGTTGGGGGATGCTGTATAGACAGTGTTGGGGGGATGCTGTACAGACAGTGTTGGGGGATGCTGTACAGACAGTGTTGGGGGATACTGTACAGACAGTGTTGGGGGATGCTGTACAGACAGTGTTGAGGGATGCTGAACAGACAGTGTTGGGGGATGCTGTACAGACAGTGTTGAGGGATGCTGTACAGACAGTGTTGGGGGATGCTGTACAGACAGTGTTGAGGGATGCTGTATAGACAAGGTTGGGGGATGCTGTACAGACAGTGTTGGGGGATGCTGTACAGACAGTGTTGAGGGATGCTGTATAGACAGTGTTGGGGGATGCTGTACAGACAGTGTTGAGGGATGCTGTACAGACAGTGTTGGGGGATGCTGTACAGACAGTGTTGTACAGACAGTGTTGAGGGATGCTGTACAGACAGTGTTGGGGGATACTGTATAGACAGTGTTTGGGGATGCTGTATAGACAGTGTTGAGGGATGCTGTACAGACAGTGTTGGGGGATGCTGTACAGACAGTGTTGGGGGATCCTGTACAGACAGTGTTGGGGGATGCTGTACAGACAGTGTTGAGGGATGCTGTACAGACAGTGTTGGGGGATGCTGTACAGACAGTGTTGGGGGAAGCTGTACAGACAGTGTTGAGGGATGCTGTACAGACAGTGTTGGGGGATACTGTACAGACAGTGTTGGGGGATACTGTATAGACAGTGTTTGGGGATGCTGTATAGACAGTGTTGAGGGATGCTGTACAGACAGTGTTGGGGGATGCTGTACAGACAGTGTTGAGGGATGCTGTACAGACAGTGTTGGGGGATGCTGTACAGACAGTGTTGGGGGATGCTGTATAGACAGTGTTGGGGGATGCTGTACAGACAGTGTTGGGGGATGCTGTACAGACAGTGTTGGGGGATGCTGTATAGACAGTGTTGGGGGATGCTGTACAGACAGTGTTGGGGGATGCTGTACAGACAGTGTTGGGGGATGCTGTACAGACAGTGTTGAGGGATGCTGTACAGACAGTGTTGGGGGATACTGTACAGACAGTGTTGGGGGATGCTGTATAGACAGTGTTGGGGGGGGATGCTGTACAGACAGTGTTGGGGGATGCTGTACAGACAGTGTTGGGGGATACTGTACAGACAGTGTTGGGGGATGCTGTACAGACAGTGTTGAGGGATGCTGAACAGACAGTGTTGGGGGATGCTGTACAGACAGTGTTGAGGGATGCTGTACAGACAGTGTTGGGGGATGCTGTACAGACAGTGTTGAGGGATGCTGTATAGACAAGGTTGGGGGATGCTGTACAGACAGTGTTGGGGGATGCTGTACAGACAGTGTTGAGGGATGCTGTATAGACAGTGTTGGGGGATGCTGTACAGACAGTGTTGAGGGATGCTGTACAGACAGTGTTGGGGGATGCTGTACAGACAGTGTTGTACAGACAGTGTTGAGGGATGCTGTACAGACAGTGTTGGGGGATACTGTATAGACAGTGTTTGGGGATGCTGTATAGACAGTGTTGAGGGATGCTGTACAGACAGTGTTGGGGGATGCTGTACAGACAGTGTTGGGGGATGCTGTACAGACAGTGTTGGGGGATGCTGTACAGACAGTGTTGAGGGATGCTGTACAGACAGTGTTGGGGGATGCTGTACAGACAGTGTTGGGGGAAGCTGTACAGACAGTGTTGAGGGATGCTGTACAGACAGTGTTGGGGGATGCTGTACAGACAGTGTTGGGGGATACTGTATAGACAGTGTTTGGGGATGCTGTACAGACAGTGTTGAGGGATGCTGTACAGACAGTGTTGGGGGATGCTGTACAGACAGTGTTGAGGGATGCTGTATAGACAAGGTTGGGGGATGCTGTACAGACAGTGTTGGGGGATGCTGTACAGACAGTGTTGGGGGATGCTGTACAGACAGTGTTGGGGGATGCTGTACAGACAGTGCTGTACAGTGTTGAGGGATGCTGTACAGACAGTGTTGGGGGATGCTGTACAGACAGTGTTGGGGGATGCTGTACAGACAGTGTTGGGGGATGCTGTACAGACAGTGTTGAGGGTTGCTGTATAGACAGTGTTGGGGGATGCTGTACAGACAGTGTTTGGGGATGCTGTACAGACAGTGTTCAGGGATGCTGTACAGACGGTGTTGAGGGATGCTGTACAGACAGTGTTCGGGGATGCTGTACAGACAGTGTTGGGGGAAGCTGTTCAGACAGTGTTGGGGGATGCTGTACAGACATTGTTGGGGGATACTGTATAGACAGTGTTTGGGGATGCTGTATAGACAGTGTTGAGAGATGCTGTACAGACAGTGTTGGGGGATGCTGTACAGACAGTGTTGAGGGATGCTGTACAGACAGTGTTGGGGGATGCTGTACAGACAGTGTTGGGGGATGCTGTATAGACAGTGTTGGGGGATGCTGTACAGACAGTGTTGGGGGATGCTGTACAGACAGTGTTGGGGGATACTGTATAGACAGTGTTTGGGGATGCTGTATAGACAGTGTTGAGGGATGCTGTACAGACAGTGTTGGGGGATGCTGTACAGACAGTGTTGAGGGATGCTGTACAGACAGTGTTGGGGGATGCTGTACAAACAGTGTTGGGGGATGCTGTACAGACAATGTTGGGGGATGCTGTACAGACAGTGTTGGGGGATACTGTATAGACAGTGTTTGGGGATGCTGTATAGACAGTGTTGAGGGATGCTGTACAGACAGTGTTGGGGGATGCTGTACAGACAGTGTTGAGGGATGCTGTACAGACAGTGTTGGGGGATGCTGTACAGACAGTGTTGGGGGATGCTGTACAGACAGTGTTGGGGGATGCTGTATAGACAGTGTATGGGGATGCTGTACAGACAGTGTTGGGGGATGCTGTATAGACAGTGTTGAGGGATGCTGTACAGACAGTGTTGGGGGATGCTGTACAGACAGTGTTGGGGGATGCTGTACAGACAGTGTTGTACAGACAGTGTTGAGGGATGCTGTACAGACAGTGTTGGGGGATGCTGTACAGACAGTGTTAGGGGATGCTGTACAGACAGTGTTGAGGGATGCTGTACAGACAGTGTTGGGGGATGCTGTACAGACAGTGTTGAGGGATGCTGTACAGACAGTGTTGGGGGATGCTGTACAGACAGTGTTGAGGGATGCTGTACAGACAGTGTTGAGGGATGCTGTACAGACAGTGTTAAGGGATGCTGTATAGACAGTGTTGGGGGATGCTGTACAGACAGTGTTGATTGATGCTGTACAGACAGTGTTGGGGGATGCTGTACAGACAGTGTTGAGGGATGCTGTATAGACAAGGTTGGGGGATGCTGTACAGACAGTGTTGGGGGATGCTGTACAGACAGTGTTGAGGGTTGCTGTATAGACAGTGTTGGGGGAAGCTGTTCAGACAGTGTTTGGGGATGCTGTACAGACAGTGTTCAGGGATGCTGTACAGACGGTGTTGAGGGATGCTGTACAGACAGTGTTCGGGGATGCTGTACAGACAGTGTTGAGGGATGCTGTACAGACAGTGTTGAGGGATGCTGTATAGACAGTGTTGAGGGATGCTGTACAGAGGGACATACCTTGTTCTCTGCCTCCTCCTTCTTGACGCGGTTGGACTTAAGGCTGGCATTGTACAGCTGGTCATACTGTGGACAGTCCTCCCCCATGTTCAGCTCCTAAACATCAAACGGAGGAACATCTGAGGTAGTGTACTCACAACAGGAGACTGACAAGATAGGACTTTATAGGACCCACAACTCAACATTCATATTTATTGGTCTCATAAACCTAAGAAAAAGGGGTTACAAGGAAGTACAAACAAAAGGCCTGAAGAGTCTTTAGACAAATCTGTGCACCATGATCCAGGGTAAGAAATTTATTTTTATTTTTACTAGTTGTCTGAAATAAACTACGACACAGTTCTATCTCTGTTACAGTAAAAGTGACAGTCCATGTGTCCTTCCTGAATTTCTCTTGTCTCAGACTAGCGGATTTACAGAGATTTCAAACCCTGATGTTCTGGAGCACATTTCTTTGCAAATCAATGTATAGAGGCTTAAAGAGATTTTGGCAAATATGTATATAATATACTCATATATGCAGGTCTTTGTAAATTATTTAAGGCTCATTGGGTTAGTTATACTGATATTCAGTAAGCACTGTTTATGATTCATGAACAATAAGAAACTCCTCCAGAGCAGTCTATTGGTGAGCAGAACTCAACTGAAAGGTACATACACGGTCCTCCTCTGCTGGCCTGGTGTGGACGGGGATGGGCTGCCAGGAGATGTTGCTGTTCCACATTTGGTCCTCACTTGGAGGGTACAGACCGGCCAGGTTGGAGTAGGCAGACATCAGACACCTGTCCACGTCTGAGCTGTTCACTCTTATCTGATAACACAAGCAGACAAGTTTGTCACCACACAGCACAGCACACATCCAGTGCACCAGCATCTGGGAGCTTACAGAGGGACTGTTTCCCACAAACAATATATAATGGAAGATGCTGGAGGAAGGAGAGATTGTAAGTGATGATAGGGCTTGTTACTGTCGTCAGTGAGTGAGTTCATCTGGAACAGCAAGGGATGATACTCTATTTGTTTTTATTTTGGGCTAGGTACCAGATTCTTTGTTGTTACCTTTAGGTAACTAACTACACAATGAGCTGTAGAGTGCAATAATGTGATGCAACACTGTGATATTTGTCCCTTGGCCATGCCAGGATCTACTTGGGTTTGAATCCCAGATTCTCCCTGATTACTGTATATTACAGGTTTTACATGGCATAGGCCGAGGTTTCAAGAGTCAAATTAAGAGGATAAAGGAGGAAGCCATGCTTGGGGGGTGATGATTACTGATTGTTGCCACTTCATCCTGGCGGCCTTCACAGGAGAAGTAAGTTCTACTACCTGTGACAGTTGGTGCTTCATCCTGGCGGCCGTCACAGGAGAAGTAAGCTCTACTACCTGTGACAGTTGGTGCTTCATCCTGGCGGCCTTCACAGGAGAAGTAAGTTCTACTACCTGTGACAGTTGGTGCTTCATCCTGGCGGCCTTCACAGGAGAAGTAAGTTCTACTACCTGTGACAGTTGGTGCTTCATCCTGGCGGCCTTCACAGGAGAAGTAAGTTCTACTACCTGTGACAGTTGGTGCTTTCTGTCAGGCCACCATCATATATCTGAAAACACAAAATGGCGTTAACCCAACTCCCTCACTCAAGAATTCCCTACCTCAGTGTGTATGTACTTGTCACTGAGGAATCCAGTGTACCGACGGCGGAGGAAGCGGCCCAATGAGTACTGCTCCTGCATCCCCAACTGGAAATAGTGTAACAACGAAGATTTATTACATTCCTACTACACTGCTCATTATACAACTAGAAGAGTGTTTAAATTACATAAAAACATAGTGCCACCCGGATATATAGACAACAGTCACAAATGTCAACACAGACAGCCACTGACAAAAAGCCACTGATTCAAAGAGTTTCTGACATGTACTGAGGTTAAGCTACTCATACTAAAATCCCAAAGATTTGATAAAAATATAATGCCTCCCTGAAAAGAAAGTTCAACTTTCACAGTCTGGCATTTTCAAAGAAGAAAAAGCTTACAGATATAAGTTTGCATTATGAAAATTAAAGAGCATGGTCAAAACACAAACGTCAAAATTTAAAATATTGCGAAAAATTGAATATGTGTTGAGTCCCACTACAACATACCAAACTTAATTACACCTTGAGCACAAACATTAGAGGAATGGCCATGAGTAAGATTTTCAAAATGGCTGCCAGGTGACCATATTGAAAAGCAAAACTGCTTGAACAAGTATGTGAAGTTTCAGCTTCTTTGGTCCAGTGGTGTTCATGCTAAGTAGATTTTAGTATTAACATATAGACTCCATTTTCTTAGCTGAGTGTACAAGGCAAAAAAATCTTCACAGTATTTTTACAAGACTGGGGCTTCTGACAAGTGCCTGAAGTCACACTGACATACTGTACTTAGTCTTTTTCCTGCCTACTTTTTGATGAGTTTTCATGACAGTAAGTTTCCAGATGGGATAAAATCTAAAAACGTAGTAGGTTGGTTGGTCAGAACCACAGACTTTGGCGTTATCTGCTACACTTCCCATTACAGGGATTACAGACAAGCTGTGCATTGTCCAGCTTACAGTAGACAGCCAGCCCAGTCCTTGAGGCCAGGTCTCGTTGACATGGTTTGGGTTCTTGGGATAGGTCATTGTGGGGCTTCGGTCACCATGGCGATACACCTAAACAGAGAAGAACAGACACAGGGTGTAATGTTAACATCATTGTACTGAATCTCTACTCCTAAACATCATATGCTACCTAGGAGAGAGAGATATTAGGGCCTCGGAAAAATCTCTAAATAAACTTTGTACTTGTGTAATGAATTCTGCATGATTGCCTCTTACACAAAGCATTATCTGTAAGTATATTAGTTTGACACTGATTGTGACAGATGAGGCTCATAAATAATAACAAACGACAAAGAAATGAGGGAAATATCTCTATTTTGCACAACTACTATATATAACTATAAATAACTACTATATTCTAATCTTATAGCAAGTTATATCTTGAAATATTCAACGGTTTTGAGTACTGCTCCAGAAACGAGCACTACCATCATTTTCAGTGAAGTACAACTTGTCATGAAAACAAAAAAAAAATCATTTATACTTATTCTGACTCATACTAATTGCTTATCACATCTCATTCCAAAAGGATAGTGGAAACTTCTGTGCTGTGTGCCCAAGAACAGAGAAAAACATCTCACCCGAATGCACCCCTAAGCCGCACAGGCACGCAAAAAAGTATGTGACCAAACCTGTATACTTGTCACTCTCTCATTTTCACTTACCCATATGGCCGAAACACATATACTGGAAGTGGGGATGGCTTAGTGGGCGCTATAGTGTATGAGTCAGGAAAAGTATAAATGATATTCTGACCCTAAAAATATACATATTTTACCTTATCCTGACTCATACTAATTGCTTGAATCCAACAGTGGTGGGATCCACAGTATGTGTGAAGCAGATCGGGATCTGTTCAGTTAAGCCCATGGAAATGTCTTATTACTTCTTACATATCAATCTGTAGTGGGGCACCACCTCCGTACTTGTGAGAGTAGGAGAAAATAAAGAGATTTCGTGGATTTTGTAAGTGTGCATAGAATTATATTCCAGCTTACTTTGAATAATTCTCGTGTGAAGAGAAGGTCATAATCTTGACACAATTGTTGTCACTCATGTTCTGAGTTACTTTGTAAAACAGGGGAGCAAGGACACTCAGTCAGTGGTTATGAATCAGTAACCAGAAGTTCTACCTTGATTTTGGTTATCTTCGATAAGGTACTTTCAGTTGTTGAGCAGCCACTAAGGGTCCAAACCAGGGGTCCGGAAACCGTCACATGCACCGGACATGTCCGATTGGGAATCTCATTACAACTTGTAATGTGTGTGAAAAATACGCTATTTGAAGGGGGCGTGGCCTAAATGCAAATGTCTGATTGGGATTTTAAATTTTCCGGAACCCTGGTCCAAACTGGTGAATCCCAGCAATATCTTCTGTGGCGAAGACTCAAAGGTAGTGGTTAGCAAAGACTGTCCGATTTCCAGAAACATACTTCAATTATCGTTGGAATAGAGCAGTTGCCATGGAGAGCTGACATGGAAGCAAGTACTCTGACCTCATGCAGATTGGAAGCCGAGGGAGGGTCTAGACCAGCATCTCTGTAGGCTCAGTGTAGGACTGCTCTCATCCCGAAGGAGATAGTGGTTTTAGAAACTTCTGCTGTAGTATTTCAAGTCAATGAGATGAAAAGTTGTCTTAACTTTTGACGTCTGAAATTCAATCTTCGTAAATAATTACGAACAAAAAACTTTATCACATGAGGAAGGATTCTTTACACTGTTAATGGAAGTCCAAACTCATCAAACATACTTTATATGCACAGATGTTAATAATACTGGACACATAACTATTAGCAACAGAGTCCTAAACTACATGAATTTCATTATTCATAATATTAGTATATTTATCCTGACACAACACCTCTCAAATTCCCTTCTGGACCTCAATCCTATAACACAGAACCCAAAATGTGCCTAATCCTCCTCTGGGGCGTCCCCAGCACTTGGTTACCCACAGAAGTTGTCTGTCCCTGATCTCGTCACTGTCTTTTCATCAGACACACTGAACAGTGCTTGAGCTTGTGGCATGGGAGACCACCCGGATCACGGCTGGATAAGGCTTAGCTCAGCGGAGCACCCTCTTCACTAATCCCATTTCGCCTGTGACATCCGATACGTGACACCCGGAGGATCAGAGCTAAAGGATGTAGCATATAACAACCCAAGCCTAACAAACCCTCAGAATACTTATTGAGCCACATGTGACAAAAGGGAAATATCCGGCAATGCAGTGTACAGTGATGATTTGTCAACAATACACAGCATCATCATTCGTGAGTTGAACAAAAATGTCACACAATATTTATTTATGAATGGTTTGCTGGAAATATACAGCGCCAAAATCAATGACGCAAATGTGGGACAGTTACCTACTGCCTGAACTGATGAACCCATTCTATGTCTTCAACAGAGAGGTCCCTCAGATAGTCGGCGAATGTAGTGTCAGTGTGCCAAAACACCTCTTGATGACATCCGTCACTGCCCAGTTAGAACTCTGATTTCATGGGGACGGTGCACCGGAGGTGGATCCAACCCTGCATGCTGATATTACAGCAGAATGGTTGCACAAAGAAAAGCACCATGGTATTCTTCCTCATCTCTGCTCTACTGCCGACAGAGATATAATCGCTTCCTCTGCTTCCGCTCGCACTGACATAACGATAGATCCTTAGTGTCCTCCTTCCCCAGGACGGACGATAAGGGCTATAGCATTAACTGCCGATTATCCTCCCCCAACTCCTGGTTTTTAGCCACAAAATCCAACATGAGACCCATGTGAACCTTAGCATCTGCAACCCTGTCAAACTGTATCTGCATGATGGCCAAAGCATGTATTTCTCCAATATGAGATGTATTTTGAGTAAACAACTGTAATTCAGCCTGCTCCATCGGTTGCTAGGGTAGTGAAACCAGATGTTGTAGTACCACCCCTAGATCCCAAGACAGAGGTCTGAAGCCCTTTATCAAAGCTGTAATCTCCGGTGCTGTACTAATCTTGACAGACCAGGAAGCTGACAAGACGGTACTGATGGTTGCCAAATATGTACCGAAAATGGTGCCAATGCTAAACATCAAGTGAAGCATGTTACATATACGACCCTGTATCAAATCCACAAACTTGTGTCTGCTTGGACATTGTTTTAGTGACCGCTCAACTGCAGGTCAACATCCAAATAAGAACAGATAACAATGATATATACAGTCTTAAATTTATGGTAAAGATGAATACAAAATGTTATTGTTCACAGCTCAGATGTTTTGGGACAATATCAGAACTCAGGTTTTCACTTTCACTGTGTTTTTGTAAGATTAATATTAGGAGTGTTCCGTTGAAACACTTTCAAAACAGTGCCACAAAATATGATTTGAAGGGAGTGAGTAACTGAGTGATTGAGTGATTGAGTATGGTTTTATGCGACTTTCAGCACGCTTCCAGCAATATCACTGCAGGTGACACAAGTAATGGGCTCCACACATTGTACCCATGTGAGAAATCGAGCCCAGGGCTTCAGTTTGATAAGCGAACGCTTTAACCATAAGGGAACCCACCAGCCCGATTTAAAAAGGAGCAATGACAGCACAGGCGTAGTAAACCAAACTAAGTCTAGATATCGTAATAAATAGTATAAAATGGCTTCATTTCGCTAGTCTGGACTTGTTACTTTAAATCAAATAGAATGTCGCAAATGACCAACTGGCCTCAATCTGTCATGGCAAATGGATATGCCTCTAAATTTGTATAATGTCTGTAGTAAGTCTTTGTAAGATAGAACTTAGAATGCATAGCAAAATTGAAGTGATCAACGAAGAAGTCTTTTGAAGGAATAAAATTCCAACATGAACTTTCAGGTGGGACTCTAGAGAGGTCACGCTTATCCATCAATCTGAATAAAATGTCAACCTTGTACAACATACGTATAACATACGGCTTGAGTATCTTTCACATGTCTCTACACCCTTGGGCCAGTGCGTAATAATCTATGACATCTAATGGACTGCAGGGCAAAAGATGACATAAGTAGAAACATAATCGGGGCAAACCGGGATTCGAACCCACAATCATAGGTTTCTGGCTTGCCCAAGGAACGCAACTCTGCACAGCAAATTGCGGCGCCTTAGACGATTGGGCCACCCGTGCCCCCTGAAACCAGTTTCGATTTGGGGTACTAATCCATCAGGGTACGAAATGACACAAAACCAAATTATTGGTGCCATCATGCCGAGGGCACACCTAAAATTGTAATGGCACGGTGAAATCCTTACCTGTGTGTCCCTATGGCAAATTATCAATGAAAGTGACTGACGAGTATTTCTGTTGATAATTATGACTATGTAAACATATTTTTATTAATATGTGCAAAAATATATTGAATTTCCTTTTTGGAAAACGATGATCAACATGACTGAACTCTTTCAACACCGAGTCCCCAGACACCGCAGGCCGGTAGACCAGCCAAGCTGTAGACATATCAAAATAGCATATAAGTTTATGAACCTACCTGTCATATCATTCATTTATTAAATCTGTCAGCTTTCACAATGTCTGAAATGCGTTTTCTATTTCAATTTATTATTTTTTTATCAGTAGGTTAAAAGATTATTCACTTAATCTATTTCTCGCAATGTTAATTAAAATAAAATTCTCGGACACACTTCGACAATAGGTCCACATCGAACAAGTCAAAGAGCAAAATAAAGACATATCAAGTAATAACATGATTTAGCATTATTTAGCTAAATCAGTTTATGGTCAGCTCCGCATAATAAATACTAGTAACTATCCCCATTTACCATTTGTTTACAAACATTCTCCTCTAACAATACCCCACTAAAACAATGCTATAAATACTCCCCATAGCAACCATTTGTCATTTCTCCCATGACGTCACTTCCCTTGGTATAATGACATCACTACTTTTACTCCCAAACCATCAACTCATCCTAACAACACAATACGTCAGGGGGTTAGCAATTTCACCTCTAGCGATTTCACCTCACCTCATTCGTTTGTTTTCTGTATGAGTGATGCCTCCTAAAAGGAAAGTGGCGTTGGCCCACCGACTGGTAAAGGGTCCAAAAGCCATTAGGACGGGGGTTAGGAGAATTATGTGGTTGGAGCAGACGTGGAGGCGCCAACTGGCACAGGATCGATCAGCAGAGACGGAGTACCCCAAAACACAGCAGGTACATTGGATAGCGATTTAGTTTGTATTAATTTGTGCAATATTATGCATAATACAAACTCAGCTATGACAGTGCTTCCTGCCATAACACACACAAGTACGGCAATGCTTGCTAACAGTATGCTCCCAAACGGAGACACGCATATGCCTGAATGCATTCAGACGCCGACTTGGGATAGGTTTTCAAGCAATCAAGGGCACATAAACATTAGCACATTTACACGCGAACACTCGCAAACAAACAGAGAAGGATCCGAAAGCACCCAAAACATGCATAACATGCATCCGTCCCAACAACAAGCACAAACACTCAATCCTTTTGCAACTATGAATTTAAACGATTCAACCATGTTTGGCATACCAGCAACAAATACACCCAGTCTACAGTTAAACGTTAGAGCGGAACACATCTGATCACACTTTTCCCAGCAACTATGGGAAAAAATACACAACAGTGAATTCATTGAGCTCAACACAACTATCTGCCCCAAATCAGACACCTCAAGAGATGTCGGCCCATTTACATTGGCGCTCAACGCCACAGGTCAGATCATTTTTAAAACCAAACAACAACAAATGCGTCCATAAGGCACTGGTGCATGGACATCGGCGTTTAACGTCTACATGAGCGTTTACATAGAAAAACACCCAGATAAGATACAGGATCTGCTTACCTACATCGAAACAATCAGGGGGGGGTTGCTATTCGGTTCGGCAGAGATTCATGGTTGCAATATGACCGTAGTTTCCGACAAAGGATGCAATAGATGGCCATTTATGGTTACAACATATGCTTCAAAATCAACAAACAATGCACGCTCGCGTATCAAACAACACACCTACCACCAACCGCAACAACAATGTTAACATGGGCAGCGCAACTACCGGTACCACCCCAAAGTTTTGCGGAGATTTTAACAAATTCGGATGTACAAGGTCTTTCAGCCGATATGCACACAAATGCATCACATGTGACAGCACTGCACACGGCGCACACACATGCTTTCGTCAAAAAGGGGCGTTACAACCCCCTGTACTCAAACAAAACCCAACGCAAACAATACCAACACAAGGCCTAGCACCAACACCCATTAGTATGCGTGTATTGACACAAATGCATCACATGTGACAGCACTGCACACGGCGCACACACATGCTTTCGTCAAAAAGGGGGCGTTACAACCCCCTGTACTCAAACAAAACCCAACGCAAACAATACCAACACAAGGCCTAGCACCAACACCCATTAGTATGTGTGTATTGACACAAATGCATCACATGTGACAGCACTGCACACGGCGCACACACATGCTTTCGTCAAAAAGGGCGCGTTACAACCCCCTGTACTCAAACAAAACCCAACGCAAACAATACCAACTCAAGGCCTAGCACCAACACCCATTAGTATGTGTGTATTGACACATTGGCTCAGTTGTTACACTCCTTTCTACGCAGCAGATGCTATGTTTTTCTAAAAGTTTCCCACTACAATACATGGGTCCACCGGGTCCACTGGGTCCTAAAATGGCATACAATTTAAAATCTGCCCAACTACACCAAAAAAACGGTGGCAACAATGATGACATTACAAAAATAAATTGATCTAGGTAGAACTGCAGGTCCATTTACAGCACCACCATTTCACTATATGATAGATTCTTCAATCGGTCTCGTTCCGAAGAAGTCAACAAATCAAAACAATAAACAAGTTCAGCAAACGTTCAGACTTATTCACCATTTGTCGTACCCTGAGGGAGAGTCTGTAAACGACTACATATCACACGAGGTGTCAGTCAAGTACACTAGCTTTGTCTTCCGTTTGGCTGTTCCATATCACGTGCAACATTTGAAAAATTTGGCACATTTTTGCAGTGGGTACACAGGAAATACACCTAACATAATAACATACATTATTTGGATGATTTTGCATTGGCAGCACTAGCCTCTGAAAAGTGTCAACAATATCTTGAGTCATCCCTGAAGTTATTACAAAACATAGGTGTTCCCATCGCAAAGGACAAAACGGTGCTACCTAAAACAAACATGACGTTCCTGGGTATCACAATCGACACAGTCAAAGCGCAAATTAGCATACCGATGGACAAGGTTGTGTTGCTTACTCAGGAAATAGATGCTTTTTTATCACCTTCAAAGAAGAAAACAACATTACACTACTTGCAGTCCTTGGTGGGAAAACTTAACTTAACTTACCCGGGTAACTTAATGCAGAGCAATTCCGATTGGTTGTATAGTTTTAAGACACCTTATTGACACACAGGGTGGCATGTGCATGCTAGTATACCTAGCACAAACAAACACAGACACCACCACCCTGTTGCGTTTCCACAGGGGGAACGCGATAATACATACTTAATCTTTTTCACTAACTCTTAACAATACATAGACATACAGGTCAATAAGGAAATACTGTAAAGATATTAATAGGTAAGTATAAAACAGATGTTTTCCTGCTCAAAACATTCAGAAGAACAAGATTTAACGACCTTTCATTATGCATGAGGACCGTACCATTGCAGTAATTTAATTGGCTGCCTTAGGTCACATGGTCAAATTTGACCAATCACGAACCTTGTAGCAGATTTCGGCAAGAAAGCGTCATTAGAAACCAATTTTGTATGCAATAAAATCGCATGTTACAGCTACAGAAAGACTACTATCGTGTGGATGACTAAATAAGTTTTGTAGATAATGGTGCTCTTAAATCTTGGGACTATCATAGGGCTGGGACAAGTCAAAATTTATACCCGGGTACCCACCCCGCTATTACCCGACCCTACCCGGTACCCGTTGTAGGTCTCAAGAGAGGTACAAACTGTCCGATTGGGAAAAGTTTGACGGTACCCCTGCCACAATGTATTTAGATACACTTATAAAACGATCTGGTCATGCATACACTGATGTTTACTGCATGAAGTTTTATCTTTTGTAAAACATATGAAATTTGTTTGTTTGTTTGTTGTTTAACGCCGCACTCAGCAACATTAAGCTATATGACGGCAGTCTGTAAAATAATCGATTCTGGACCAGACAATCCAGTGATTGACATCATGAGCATCGATCCATGCAATTGAGATCGATGACATGCATCAACCAAGTAATCTAGTTTGACCACCTGATCCCATTAGTCGCCCTTCACGACAAGCATAGTCGCATTTTACAGAAAGCATTGGTTGCAGAAGACCTATTCTATCCGGATCTTCACGGGTCCAAACATATAAAAGTCAGAATGTGTGCATAGTCAGAAAGGAATGGGAACATTAGTGACTTGTAGTGTGACCGTAGAGTTTTAGATAAGTTTGGATTAAACAATACATCACGTGACTAACTACAGGTCAGGGTAGTCCTGTGGGTACCCGGGTCCTGCTCAATAGACTAGTTGTTAACCAAGATTCAAATCAACGGGTAACCAGAAATGAGTAACTTGAGTGATGTGTGTTTTAATTTTCTGAATTTTCTGAAACGTCACCGGCCGAAAACGGCACCTCGACCAAAGCGAAAACAGCTACTATTGCCTGGCGAAAACAGCACCTTATTTTTTTACCTTGGTCAAATAAATGATATTAAACTTACATTGTAATTTGCAAACACCAATAATTGTGAGATGTTAAAACAAGTTTACATTAGAAATTAGCCTATACTCCAACTATATTCCAACTTGGCCTATACGCAACTCAACTTATTGTGAAAACATAACATGCCTTGAAGTAAAATGAATGAAATTAAACTCACATCGTCTCTTACAAACACAAATTATAGAGAAATGTTAAAACAAATTTACATGAGAAATTAGCCCCCCTACTCCAATTTACTCGCCGACTCTGATTGGGTAGTAACTTATAGTCCCTGGTGACCCTGGCAACATAAATCGCTCTTATCGATATTAAAAACAGAGGTGCCGTTTTCGCGCGTCACATAGTAGCCATTTTCGCCAAATGCGGTGCCGTTTTCGCCAGAGAAATCGGTGACGTTTTGCTGAGGTGCCGTTTTAGCCTGCACCCATGACAGTTATGCTCAGTAGCTAGTAGGCTACTCACCAGATTGACAAGTTTCAGTGACGAGGGGGCTTTAGCTTGTGCTGTCAAACAAAGACAAACTGTTAAACTGAGAAACAACACTTCACTCCAGTACACCATACTGGCAAATTACAAATGACTTCTTCAACAAAACAACATCAAACTCCGCAAAGACAACAACCCTTCGTGAAGAGCGTTGTCACAAACGAAAACCGGAACTGTCAGGTGATAAACAGAGTGACGTCCCTTCGACAGCATCTGCGAAACTAGCGACGACAAGCATACAAAGGTACGGAGGCGATCAGAGTCGTCGGTTTTATGCTCTAAGCTCCCAGCTTAAGGTACTTCCTCGACATGACTGTGGAATATCTGTATTTAATTTGATTAAAACATATTCGTTTGTTATTGATATTTGTTACAGATAAGACCTGACACCCAGGGTAGTGCCTGGCCCAAGTGAGTAACGATATAACAACTTGATAAAAAAATACACAAGCATTAAACAAATTTTAAAAGAATTTGAACTCTTATTATCCTTTACCATAGATCTAGCTTCAACAACTTGGCCACTTATTACGCATTTTCTGTTTTCTTAAATACAATGCACACATGTCTCCATGCAGTACTGAACCAAAGAGGACCCTGTGGCATAAAGTTGCAATTTTGAGTTAGAATAAATATCACAATCAGACAGACAGACAGACTAATTTATTCGGTACTTCGGGCCACCGGCCAATAATACAATGGAAATATACTGTATATATATATTTGCATGCTGAGTAGATTTAATAATGATTTACCGTTCAACACTGTGTTTCCGTTCGAATGTTCATGACTTGGTAGAGAAATTTACCTAAGTTTTTTTATAATTTGTTCGTTATCACAATCACATATATATGATAACCATTCACTTCATAGCACTCAACACATATATTATGGAAGTAACATAATACCATCAATTATGAAAGCTTGTCAATAAATGATAGATCTATCACAAACAACAGTAAGTGATGTCTTGTTGGTATTTTAACTTTTAAAAAGCTAAACTAAATAAATATTTTAACTTTGTGGGAGGAACCACGGGGGAAGGAGGTACATATGTTAAACATTATTTCGTAAATGTGTAAATTCTAATGTACAGTGAATGGTAAAAAATAAGCACAATTGTCGACTCTGAAGTAAAAAGTTGTAGGTAAATGTTAGATACATGAGTGTTAAGATAAAAATGCCATTTTGCAGTTAGATACAGATTTAGGTACATATTGTGATTGTGAATCTATTGTGACACTGAATAAATTGTTGTTAAAATGAACTTTAATTTAACTACCGATAAGTATATTACAAGTAATTTGATTGGTTTTTAGAAGTAAACTTGTGGCAGTATTTCCATAAACATATGTGTCCAGGTGGTCACTTCTTTAGAAAGCTCCACAGAGTCCATCATCATCCCTCACAATTAAAGCTTAATCTTTAAAGACAGGTGAGTGAGTGAGTTCGGTTAAACGTGTCTTTGAACAGTATTCCAGTTATATCACGGCATGTCAGCTTACTGTGGGAGGAAGGCTCGAAGTGATGCAGGTCTCAGACGTTTACCACTTTGGTGAAACCCACGAGCACGGGTATGGTGCTGAGATACACAGAAACATAATCGGGGCGAACCTGGATTGGCGTGCACAAGGGACGAAACTCTCCACAGCAAATTGCGGCGCCTTAGACGACTGGGCCACCCGTGCCTCATCAAGACGCACAACACATGATGTGTGTATATATGCAAGATGTTCTGGCCTTTTTGTGACATTTAGGGTAACAATCTGGCTATGGGTTTAACAAGCCTGAAGTTCTGCATTGGGAATAGGAGACACCTGTCATGGTCACACCACTTAGACACGCTCTACTGACTCCAAGCCGACCAGTCCTTGTTTTATCCCCTAATGCCGATTGACAGGCAGGATAACAACAAGTACCATCTTTTTACGTCTTTTGACTCAGACAGGGGGTCGAACGATCGGCCTTCCGCTCTCCTGGCAGACGCTCTATCCACTAAACCAAGGAGGCGGTTATTCTATTATAGAACTGGGTCAGTTCAGTAAGACAAGACCGACATCTCGACTGCCTGCCAACTGCCACGCATTGTACACAACCACGGTTATTATATTACTGTCGCCGACTCCTGGAAACACGTACGTGTTTGCAGAAGGACATTGAATACGTTCTGCCCAGTCATTGAGTGACTGTGATGCGAAATACTGTGTTCAGATGTGGTTCCTTCACCCACACAGAGGACGTTAACCGCTTCTTGCTGCCTATTGCTCCTCGTGTCATATATATGAAAGGTTAGTCATGTTGAAGACTCAATACGATTTCATTAAATACAGAGTTGTTGTGACTAACACAACGGAAAACCGGATTTTACTTGAGAAAAAAACGCAAATACTGGAGAATATCAACGCAATGACCGGATTTGCGTACGATTCCCGATGTGAATTTTGGGCGATTCATATGAAGATACACGTTTGAATCATGATCGTCCTTGATTGCAGTCTACACAAGCACCGAACTTGCAGAAATTTCCAAGCATGATTTCAACTTTAATAATTTCTTGCTCATAGCCTATTTTAAATGAATTTCTTCTATTGTCATAGGTCCGACAAGTGCAGACTTTTTTTTAAATTGACAAGAGTTTGAAATATTTGCATTTCCTTTGACGAGGAAACATTGCTAAATGTTTACAAGCTTAGAGGGTCATGTATCATTTCAGATATCAAAGCTATGTATTTAAAGATTTATGCTCGTATAATCGGTACTTGAAAGATATTATCATAGATTTTCCACAATGTGAAATATCGGGTTCACATTGCTTTATTTTCACATATGCTGACACTTTCCTGCCTTCAAGGTTCATATGACCTCATGGCGCTATTAAAGGGTCTGGCAAAACACTATTCTACACGCTGACTCGTTGCCATTAAGTCACCAGTTTCATCATTTCCCGTCACCTGGTCGCAAGTATTTCGGATAGTCGCGAGTGGGAGGTTATAATATACAAACAATAATAGCTACAAAACATGCTGTTTTTGTGCAGTGACTGTTACACTTCCCAGCAGACAAGTGGGGTTCTCCACACGCTGGAGCTCACTCATGTCAACACTGAAACAGATTAACTGACCTCCCCTTACATGCTCCTACTGTTACATCTCCAGCGTTTTCATCGCAATTCAGGGCCTGGTTTGAGTAGGAACTGTAAGCATATTTGTTTTATTTAGTTTACTAAACATGAAGAAGGAAATGTATAGCTTTATAAAATTTCTTTCGTGGAATTCTTGCCTCGTACCATGGCGAATCCTAAGAAAATATTATACTTCACAGCACAGCACTTCCATTCCTCCCAGTCATCCTGGTGCAAGATGCTTGGATAGAGATCGCGTAAGAAGCTCCTACCATTAGACAGACACAAATGTTCAATAACTACATGACCTGGTTCGATGACCATGCACACTACCGCCTTTGGATCTGGTCATGTTTTATAGTAATGGTTGAAGGTAGAATATCAGATGGATTTATTGTTTTAATGGTAGTTGGGAAATGGTCACTTCCACAAAGGTCATTGTGGACTGACCATTCAAATTCGTTGAGAAGGTTAGAATCAGTTAGTAACAAATCGAGAGAAGAGTAGGTCCCAGTTGCAGGATGCTGATGCTATATACATAGGTCATTATTGGAGATGAAATCTTCAAGTATGTTACATGTACCTTTAATGTTAGTGTTTGTACCACCCCAGAGTTGGTTGTGGCCATTTAGATCAACCATGATTATACAAGGATTGGGGAGTTGATCATAGAGAGCTTGAAGATCAGTCAGCTGAAGAGGTGACGAAGGCGGAATATACAGTGAGCACAAAGTAAAAACAACGTCCAAAGTAAGTCGCACTGCAACGGCTTGTAGATTGGTGTTAAGTATAACAGGGCTGTGGATTACATCATTCTTAACATTGATTGAAGATTCCCCAGTGGCCCTTTCACCCGGAGATGAAAAACAATGATATGCATTAAACTGACGTAAAAAAAATTATCTGTCTGCTTTAGATACGTTTCCTGCAGACGGAATGCTGAAGGTTTACAATCCTGAACTAAGAGCGGTAATTCGTTAAAATTAGTTCTCAGTCCTCTACAGTTCCATTGTACTATATGTGAAGAAGATTGGCGAGAGGTCTACCCCTCACCTTCCGTGAGGGCGACATGCTGTGTGTCATATGATGACGATGATGACTGTTGTCAGCCACCTCCATATCCTCAAGGGATCCATACTTATTAAAAAGTTGGACCTGGTTATCTGCCCCTTTTGAGGCTCTCCCTCTATGGTACTTTTTGGATGATTCTGGTTTTGGTTTGTTTTGTTTTTTTGCCTTTTTGCATCTTGTTTCACTTAAGTTTCTGAGTTAGGTTTAGCTGATAGAGATGATGATAGGTTCTGAGATAAAGATGAATCTTTATCACAAGACGCCTGTGATTGAATGATTGTTTGTGATGTAGTGATGGTTTGTGAACTAGAGGTCTCTTGTGGAGGCCTAACCTTGACTGCAGCAGACATGGTAGGAGCAGAAGCTCTTGCCCATGTGTATTCGGTCTGGCAACCGGCTGAATGGATTTATATATTCTTTGGAATGATAACAGGAGATAGCCTTGAAACAGAAACAGCAGCAGCAAAACTTGCGCCTGACTTTTCTTGAGTAAGAACAATTTCTTCGAATCCAGAAAAAGAGATGTTACACTCATGCCCACGTAGGGCAATCTTTAGAAGATGAGGGATGATTGCCAGAGCAGTTTACACAGGAAGGAGGTTTCTCACATACATGTAGTCTGGTATCTTCACATTTTCCACCACACATCGATGACAGACAGCTGGGTCGTGGCATGATTTTGAGCCATGGCCATTCTTTTGGCAACAGTAACACCTCAGGGGATTTGGGATGTAAGCATCCACAGAAGCCAGCTTTTAGTGATTCTGGACGTGATTGAAGACAAACAGTAAATAGATATGTGTTTGTCTGGATACTTTGATTGTCACCCTTAGAAGTGAAACGTTTAGCATCAGTAACTTCTTGTGAGTGTAACTCTGACACTATGTCAGTCTCAGACATGTCTGCAAGGCAACGTCCTCCATCGCGGACAATGCCTTTTCTATTGTTGTGAGGAGAAACCTTAACAGGAACATTTGCGAGTGATTGGGCTGAAAGTAAAA